AAACACCCTAAACAGCACCCTAAACACCCTATTTTTATACTTATAGGCTAGAGCTTAAGCCTTAATTAGTAATAATCCTTTAGTAAATATTATATCTATATATCTTATTAAAAAGAGCTAATAATATAACTATTAATTAGTATCTTAACTATAAGAGTATAAATAAGATATCCTATAAGTAAGTCCCTTATTAGCCTTATACCTATTAGTTAGTACTAAAACTCTTAATATTATAATTAGCTAGGTTTATATAATAGCCTTAAATTAGCACTCTAAGGCTATATAATAATCTACTAATTATATTAATAATAATCCTTATTAGATAAACTTTGTTTTTATTACTATTATATATTTATTAAATAGTATATCTAGTAAGATTACTAATAAGACCTCTAAATATTAAATATTATTATCCTTAAGTCTTTCCTATATATATATTACTATTATCCTAGATAGCTTAATATTCTAATAGTATTTTAAGTAAGACTATTAGTATATATTATTATAATTATAAGTATTATATAGTAGAATATTTATTAAAATAAGTATATCTACTTAATACTTCTACCCTATTACTACCTATTTATTATTAACTATAATCTTAGTTAGAGGATAGATAAACCTAAATAATCCTATAAAAGTCTAAGATAGTAGATATATTAGGTTAGTTTAGAGTTAAGTCTTATTACTATAAATTAGTGTTTTTACTATCTTAGTAATATTATTAGTTATAGATATAGGGTAAGATTAGTTAAAAAAGATTATAAATAAGCCCTTATAGTATTAGATACTTTCTAACTATCTTATAGGACTACTAGCTAAGATACTATAAGATATAATATATAGCTAACTAAGCCTTATATAATCACTATCTTTTTTATAAGATAATATATTTTACCTTAGAAAAAAGTCTAAAGTATAGTAATTAATATAAACTAGAATTACCTAATTACTCTATACCCTTACTAAAACTATTAATATTAACTAGGTTATAATCCTAGCTAAGATTATTAGCTTATACTCTATATCCTTAGAAAGTTAAGATAATTATATAACTAATATACTAACTAAGAATATATAATATATTATATATAGATATAGTAATATACTTAGATGTTAAAAACTTTAATAGTAGATTAGTATCCTTATTTATAGGGGGTATAGGTAAGAAGAATATTAGAAGTCTATCTAATAAATAGATAGATCTTACTTTTTAGGATAGATAATAATTATAATAGACTAATCTAAAAAAAAAGTAATTATAGTATAGCTAATCTATTATAGTAAGAAGAATTATCTTTATAGTTAAGGGTCTTATGATCTATCTTAATATTAGTATATACTTTTAGTAATATATAATTAATTATAGTAAAATAGCTTTTCTCTTAGTATCTTAATATTAAGTATTAATACTAAGTATTTCTTACTAATCCTAATAACTTAGGGATATTAATACCCTACTTTTAGCTAAGATGCTAATTATAAGACTAATCTTATATTATATATAGGTGATTAGAAGATAAGGGTAACTAGATTATATATTATATACTCTTGGAGATCTTAGTATTCTTACTTCCTAATATAAGTAGCCCTTATTATATAGATTAAGGTAAGGGTCTAAGGTGGGGGTCTAAGGTAAAGATTATTATAAATATTATTTATCTTAAAACCTAATGTTGAGTATTAGTTCTTTTACTAGGTTTTATAAAAGGTTATTTGGTGATTGGGTAGTACTAAGATGAGATTTTTTTTTAGGATTTTATACTTATTACCTATCCTCTAATTACCTTGTTAAAATACTAATTTATTATTAATAAATATAAATTAAGAGTTCTTTTCTTAGTTTATGAGCTAATATATATCTAATAGAATCTATCTCTATATAATATCCTATATATCTTAATAATATTATAGGTATTTGATTATCTTAATCTAATATATAGTTTATATTAAAGTATATATTATTGGTTTCTTAAATAAAAGAGTATATTAAGTAATATATTTATAAAGGACTGATTACTATAGATATCTAACTTAGGTTAGTGTTATAGTTAGACTTAGTTAGTCTTAAGTTAGCTTTATGGGAGTTAGCTTGTGGGAGTTAGCTTATGGGAGTTAGTTTATAGGTATTAGTTTATAAATATTAATTTATGGGAATAGACTTAAGAGAGTAGTTAGTGGAAGTTGGCTAAGAGCTAAGAGGAAATTAGATATATTTATTTAAGGTATACTCTATAATTATTTTACTTGGTTATAGCTATAATTTTATTTATAAGAGAGGGAGAGCTCTAAAATAATCTTTAAGAATTAATTAGAGTAAGTATTAGTTGATTTAAACTTAAGATTAGTAGGGCTATTATATATAGGTTATAATTTTAGTTAGAAGCTACTAGAATAAGTTAAGTATTAGGTAAAGTTGATTTTAAAGAGTTATAGGGAGATCTTCTTAAGCTAATATTAACTAACTTATTTTAAATAGCTATTATTATGTATGGATTAGCTTTGTAGGATATTATATAAATAATATAGCTCTTATATCTAGGATAATCTTATTATTTTTATTATTATATAGGAGTAGCCTTTCTTACTAAGTATTAGTAGATAAGTATATTAATATTAATTATTCTTGTTTTAGAAATATGATATTATATTTCTATCTATGATAGGTAAGTATTAATATTATTTAATATTCTTACTTGATAAGTAGTTTAGTTAGTAAATATTAATATTCTTATTAATTTATCTAGTTATTATATAATTAATCTTTATTAATCTCTATAAATACTTAGTAGTAAGTAAGTATATATATATTATAGCTTATTATTTACTTAGTATTAGTAATAGTATATTAGTAGATTCTTTATTTTTTTACTTATACTTAAATAGAGGTATATGATTAAGATAAGGTAAAAGCTAGAATTTTAGTAGAGCTTTAGTATAGTAAATTATCTTAGGTAATAAGACTCTTAATAGACTAGCCCTTTTATAGGTTAATTGGATATAATTATAAAATAATATTTTTAAGAGTATGCTTATTAGTTCTTAATATTTTATTAGTGGAGTGATGTGTATAAATATGGGTGATATAAAGCTATATTTGGTAGCTATATTATATAGTCTATAAGATTGGTAAATCTAGCCTAATTAATATTATAAAGCTAGTTACTAAGTTCTATTATTTTTGGATTAATTTTAGTTAGTAAGATTCTATCTATCTTTTTATTTTAGGTATTACTATTTAGTTATATTAGTTATTTTAAGGTCTAGAGATCTTATATAAGTTATTATAAATCTATACTATCTCTTATAGTATTGATTAAATTATATATTTATTATTTAAGTAGAATAGATCTTTCTTGATTCTTATTAGTTACTAGCTTAGATACTACTATAGTTTCTAAACCTCCCTTATTATCTAATTATATAATATATAGCCCTAGTCTTAATGTTATTAAAGAGAAGTGGATTTAAGCTTCTAAAAATCTATACTTATTTTATTAGTGAATTGAAAAATCTAGATAATTTGGTATTTAGTGGTTTTAATTTTACCTAGGAATTTATTGTGCTAGGTATAAGGATCTATAAAGAGGAAGCTATTATTATATATAGGTATTTATTGTACTACTATAGTAAAATAAAGAAAAGATCCTATATATTAATATTGGATATCTAGCTTAATTACTTATTATTTAGGTATAGTAGTAAGATTTATGCTATGATGATGTGGTATAAGATATAAGCTTAGTATCTCTATATTATATTATCTAGTTAAGTCCTTGTGATATCTATACTATTATAAATACCCCTATATGATTGTGTAAAGTCATTCTTACTTACTCTTATCCCTTTTTAGTATATTTATTTACTCCTTTCCTAAATATAGTAAGTTCTGTTAGTTTTATCCTTAAGAATGCTATTATACTAAATGTAGGTAATATATTATGATATAATGCTTATTAGCTATCTTATTAATTATATATCTTAGCTTTTAAATAGTTATATATCTTATTAGATATCTAGCTATATATTACTATATAGCTGATGTCTTATAGTGTATAATTACTATAAGGCCTTAACTTATCTTTATAAATATATCTTATATTCTTTATAAGCTCTGACTGATAAAGAGTGATTATAAGGTTTATTTATAGTATTCTTAGGTATAATTATCTAGTTTAAAGTAGAGTAGTTATTATACTAGCTAAACTCTAGGCTAGTGGTGTAGGCTTATTATATATACTACTTCTACTTATATAGTTCCTTAATAAGACCTTAATAATATATTCTCCTTATAGATTAATGATTATTATTAGTAATATAATTATAATATATTATATTATTTGATGGTTATACTATAGTAGTCTTATTAGGGAATAGGGTAGGATAGCTTATTAAGTATATATATATACTATAGATATATAATGTTATTTTATTAAATCTGAGGCTTACTACTATACTTAGTTTTATATAGAACCTATATTTATAGTTATGGAGTAGCTAAGTGTTAGCTTTATATTTATATTATATATGGTTGGCTTTGAATTAACTTAAGCCTTTTTATCTTATGATGTATTGTTGTTGTACTTTATAAAAACTAATATAGGCTTTATTAGTTATGTTTTTATAAGGCCTTTAGAGGTATATAAGTTATATATATAAATTTAATATTAGGGTATTATCTATAGTTTATAATAAGAATGTTATTTATTGATTATAGGAGTTATAGCTATAATATATATAGATATAGTATATATTAAGAAGCTCTAGCTAACTAGATTTTTAGTATAAGACTTCCTAAGTTAATGATATAATATAACTTTCTTTTTAGTATATAATTATTAGCTATATACTATAACTCTATATCCTATCCAGAAGGACTTAATAATAGCTGTTGGCCTAAGAAAAAATAGTGATATAGGTAGGGTCTTCCTCTAAGTCAGACAGAGTATGTGGGAGGGGTGACCGCCTACACAACTTACTCCGTTTAACAACAATATATCTAGACCCAGTATTAACAGTCTGCTCATTAATGTGTTGATAGCTGTCACTATTGATAAATTATTTCTAGTGTTGGTTACTATTTTCTAGGCTAGTCACCATTCCTAAGCTGGTTATTATTCCTAATCTGATCATTATTCCTAAGCTGGTCACTGTTCCTAAGCTGGTTATTGTTCCTAAGCTGGTCACTATTCCTAAGCTGGTCACTATTTCTAAGCTGGTCACCGTTTCTAAGCTGGTCATTGTTTCTAAGCTGGTCACCATTCCTAAGCTGGTCACCATTTCTAAGCTGGTCAACATTTCTAAGCTGGTCATTGTTTCTAAGCTGGTCACTGTTCATGAAGTCGTGCTTGATTGTTTACCAACGCTCATTCAAATATTTACATATTGATAAAACCGGTTAACTGTTTAAACAGCTGGCTCAACTATTAAGACAATCAGTCAACTGTTTAGACAGTCGGTCAGCTATTTAAATAGCCGGTCAACCGTTTAAAAGCCGGCTTAACTATTTAAGAATGGTTATTTAACTGATTATAGACGCTTAGTTAACTGTTGATTAAAAAAGATTCAACTATTTACTAGGCTAGGCTTAACTATTTATAAAAACATACTCCATTATTTATCAAAGCAGGCTCCAATGTTCACCACTAGGTCAACCATTTACACAGGCTTAATCAACTATCATAATTATATACTGGTTACCACTATGGACTATTAATCACCGCATCTACCCCGTCACCACCAACGCCAACCTCAACAGTTATCTTAGTTTTCCTGACCTGTGAGACAGATGTGAACAATGCTTTCTTGCCCAAGTCTAATAGTGTTTGATCGAGCCGACCAGCCTACACATATATGTATACATCCTGTAAGATCAGGTTCTGGATATGATACTACTATACACAACGAAATCTGTAATAGCAAAGTTCTGGGTTTATTCGTTCTCTATACAACACTATCTTAGAGTAAAAACAGGGCCTATACACTCTTACGGCCCTGCTATTAGTGTCCTCACCCATGGCCGGAGCCTCAAAGACTGAATTATTGATGGAGGCACATAGGTCTTCGCTTCTTCAACTGCAGAGCGAGAGTTGAATACTGGTCCCTAGCACCATATAGAGGTGCCTACACTTTGCTAGAATTGCTTGATCTCGCAGCTCCCCCTGCAAGGCATATTTGTAACACAGACCTATCCTGCGGGGTAGTCTTGTTCTCGCAGCACCCCCTTGCGAGGCATATTGATAACGCAGACCTATCCTGCGGGGTAGTCTTAATCTCACAGCACCCCCCTGCGAGGCATATTGATAACGCAGACCTATCCTACAGGGTAGACTTGTTCTCACAGCACCCTCCTACGAGGTGTATTGATAACACAGACCTATCCTACGAAGCATTTTTAGTAACACAGAGCTTGTACTACAGACCCATAGCCACGGAAACCCTCAAGCCTACAGACAAGAGATGGAAATAATAACACACGGGAGTGTGAGGAGGAAAGTCCTGATTTTTTTTGGGCCGGAAATCTTGTGCCTTTTATGTCAAGTCAGCTACATCTCTTCACAGAAACCCCCTGCGCAAATTCATAGGAATGGCCACTAATTTAGGAGGGCATTAGAAAAGTAACTTAAAAATCTTTGGTCAGAAGACGTACATTCTATAGATCCGTGGTTGGCCTTATATTACCAGGGGGACCAGCCCTTAGTTCCGCCAAATCAATCATCCAGACTCTCCATTTCTTACAGTAGGTTACAGCAATATTCAAAATTGGCTTCCATGTTTTACACAGAGAAACTATCCCAAGCCCTACCGCCAAGACTATGGTGAAACTGCCTAGGCCAGATTCGGCTTGGCTGCAAATCATCCTTGTTTTGAACAGTCTTGACGTATGGTACGGAACATCGGACGAAATACGGCCCCGTAAGTTACCCGTCTAGTCGAATCAAATTCTAGAATTTCCATACAAACCAGGGGCTATTGCCGGTAGGCTCTTACAATCTGAAATTTGATGAGCTTATTAGATAGGAGCTACCTCATGAATACTCCTATACCTACTACATTCGAAAGCTATGTATTTTAGTAAACATGGGGAACCATAACTACTAGATATCTAACTGCATTAGTATAAGAGAAACAGAGCTGTTTGTCTTTGTGATAACAGAATTTATTAATCTGATACTTTTTTTACGATCGCCAAGCAAGGCTCTACTCCAGAGCAATTCAAAAGGAGAGAGTATTATTCTGCCGAAGAGGCACATGAAGATTATGTGCCTACAATGTCCGCCAGGTTTAAAAACTTGATTGGAGGTTTCCCTAGAACTGGCTGGGAGTTGGTGTTCCTCTTTGGTTTCAATCAGCACTTTAGTAAGCTAGAAAGATGGGGATTTACTCTACACTCACCATTCAGATAAAGTAGCCTTGTAAGTTATAGTATACAGATGGCCAGGGCCTAGTTTTCGGTTGTAAAGTCAAACACATTCGGCCATCAATAGTAAAGCGGCTTTATCTTAGGCTGATGACTTGAGGGTATAAGTAAGGTTTGCCATACTTGTTAGTGTGGAGGGATGATCGGCCCTGAGCTTCGTCTTGCGAGTCTCTATGACCTGTACCTTGAGCTGCTCCGCCTCTTCCCATTGGCCCTAGTTCCAGAAAGTCAACGCCAGATTAGCCATACTTGTTAGTGTGGAGGGATGGTCGGCCCCGAGCTTCGTCTTGCGAGTCTCCATGACCTGCACCTCAAGCTACTCCGCCTCTCCCTAGCGGCCCTTAAGTCGGTAAGCCTCTGCTAATATTACAGAGCTATTAAGTGTTTCTTTATCTTCCGCGTCTAATATATTTAATCTCTGCTTTCTCGATATAAATACCATTTCCCGTGATTCTAGGATATTACCATATTCTTACACATACTACACCCCCTTATAAAGTAACATAGCTTAGGTTTGTAGATAGTCTTGCGATTTCGGTTAATATAAGACTGCTAATCTAATATAGGGAAAGAGTATCTAATATCTCTCCTAATATTTATATTAGCCAGTTAGAAATTCAGTATATAGATTATTAATAAATTATTCCTTCTACTCTTCATCCTAGCTATAGGTTTTTAACCACATATATACTATAAGCTATACTAGCTAATATATTATAAATATTATACTATTTTTACTAATAATAATAAAGGAATAATCTCTAAGAGTAGTAATATTACTCTTAAAATTATTATCTAGATTATTTTTAGATAAACTTTCTATATTATCTCTACTAAAGCTATTTATAACTTCCCTTAAAAAACCTAAAGCTTTATGATTTTTTGTTATACCTTAAAGCTATAGAAGATCCTCTAGGATTCCCTACTAGTTAAAATAGCTTATAAGGGATAGTAGATTAGCTGTAGACTACTGAATTTATTAGATATAGCTAAATGATATTTATTATATTAGTAGAATAAAGTTCTTTGTCTCCTAGTCTTAGTTTATATTATATCCCTTATGATTTAGAAGTTTTATAGCTTACTGATTACTCTGCTGAAGCTTTTTAAGGTATTCTGATACTAAGTAATAGGGTAAGTAGTATATGATATAGCTAGCTGTTTATATAATCACTAGTAGTATAAACTTAAGTTTTTTTATAAGCTAAACTAAGTCTACTCTCTTTATAAATAAATCTAGCTTATAATATATTAGATCTAGTACCTTAGCTATATTTATTAGTTATATATTAATTAGATTATTCTTATAGCTAGTGATTTCTAATATTATCCCTTTATTCTAACTTATAATAATAATAGAGCTATTTAAGGCTCTAAGGAGATACCTTAGTAGTAGTTATATTAAGATATAGTTCTAGGTATTTACTTAGGTATCTATATAAGTTATTAGTGGTTTATAAAGAAGCTTATTATTATCTATATTATCTAGTATAAGGATCTATTTTCTGATATTTCTATCTTATAACTAGTTCCTAAAGAGTTAAAATATATTTATATTATGGTCCTTATACCTAGGAATCTTAGTATAGTTAGCTAGGTTATAGAGACTTTCCTTGTAGTGTACTATAGTGCTAGTATGAACCTAGAAGACCTAGGTATTGGTTGATTGCTGTTGGACCTAGTGGTAGTATTTAATAATAAGCTAAGTTTTCCTATTATAAAGTTAGCCTATATTAGGCTGCTGTTAATACTTGTGATACTTAATCCTATACTGCTGAGACTAATGAGAACTATCCTAGACCTAGGGACTGATGATTTCTTATGGATTATATTAAGGATTTTATTGTGGCTAATAAAGTCTAGGTTATGTGTGAATAGTACGGTTGATAGTGGCTCTGGGTGTGACTCTGGTAGTTCTAGGAAAGTATATTGTTGTTAGTCGATCTAATGTGATCCTGTCCTATATGCTTTTGGGAACTGACTAGATATGATATTTATTACCCTATTATTAATCCCTACCTGGTAACCTGAGTTTTGATCGCTAAATTTCATAGATTCCATACTTAATATTTATATATTTAATCGTGTTTTGGACGAAAGCAGATTACAACCTCTTATCGAGGGGTCCCATCCTCAGCCTCACTATCAGGTAATCATGGGCGCTAAGCCTTGTATAGATTCGGTATGTGTTACCCTATGCGTATCCAATCATCTAGCAGCTAGCAGCTCGGTCTATTATGCGACTGATATGCTAGTGACTACTAGTGGATTGAGAAATAGCATAGAAATCAGAAAGGTGCTTCCGGGGCCATTCTGTATGTGTGTGTTCCGTGGTAGCATTGAAGGTGATGTAGAGGGCTGCAATTACATGAGCGCGGTCGGGAGATTGGAGACAGCAAGCGGGCATGATCCAACGACGTCGGCGTATCTGTCTTGTCAGGTAATTTACATTTCTATCCTGACGAACAGGGATTGTTTCTAGCCTAGCCGAATCCGGACTAGGCTGTTTCATCAAGTCTTGGCAGTGGGGCATGAGATAGTTTCTCTGTGAAAAACATGGAAGCCAATTTCGAATATTGCTGTACGTCTTGTACCGTCGCCGCGTCCGCCACAAAGCGATGGATATTTTGCCTAGGGCATCGTTCCGATGTGTGGAAGTCGACGTGACTCATCGTTGCCGAACCAGACTCTCCTCCCTTGCTAGAAACAGTGCTCGCCAACAAAATCTCAGCCCTAGTCAAGAAATACCAGCTACCCCGAGTCCGTTGGGGTCGTCGGAGGCGGTCATGCAAATATCATCCCGATCGAAAAGATACACGATGGGCGGCGTGAGAACAGGGAACAGGGATTCCGGAGCGCGTCTTCTGGTGGGTGCACAGATCTTGGTCCTCACGACGGGCGTCGATCATTGTGAACGGCTGGCAGTCTTAGATCGCCGTGTAGCCCGCAGGCGTGACACAAGGCTCGTCGCTTTTCCCTCCTTGCTTTTTGCTTCTGAACGCAAATCCGATGGCAAATCCGATGAAGGTCTCTTTCACCAGAAGAAAGAGAGCCATCGATTACGTCGACGGTTACACATGATGGGATCATGAAACGCGCAGCGTCGAAGGTACGGCTGTTTAGGCATAACATCGTTCATTCACCTCAAGCGGAATTAACGACACTGACAGTGCCAGCTTCTTGCGGTACTGGTACACTTGATGAAGCGACGGGCGCTCCAGCTTTCGAAGTCAAAACCCTCGGCGTCATTATCGACCTGGTATTGCTTTTCAAATAAAGGACTGGAAAGGCTGGCGAACCAAGATAAAAGCCCCAGCCACCAATTGTACGCCGAATTGCTGATCAGCTACCAGGATGTGTGAGTTCAGGGTCCCTTCTCTGGTCCATTTGCCCATGTGGTGCCCAACCGAACATACCTCTGAGCAAACCTCAAGCGGATCACCAATACCCAAGGCCAAGTTTGACTGCCATCTTCCGGATATTCTATTAATTTCAACGTGCATGTCGCCAGTGTCCCAAACGAGGCGGCATGTTGAGCAACATGCCTACAAAAGGCCCAAGACGCATACTGCCGCGGCTTATCCGGCTCAAACCATTGCCTTAGCTGCAGTCAGTTCTTGTGGGAGTTGCTCTTGGAAGTTGGGTGGGAATCAGAGATGTCTAATCGGCGAGTACTCCATGACCATTCTGATCTGTTACAGCTATGATACCAGCCGAAGCGAAATTGATTCGAAGCAATTATGATGTGACGTAATGAGGATGTGTTGGGTCGAAATTGGAAATTCATGCCAAAGTGAGGTCTGTGATGTCCTAGCATCCTGCCGGGAATCCTCAGAGCAAGCGAAGGATTGGAAAAGGTCGAAGATGATAAATCGTGAGTGAGCTCTTCGCCGAACCGTGTTTAGGGACGTATTTTGAAAGGATACTGTCATGTGCGGATCAACTCCGCGAGACATGGCGCAAACACTCGCACGCGTCTTGCACAGCCTCACCGCCTTTGCCGTCGCGCTGGACGTTTTGCCTAGGGCCCTTCTACCAAGCACTGCTGAGCGAGCGCGCCAGAGTCAATACCCACCATTCCTTGTTTTGGCGGACTGTGCTCTGGAGACAAGCTCCCATGGATGACTTCTTGCCAATCCCAATCTCGACATCTTCGGATACACCACGCTGTCTTCCCACCCCTGTCTTTCCACCAATGAGGGTAGAGCACCGACCATGTGACATTTTTGCCCACGACAAGTAGCTCCCCATCGACGAGTCTTGTCCTTTTGCAAAACAAAGAACCCACCGATCTCAGTCAGTCGTCCTCTCTGCAAGAGTTGAGCCAATGCGCATTCCAGTCGTCATCCGCTTGGCCTTTGCGCATGGATACATACATTTGCGGATACCCGTCCCCGTACTTTCACAAACCGAGACAAGCCGAATTCTGAAACTTCAAGATGCAAAACAATGCAATGGCCCAATTGAATGAGTACTTCGATGGATATGCCCGCTCCAATGTACCCTATAGACTCGTCCACCAAGCGACCCACACCCGAGTGTGTCCGCTGGCACTTCAAGGCATACAAGGGCAGTGATTAATCCTTGTGTGGGTAACAAGAAGGCCAGCATCTGATAGGAAGCCAGTTCATGCAGTCCGCGTGCTCGGCTTATAAAAGTCTGAGCCGTCTATTGGTGCATCGAGGCAGCTATGAAATGTGGCCACTGGTGGGCTAGTTCGGCCAGCAAGGCTCAATGGAACTCTGGATTTAAGAAGAGACGCATCAGTGCTTGGTCACACCAGTCATTCTCCGGGTTCTGGGGACATGACGGGCCGAAGGCCGGAAGGTGCTATCCCTTGCTATCCCATTTGAATAATGTGCCGTCTCCAGCAGCATAGAAGAAATTTTGGTCCTGGCGGAGCCGTCCAAAACGGAGAGGATGTGTCCTTCCAAATCGTTGATGACCTGGGGATATTTTATTGGGCATGGGTACCGCTCCGCACGAATTTCTGAACTGTTCTGTTGAGTAGTCATCGGCAGGGAGCACGTGCATACATACATATATACCTGACTATCAGCCTACTTGTATTAACACAAGGCAACAAAAGGAGACAACCATCCACAGTGTGGGCACTGAAGCATCACCTTTCAGCAGTTCGAATTCGATTTGATTCCTCGAAATTCGCAGACTTCTAACAGTTCGAAAATTCGTGCGGAGCAGCACCCGGGCGTTTCCGCCATCGCGTCCCCCTTTCTTTTCGCTGATTCCAATACAGACGTGCAAGATCTCGCCTCCAGCCTCCTGGCAGCTCTCCAGATCCTCTCTGCTCGTCGTCTTCTTCGGTCTATTTCGGGGGAACCTTTGCCTGGACCTGTGCTTGATATTGAGGAATCTGCATAATGATTCCAACTATGGGTTATAGTATAATGGGATAGCCTACCGTCTGTATCTGTATTCAGTATAATGAATTGGTGATACTCAGTGAGATGGCACTGGGAACAATAAAGGTCGATTTCAGAAAGAACACGTAATATCTATCCCGCTGTTTTGCAACTACTGAAGATCTCGATATGAAGTTTGAGATATCTGGGGCAGAGATATCGTGAGTACAGCAATACCTCATAATAAAAGTGGACCACTAAACCATATTGCTGTTGCGACTTTCCGCCATGTCGTACCCATCATTTGGGCAGCTACCTAGGATCGAAAGAAATGGCGTAATTTTGCAAATGATGACCACCAACATCCTTGAAAGCTTTTCGCTCCTTGATCGTCTCCTTCATTTTGAGATTCCAACTCATCAACGACAGACTTGAATCTTGGAAGTCGATCAAATTTGTTATTGGGTTGTCTTGACACTTGTCAGTATCACCAATTTCAACTTGAATTAGATATGACAAATCAGATATACTCACAGTGGATGTGGAGATGGTAAGGGACGACTCTCTGAAACGGCTTGCAAGCGTACCGAGGGGTGATATCTCTCCAGCGATAAAGAATGTGAACGTATTTCCAACGGAATACTATTGATAAACGGTATTAAAACACCTTCTGCTAGCAGCTCACGGGCATGATGAATGGTGAGGTCCAATTGTGTTGGTTTCGGTGGAGATATCAGGACGTTGTGGTTGTTGAGTAGGTCTCTACGAAGATCCCCTGGAAGGTTGAGCTCATTCGGGGCTCCAGTGGATATATACGTGCTCATTATAGTTTTCCACTGTTTGCCCAGACGTCGTGTCTCGGGTGTCATATGTCCTTCATTCCCGGCTACTCCTGAGTAATAATAAGCATCGATGTAACCACTCGCTTCGGCTAAAAAGTCCAATGTTTCGATACAATGGTTCCGGGACAGGAAGTCGACAAATGATTCAAAGTCGTATGGGGCACGCGCATGGCCAGATATGATATTATTGATAGTGGGACGTGATTGCCCTGAGCCTTGCCCGAGAATTTGTGTAGTTTCCGTATCAGATGACGACGCGGTAGTCGGGGTATCTTTGCCCTTGCAACTATATGCCATCGATTAAATCAGGTGCGAGCTGGGTAGATAGGATATTGAGAAAATTGTAGAATGAGAATTGACAATATTGAAGGAATTATAAAATCTTTTCAATTCTACAGTATTGCATTGGACGGAAGTACTTTCATTTATCAGTCTTTCGCATGAGGCATACTTCACTTAGTAACCATTGGTTTGCCACGGAAAGTACAGTCTCTTGCTTGATGTTCTTCCTTTGATTGGTCGGGATATCCTCGCCCAAACCCGAGCGACCATCGCTCATGGTAGGTCAAATGGGATCCATGGTAGAAGAGCATATCGTGGAGGTCAAGAACGAAATCCTCAGATTCATTTGGGAGGTGCCCCGTGTATATCTAGTTGAGACACAATGAGTTACACCTCTGCTTCGGCAGGGGTTATCCATATATTGCTCCATGTATTGTCCATTTACACGGGTTTATCAATCTCTGCAATACAGCCAAATTAGCTCATCTGCTACTGTAAAGCATTATCATCTGAGTACTTTTGGTCTAGGTGCATCGAAACCTTATCGCTACCCAGCCCATATACCTAATTAATCCATGCCACGGGCCAGAATGAGGCGAATCTTCAGCCCCGAAAACAATTTGGCAGCTGATGGGTACATAACGGAAGCGGCTCAAAACTTACATTCATTAATCTTCCCCTGAATAGTGATTGCATCGACATCTTATCCTTTAATGACCTTCACCCCAGACTTTGAAGCCACTAATTTCCGGGACAGTGTAGGACACACTACACAGTCTATCGTGACCTGCCTTCGAAACAACGAGCTGAATACGAAGAAAATCCAACTCCTCCTGTCAAAGTATAGCCTGGATGCACTACTTGACGGTCGGTTCATTGGCACTGCACGGTCTGATGGTCGCTGCGTTGACCATGCGACCCATTTACTCTTTGCCCACGTTGACTTTATTGCGTGGCTGGTTTCGCAGAATTACACCATAACTGCGAGCTCAGTCAAATGGTACAGCTGGAGAACAGTGTTGAACAGGCGCCGCTTTTATTTATCGCCGAAATTTGCACAACCGCAGGAGATAATTGAAAGAATCCGCGACACGGAAGAAGTTGTTTGGGCTGAAATAGCCATCTACCAAGTGAGCTGATGTCTCCAGATTGTTTATCGAATTTACCTGCTAAGTATCGTCTCAAGATTACTACCGGCCTAGTTGGCTTCCAAAATCCTACATCGCTCTCTCCTGCTTCAGAGACTACTATATCCCTCGAAGGTAATTCCCCACTTTCCAACGCCATTCGATTATATGAATCGAGTGGTCTCAGTGGTACAGAATTCTTTAATGTACTTCGCAAAGGCTGGGATACTGTCGAATTTCTCTATTGAACTTGAGCTACAGGAATAAAGTACAACTGTGCAATAGCAAATTACCAAGGTGGGCAAGGGCCACCAAATTGCAGCATACACGAAGTTTAGCGTAGATTCTGAAGTTTCATCTACCTGATTAGACTAGTACAAGAGTTGAATAAATGTCTTTACACCTCCGGCGATTCGATCTCCCAGGCAAGTATCTTTTCAAGTTTAAATCAATCTCGGTTCATTCAATCAGAAAAAAAACATGATGACTCATTAGCAGCAGGCTGACTGGCGTTCTCAGCAACGGAATAGCAGAGTGCACTAAAAACGATATGTAGCGTAGAGTGTCATAATACCAATTTCGATTTGGCTGATCTCGCAGGAGCTCCAAGTCGCACCCGGCCAACACGTATCAAACGGGAGCGCAGCATGAGTATAGAGACATCTTTATTTAGCTTTTCAATTTCGACTGGTCATGTGATGGTAGCAGGGTTCTTCAGGTCCAGTGCCTGAGGCGGAGAACGAGCGCATTTGTACGTAATGTTGTCCAAGGCCTCTGGTGTTCCCTACGAATAATCACGCAGCCCTACCTTATAGACGTGGTTGCGGGTGATCGACTGCGTAGGTGGACATGTGTAAATATCGCCTTCGAAGGAGATCAGAGATCAACCATGGGTCGAAATATCGGAATAGTGGGCGTACCTGGAGGGAGGTCATTTATTTCAGCAGCAGGTATTGCCCCCAAGTGTATCTTGTAGGAATTCTAGACCATCGTGCGCTGTAATCGGCACGGTGTGATGGACACGATTCCTGAGGCCGTACAATAGTATGTGGGCGCTGTCTGGGAGATCTTGGGCGTAGGAGTCTCGTCCAAGGCTGATTAGGTCAAGGTATCAAATTTGGTCCATGACGGCGATATTTCCATGAAGCTGGTCCAAGACAATTCACCTTTCTGTGGAAACATGGCTTATGTCGGAAAAAATCGCCATAAGAAGGTGATAAAAAACTTGAACAGCCTCGAGGGTCCAGAGAGATGTGGATATGACCCAACATGATGGGCCAAGGAGTCCTGGGAATCCTTTCTCCGTATTTGCCATTTCCTTCCCAGAGCACCCATCTCCGATCTTCATTCTACAATGAGCAGAACAGTCTTTATCAATTCAAAAAGGAATTCACCGGGCGCGTTAATCTGGTCAGATTCAAAATTAATGCCTTGCCCCGTTGCCATTTTGGAATCCTTGAGCCGTCAGAGCGAGTCCTTGAAAGGAGAACGGACCTGCAAGTTCTCTCCCCGCAGGCCACAACTGGAATTCACGGCTCCGTTCTCGCGTTGCAAATACAGATCACGATGATCAGATAAATCTCTTGCCCGATCGAGTCGAAGGCTCATCTTGCAACGCGTGGACGTGGTTGGCGTCGGGGTTAATGAAAATTTATGATCATTTATGATCAAGATGACCATCTCTTAACAGTTCCATCGAATTCCCCACCGACCGACCGACCGACCGACCTACCTACCTCAGACCATCCGCTTTGGATTGGGCAAATCGGCTGCATGATGACCCTATTGCCACTCGATCTTCAGGGCAGTGGCGAACCATCTGGGTCTGCCGTGTGAATAGCAATTCTTGAGTTTCATCAAATTCTGGCCCCTCTCGCATAGACTTGTTCCATGATGGTAGGTAAAGCAATGTCATCCCCTCAGGATAACACATCACTCGTGCCTAAAGTCCAGACCCAAGCGATGATGTCCCCCGGCATATGGAAACCACCGAGGAAGCATCTTTGAGGAAGGAGAAACGACACAACAGTGAGGGTGTATTTTCTGACTCGAAAAAGCCAATGCCTTGCAACGATACTGGACCTAAGCAGGCAGTATTGATGTGGCGGAACCTACCTAAAGAAGACACATTTTTCGGCCGTTTAATCAAAATGGCAAGGCTCGACCAGGCTTGTTCCCCTAGTCACCAGATGCACACCCGATCAATATTCCAACATCACGAGTTCCTTGGGATGCCTTTGTTGATGATCATGGAATCATCTTTCCGTCCACAAAAAGAGCACATCCAGCTGGGAGCTTCACACGTAGATACCGGGCGCCACTATTTATTCGTGTTGATTGGCCCGTCAATGCAACAATGAAGATGTGAAGGACCAGGCTTCAAGGTCTATGGCATTGTTTCCAACCGAATCATCATGACCAACAAGGACGACCAATGAAATATGGATAATGGGGGTCATCAGGGCCAGTTGTCTTTCCTTGAAGACTATGCCACTCTGGGCTGGACCTGGCCGCTCTCGATTTAGGCCCGGAGATCAGGGGCCTATATTCCTGCCAGCCAGAACCGTTCAATTTCCAACAAACCTAGTCATCAATGAGCCCGTGCAGTGTCTCCCCAGCTTCGGAATGAAGCATTGGTAACATGAATCACCAAAGCAATTTGGTTTTGCATGAAGCATATTCACAAGCGGACCCTTGGTGCTCCCAAAAGCTTCTATCATCACCAGCCAGAACCATCCCATTCAACTGGTCGTCCTGCGGTACTTTCTTGACTCCGACATATATACAGCTTTGTATAATCGAGTTGGACAGTATGCAGCGGTATCGGCCATCGTTGGTTGTTGTGTGCTGGATTTACAGTATCGGGGTTTTAGGTCTGGGGGCTTGGCAAATGCAACGGCTATCTTCTGTCGACAAATTCAGTCGATATATGCCTGATGAGATGACTCCGCATGTATGTTTGCGCGCAAGGGCTCGATTCAAATCGTGTCGCCGGTAGGTATTCGATCGGGCTGGTGTTGTGCGTGACCCCAAGGGCCTGACGTGAGTATCTAAGCATTTGCACGAGTGAGGTATTGGCTGGCCCTGATGAACCAATCAACCCAAGCTGCATGCGAATCGTCAATTTTCTGTTTGTATTCAATGGTGCTCAACCGAAGTTTTCATGCTCACCTGAGTCAGCCGAAGTGGCCATGTGCACACAGGGGTTGTTCTTGAGCACTTGCAAAGCCATGAGCTTGCGGCCAGCGGCCTGAGAATTCACGATCAAGCCATGCAAACGAACTAGGAAGACTCTTTGTATATGCATTTGGGTTGGTCTGCATCGTGTTGTATCCTTGAGCCAATGAATGACGTGCGAGCTCGCAGGCCTCGAGGCCGTCTACTCAACCGACCGACGGCGATACTTGCTCAAGAAAACAGTTGCACATGAAATAAACGGAGCGATTTCCCAAATCACAATTCAGAGACAGCAGATCGATCGAGCTCGTGGTGTCTGGGCCTGGGCCTGGGTCGTGTGATCGGGGTCGTCGTGCGTGTCGCAGGTGAGAAGGACATCGAGGGCGTTTTGAGAAGAGCCAAGAGAGGCATCCTGCAATTCCAAACATTACAGCCTCAGTGGAAACCATAGTATAGTGGAATATGGGTTGACTCACTATATTCTGGGCGCAATACGCGAAATGGTGGCCGTGAAACCCGTGTTGTGCTCCTACTGAAACAGCCCACTAATATCACTGATTTCGATTCAAAGTCACCTAGGTAAGTCACCTAGGCGTCATGTGTCATTGTGTCAGTATCGAAATGCTTTTGCTTTGAACCAAAAACCCAGACTCGTCTTCGCACCTCGAAAATAATGACCCCCGGCTTGTAATCCCAGAGAAAGACCAATCGCCTTCATCTGAGAACAGGGTAGATTCGCCACTCTATGGCTATATTGCCTCACATACCTTTTGTCTTTGGACCCTGAAGTTAGTTCTGCAATGCAGAATAGACTGTGTTGCTTCATCTCGATGATGAACAAGGGACTGTGTGATGGGGTGAGAGCGGGCCAAGAAAAACAGCGTTACGGGAATAGCATGGAGTGCTTCCCACATGCCGACATCAGCGAACACCAAGGCTGCTGAGCCACCTGCGACATATTTAATCATTCCAGAAATGCTGTCCTCTTAAGAGAATGGGGCTTTAGCGACAATCTTTCCAGTACCATTTCTGGTTTGACCAACGGATGAAACTGGGTCATCACAAGGAGCAACTATGTCGGCTCTCACATCCGTGAGCTCGAGCCACAACCAACAATAAATCACTCATCGCAAGGATGCCAGGCCAAATACAAGCTTTATATGGCTGCTGCGTTCGCCGTGTACTAATAGCAAAATCACTCGATGATGTACGGCGTACAACGCCACCAAAGATCCTGCACACCACTATCAGCTCCTTGCTGACTCCCAGCCGAGGTACCTCAGTCGGAAACCTGGATACCAGTGACGACACCACAGATAATACTAAATTCGAACTCAGTATCTCCATTGGTTATAGTGAAATAGGCCGCTACCAATTATACAAGCGATGCCTATATCTGCACGGGTCCATGCTGCAGTATGTGCGAAACAGAGGCAATATATCGCCAGTCTCAGCGATCTCGATCATCTGATGGCTATGAGAAAAGTTACCGACTGAGATGCTTCAATACGAAAACTATCCATTTGTTTGGTTTGGCTGGGAAACAACTGTCGGGAAGTGGCAAACCAGCGCGGCTATCGCATCCAGCATACCACAGTGTACCATTCTCAACCTAAGAACCCACAACCCATACCGCCCAAAAGACCTTTATGTTGGGTTTTATTGGTATTGGTATTCTGATACGGGGTGTACATTTTACGGCAAATTTCCCGAATTTATTGGCTTGCGTTCTTCGTGTATTTTTACCCTTCAGACCTTGCACGATGAATCCTGAATACTCTTCGGACTATCCGGAAAACGAACTAGCAAACTCCAGCTACGACTGGATTACCGCCTCTTCCACGCAGTCTTCAGCATTCGACTTTCCTGCTGATCCCTTCCCTCCGCGAGAAGAATTGGTCACCAGCGACCGGCCGAATACTAAGGTCGCGATTCCACGAATTGTCAACCCCAATACCTGGACCAGCAGCACTCGAGTTAGTCAGGCCTGTGAAAACTGCCGTGAGCAAAAAGCTAAATGTAGCGGACACCGTCCTGACTGTCATCGTTGTACGGATGCTGACATCCGGTGTTCGTACGGGGACCGGAAGCGGGAAAGGATGGCCAAGTCGGTGAATTCTGATGGAGCAGCCACCGGCTCACCTCTAACAACCCTCTAGGCAGCTTATCGAGCTAACCGCCCAGGTGGAAACCTACAAAGCCCTCTTAAAAGACCTCTATCCCAGGCTAGACGTGCCGTCGGCCCTCCATGTTGACCAAACCCTTAAGGAGGTGCGTTTCACTCATCCTTGTTCTCCTTTAACTTTCTCATCCGTCTCATCCTGTCCAGCTTTCAGATTCCTCTATACTCCGCGCCGCCCCTGAGGACACAGCGTTCGCCTTCAGGGCCATCGACTACACCGACGAAGACTTTAATCGCGATGAGAAACTCCAGGCCATGGGTTTTGTTGGCGAGCACTCGGAGATGGCGTGGTTGTACCGAGTCAAACGCGACCTAGACCAAGCCAAGAAAACACCTGGTAACAAATCCGATCCCCCTTCTATCTCGTCGGTAAACTACTTCCAAGACGACTGCAAAATATCGGTACTCGGCGACGTGGATCTTTCGGCACGCCCTCCTCAACACGTCGCTAGTCACCTCGTCGACAGTTACTTTCGTTCGGTGCACCCTACCTTCCCGATCATTGGCATGACGACATTTATCGGACAGTTCAACTCCCTCTACACGGACCCCAAAGTACGCCCTGGAAAACGATGGCTGGCGGTATTGAATTTGATATTTGCTATTACAGCGAGACATTATTTGTTAATGGGCCTGCCGATCCACTCGGAGGCGGAGAGCTACTTGGTATATTTTACGCGTGCATGGCGACTCGGAATTGACAACGTGGCGTTACTTTCACATCCGAACTTGCAGCAAGTTCAGGTTGAAGGTTTGGCTGCTTTCTATCTTCTCTCTGTCGGCCAAGTCAACCGGTATGCTTATTTACGTGGATTTTATACCATGGGGTCTAATGACTAATATTTGGCCTTGTCTAGGTCATGGATAATTCTTGGTGTCGCGATTCGATCCGCCGTTACCATGGGGCTCAACCTCCGCAACGAGAGTAGCACAATTGGTCACCTTTCGAAGGAGATAAGATATCGGGTGTGGTGGGCGCTTTTTATGTTGGATACCGTGCTATGCGTTATGACCGGCCGACCGCCCAGCACCAGCGATACATTTTGCTCTACACCCCTCCCATTGCCGTATACAGAGGAGGAGTTCAGCGATGAGCGTATCATGCGACTTATCTCTGATCAACAAGCCCGGGATGCCTTCATGACTTCCCTCCTCTCTACCGAGCCCGCGGTTACGACCGATGATCGCATCTATTCCAGACAACCCGAGAGCAAAGGAAAGCAGGTCGAGCAAATTCCTCAGACACTTACCCCCAACGTTTCGCTATACTTTTTATACACCATCGATTTGGCGTTTCTCACCCGCAAGGCAGTGGACACGCTATACGCGCCTCGAGCGCCGCGACGATCATGGCGAGAAATAGAGTTTCAAATATTTACCCTGAACAGTAATGCAGACAGATGGCTCTCTCGCCTTCCAGTAGAGTTCCATTTCGTCGAACTCGATGCGTCACAGTCTTTCGCTCAGGAGCGTGCCAGCCTGGCCTTCCGGTTTTACACCACCAAATTGATCATCTCCCAACATTGCCTTCGCCGCCTTGCTAACCTATCCGGTGTGGGGTCGCCTGGAGCCGTGTGCGATAACATGGCGGCTATGTGTGTCCACGTAGCCGGGCAGATTCTTGATCTTCTCCCTGATGAGGTAGACACAGCCTGGTTGTACAAAGTCTCACCTTGGTGGTGTATCCTTCATCATATCATGCAATCCAGCACGATTCTTCTAATTGCGCTATCCACCCAACTCCACACCGACATAGCAGAGGAGATCAATATTGCAGAGAAGGTGAAGAAGGCCACCCGCTGGCTGAATGAAATGTCCGCCAAGGATCCCTGCTCGCAGCGAGCGTTGCTAATTTACATGGATCTGCTCTCGCGTCACGCGTCTAAGCTTGGATTAGAAACTGACCTTGGGCTCTAGATATGACATCTATCCCAAGCCTCCACCTATGTACCCTGAGCCGGTGCTTGAACCCGCTTCCTGAGATCTCGAGAAGCATATCGGTGCCATCGGTGTTTTGCAAACTGCTTTCCACGTGGCAATGGCCAGTTATCGCTTTAATTTGCTGCAAGGCTTAACCTCAACGAACAACCTTAGTTTAGCTCGCAATTCGACATTATTACGTGGAAAGCGAAGACCAGTCTTGTTCCCTAGGTTAGGGTTGCTCACTTTCCATTTTTGTGGGTCAATATACATGTCCCGTCTTTCTTCAGGCCTCGATCGTTCTCCGTGAGCTGTTCATCGGAGTCGTACGCGTCTCGGCCTAGGACTGTTATAAAACCGTACCAGATCGCTCAATACCGACGAACGACCTCTTAAGGGCATTTTCCTGCGATGGTAACCCCGACTTCGACTTTAACGCTCAGGTAAAGCCTACGAGGGCCTGGATGACGAGGACGACGCTAAATGCGCCTCTCGCTTTGTCTGCCTTCTCATGCACGAAGCCCTATTTAGGCCTCACAGGGTGGCCCACTTTCTTCATGAGGCTGCGCAAATAAATGACTAGATATACACTATATAAAAATAGACATCAGTATGCAGTCTGACTAAGCATTCAAAAGGTCCCTACGGCCCAAGTACTGTGGGTCTTATGAAGGTTACAGCGACTGGTTTCGCTATTTCTTCAACTTTTTTCTCTCCTTTCCATCAGTGTTCGCATCATGGTACACAGTATACCCATATTTGGCTATCCGTCGCCTCATGCTTATCCGGCTTATCATGAGCCTAAACAGCAGCATGGACTTCATTAAACTTGCCGGCCCTGACCAACGCAGCTTGATTGAAGCGTCGAACATGACGATTGATCTTCTCTTTGCCTGGAGGCATCTTATCTCGCAGCCCCACACCCGCGTCACCCGCGATTCGAATGTTGTGATTCTCTTGAACCATGCGATTTGCTTGTTCATAAGTGCTATGGTAGGCGAAAGTCCAATACTATCAAAATCCTTGATCTGATTTATAAGTGCCTCTTCTTGTACCTCCCAAAGCCTGTTTGTGTGGCTTGCATGTATCAATTTTACACGCGCCACGGATAACTCAGTGCTGGAGATGAGGGTATGCAATGTCGAAGCTAAGCGAAAATTGTTTGATGTTGCTTCTTTTTTCTTGTCGGGTTGTATACGCTGGATAGCTACAGATATGCGATCTTCCGCATATCAATACCCCCAGGCGTGGGGATTGTGGAAGAGGGCGCGTCGAACAGGCAGATTTACGCCAAATGATCACAATCTATGGTAATTGACAGATGACTTGTGATAAGTCTGGCGAGCCCTTTCGGGAAACCGTGAAAATCTAGGAATGGTAGCCCATCCAGCCATTCACAATTATGACGTACCTACAGCGAATGGAAGGCGGTGTGAGATAGCAGAATACGTCGGCTACGTCTCGCCTCTGTTGATTCTGTCTCCCTCTAGAATATTACCCCCACTGGACCTACTCTCTACATTCATAGAGAATTGTCTCCAAAGTGAATTTCAAAGCTTACCACTCAAACAAGTCATTATTGGCACACTTCTTTCGTGTGTTAAACCGTCGTTTTAATATTCCCAGGCCCAATGAACGTGTCAGATTCCTTCGGCTCTCACGCAGACGCCGAGAATGCAACCCCATCGGGAGTCATAGACTACACCGGAGAAGACTTTGACTGCGATGAAAGATTACAGGCGATGGGCTTTGTGGGCGAGCATTCGGAGAGAGCGTGGCTATACAGACTCAAGCAAGCCCTCGGCCAGGGTAAAGCAATTCCTGTCGGAGAACACGCTGACCACCATTCCATTTCTTCCATGAACTACTTCCAAGATGAGTCTGACATTCCACTCATTGAGAATTTGGATCTATCAGGACAGCCCCCGCCCCGTGATATCGCCGATCAACTCGTCGACGACTACTTCCAGACCGTGCATCCCGCATTTCCAGTCATCGAGAGGACGAAATTTATACGCCAGTACAAGTCCTTCTATTCGAACCCGGATACCCCTCCTGCGAAACAATGGTTAGCAATATTCAACCTCATAATGGCCATTTCAGCGAGGCATTCGCTACTTTTGGGGAAACAGTCTCCGGGGGAGCATGATGGACATACGGTCTACTTTTCACGCTCATGGTTGCTGAGCTTAAATCCGGATGCATTTTTGAGCAACAAAACTCTACAACAGGTGCAGGTTGAGGCTTTGACGGCCTTTTACCTCCTTTCAGTTGGCCAGGTCAACCGGTAGGTCGTATGCAAATACTTTTCGTTGCTGATATGTTATATTGACTGGTTTTCTTGCCTTCCTTGAGATCCTCCAGATTTATTGCGGTCGCGATCAGATCGGCTATAGCGATGGGGCTGAACCGTAGCGAGAGCGACACGATTGAGGCCTCTGAGACTCGATATCAGGTGTGGTGGGGACTGTTTACGTTGGACACGGTCTTGTGCATTATGACTGGCCACCCTCCTTGTATTGGAGAGACCTATTGCACAGCGCCGCTTCCCGTGAATTACGAGGGAGAGTGTTCCGAGAACAAGCCTGTGGTGCAGCCCAGCAAGAACACAATGGATCACATAGATCCAGTGCAGCAAGAACCGAGCAAGGGAAACCAAAGTGAGAAAGCCACTGAGTTATCTCGCACTTCGATGCACAACATTTCGCCATGTTTTATATACACTGTGCACTTGACATTTGCCATACAAGAAGCTGTGAATACTCTATACGCCCCGAGGGCCGCGCGACGATCATGGCTTGAGATCGAAATGGCGATTTCTTCATTCAACAACAATGCTGAAGAGTGGCGCTCCCGCCTTCCAGCCAACTCTCGTTTTACGGAGATGGGCAAAGACGTACCACTAATATTTCCACGCGCTGGCTTGGCTTTCCAGTTCTATAGCACCAAGCTTATCATTTCACAGCCTTGTCTTCGGCGTATCACTCAGATCTCGTCGCCTGGGTGCGTCTGCGAAGCCATGGCGGTCATCTGCATTGAAGCGGCGGTAAAAATGATCGATATTTTGCCGGACAAGGTTGACATAGCCTGGCTATACAAAGAAACGCCATGGTGGTGCATTCTCCACTATGTCATGCAGTCGACCAGTGTTCTCCTGATCGCACTATTCAATAAAGACCGACTGGCAATGATTGCTTCCTTCGACGTAGATGGGAAAATCAAAAAGGCTCTACGGTGGCTGGAAGAGATGTCTACGACAGATATCTCCTCGCGGCGAGCCTGGTCTATCTGTGAAGATATTCTGTCTCAACGCAGCTGAGCGTTCGACTGGATGTTGAGTCGGGCTCTCGACTTCTTTGAATATATCACGTGGAAATTTCTCTTTTTAGCATGTTTTTTAAGTAGCGATGTCGGCACCGGGGGATCCGTGATATGAAAATTCATCTTTTGCTTTTTGTGCTAGGCCTTTCGGAGCCTGAAAGAGCCAAAAAAAGTGATAGCGCGGTAAATTCTATGTAGGTGTAGCACCCACCGTATGGAAATCTTGTCAAGAGAAGCGGATTTACCACGCAGGTGGATTTTCTATTTGGCAATGTTGTGATATGAGGCTGGTGCAGATCAGGAACCAAGCCGAACCTTCGGAATTAATCCCGAAGTATGTATACGAAGAACCAAGTTGATTGGAAATCAACTTGATCTTCTCGTTGTATATCTAGCCTCATTTTTCCCTCTGAATAAATAATATAATGAATCTTCCTTTGAACTACAACAGGCAATGCACTCGGCCTCAGAGCTCAGCTTTGGCGCAGTCCCTGCATTTATCTGGCACCGTCAAAGCTCCTTTCATCAAAGCTGCACGGAGCATCAGAACACTAGTTGCCGGTAGTGTCACATCCCTGCGGAATGGTTGGTTATCAACAGTCCGTTGATAATTGCGAGTGAGTTCTTAACAGTGGCTTCGTGGCTTTTGTAGAGTGGCTCCGTTTCTAGGCTGCGACTGAGTGCAAAAAGCAAACATTCTATCTCCTAAGCCATGGTCACCCTGTTTAATTACGAACTGCGCGTTCTCAGCGCCTAATCTTAGCCGTTGCTCTTCGCATCTTATCTAGGCTGCGGCAAACCCATGGGTAGCGCGGAAAACCAAAACCGCAAACCGCAATGCAGGTGGTCGTCTTTTTTGATATGAGGCTGGTGCAGTCAGGAACCAAGCCGAACCATCGAAATTAATCCCGAAGTATGTATACGAAGAACCAAGTTGATTGGAAATCAACTTCATCTTCTCGTTGTATATATAGCCTGATGTTTCCCTTCGAATAAAACAATCAATCTTCCTTTGAACAACAACACACCTCATTCCGCAAAATGGCGCCTAGGCTCCCTCCACCAAAGCTCGAGATGATCCGTGATATGGAACTTAGCAAATCCCTGACTACATCGCAGATGCCTGGAGCAGCTGAATGTAGTGAGCCATCAATCATCAACATTCGCAACAAACTTCTCCAATTCGGAAATGTTAGAGCGCCTCCTACTCATGTAGGACGACGACCAAACATTCCCTCTTTTCCCTTCTTGGGTGGCTACTTCAGGTTTTCACACGGAATGTTGACACTACTGTAAATATGCCACACTTAGCACTAACCGTATATTTGCATAATCTGGTAAGCCCAGTATACAAATAGAAGACCGTGAAAACCATTGGCATCTCTTGGTACCACTAAAATATTACATTGTAGTATGCTGACGCCACCACGTTATACAGATGGCCGGCTAAAACACCCGCACATTCTGGCTCCCTGTAACAACCTCGCAAGACAATTTAATAGTCAGTCAACCCTTGCTCAGAATCGGATACCCATTGGAAAAAATAGCTTGTAGGTAGGTATCTTTGACAAAATATATCGCTTGACGAAGAATAAACACATGTTTGGAAAGTGTACAAAAGGCACTTAATTTCTACATACTTACACTGCAACATACCCTTCTCCCCCTTTGATACTTCATTTGAAACCCCTCCCCTTTTGAATGGCAATATGCATTGGATTTATTTCGCACTCTACCTCCTGCTGCCATTAGCCTTAGCGTCTCAAATGTCCGACGACTTTGTCTGCTGAACACTCACCACCAAAGATAGCAAGAACCTCTCGTTTCGCTCAAAGAGGGCATACTACCCAGGCTATCAAGCGAGCACGAGTCTCCAGAGTGAGATCTTTGCGGATTTCATTGAAACATTGTACGGCGAAAGAAACGTGTCTAAAGCCTTCGAAACTTATACCGATTCCGACATCATCGAACATGACCCTGCCGATACGCCAGGCCGCGACGCTATTATTGCAAGACTAGACGGAATCATTCCTTATGCGAACTACACAATTCGATTTTCGAGCTTTGGCGACGATGTTGGCCTGGTCTACTTGAGAGTTGAAGATCAGCCAGAGCCGATTGCACTTGCTGATGTTTATCGAATGAATGGGACATGCATCGTTGAGCATTGGGATGTCTCCCAGGCCAGGCCTGCGAATGCGACAAATCCACTTGCTATGTTCTGATTGATCTTGATTTTTTGTGTCTACTTCCTATGTCGGTGGTTAGCAATAAACAGCGATAACAAGAGAAGAAGTAGTATTATTAAGGCGTAGGAGGATCTTAAAGTGGCAATTTGAGATTGTCTTTCGAATAATGTGACTAAGGTTTTCTTAGTAGCCTTTCGAGGGGCATTGACCGAGGAATGGAAATTGATTTATTATGGACAGAACACGTCTCGCAATCGCGTGATCAAGGTGAGTATCGCATTAGGCGTGCTGCGACATTTGCGGCCAGAACAGATGCGCTAGCTCTACTAGCCATGCAGAAGATTTTCCAGACAAGCTGTAGCTGCTTTCTCGTTGACCCTACCGATTTTGGATTTCCATACCCGAATAGATGACGGAGTTCATACAAGTGCCAATTTGTCAAAAGGTGCACGTAAGAAATCGATACAGGAGGTCAGATTGATGATATCCCGTCTCAACCGGCTTCATATAACGTCAATTTACACAGAATATACCATCACTTGTCCCCGAACAGACAAAATACGATGTTGAAATTAAAATAGAAAGCTGAACAAAGCTGGCTGCGAAATAAAATTAGCTTATAGCCTCGGAGAGTCCGGTCTGTCATGTCTTGTTAGGGTTCATAATGTTTAGCAAATTGAAGCATCATGCTTAACTGAGAGACGGGAAACTCCTCGTCGACCATCTTTGGCCTTTCCGTACTGTCTCGGTCAATAGGCTTCTTCTTTGTCCTTTTCCTTCTTTTATGACCTTTCGAGGCTTTCTTGTGAGTAGATTCAGGCGTTCCAGTGTCAAAGACTTGCTCCATTTGAAGCATTGAATCAATGCATTTAATTCTCTCTGTGTCAGGAGGCTTTGTATACACTGCTTCGCCTCATTGGGGGTCACGTCGCCGGGGGAGTGATCTGGCGTAGTTGTGTAGGAAGATTGCTCAATGATTCTTCGTGATGCCAGGGCGCTCGCTGGCATGTAAAAAAATCTAGAATTATCCGACATTGTTGTGAGCATCTTCGAGAAAAGTACTTTCAGCGCGTTTTCGGTAGTGAGACGAAGATATTCATATTCAAGTTGTCGCACACTTGCAAATATCTGTTTTTCTGATGATCGTAACTTCAGCCACATAATATAATCGTCATCATCTGATAACACAATTTCATGGTTGGATGGTCATTTTCCAAAGCGAAAACTACGCTCTAGACCGCCTCGTACCGGTCTATTCCCAATCAGAAGATAGCCGCATAAAATACGAACTATCTGAAAATATCCAGTAACGTATCTTACTACGTCATGTTGAGTAACCATAGCCATTCGTCAAGGATCATATGGATAATATTCGGAAAATGTAAGAACATATATTTGAAGTGCCAGTGGGTAAGGTCCGTTCTGGGGAGAAGATGGAAGCAGAGGGGTGTTGCAATGTAGAGAAACGCTCAAGGGCCATTATTTGTGCTTTCGAATTTTCCTGTTTCCTGCGAGGGAAAGGGGAAAAGTTTCTGGATTACAGTAGAAGAGAATGTCTCAAATCTGGTATCCTTTTTGCATCACTTCGATCATCTACTTTCTCGGCCAAGGCCAAGTCCAATTCCGAATGTGCCCAGGGTCGACACCATTATTGTAAGCCTCTGCCTTAGCCGCAACCTGCTCATTGAGCAGCTTGTCTCTAAAGCCTGCTGCAGTGTTGCGGAGAGATTTAACTAAATCGATCGCATCGATAGCGAGGCTATATCTATCGGTCTGGTTGCGCATGGCCAGCTCAAATGGAGTATCGATATTACCCTTCTCCCGGTATCCTCGCACATGCAAGTTATGCTGACCGGGCCGTTTGTACGTGAGTCGATGGATAAGCCATGGGTAGGAGTGGAAGTTGAAGACGATAGAATTATCGGTGGTGAAGATGGCCTTCCACTTCTTGTCCGACATGCCGTGTGCATGGTGGATGGCTGAGATCAATCTAAAGAGGTCCACCACGTTGACAAAATGTACCTTCAACTGCGGGAGATGCTCCCGTAGAAGTGCGGTGGCGGCGAGGGCCTTGTGTGTTGAGACGTCTCCGCAAGATGCGATCACAATATCAGGCTCAACGCCTTGGTCATTGCTTGCCTAGTCCCAGATTCCGAGACCCTTGGTGCAGTGCTGAATGGCTTCATCTATGTTTAGGAACTAAATGTGATCCTGCTTGTCGGTAATGATGACATTTACATAGTTGATGCTGCGGAAATAGTGATCCATGACGGAGAGAAGAGTATTTCTATTGGGTGGGAGGTAAATACGGACTACCTCTGGGCTCTTGTTGGTGATTACATCGAGAAATCCGGGATCTTGGTGAGTGAAGCTATTGTAATCTTGTCTCCAAACTGTGGCAGTAAGGAGGATATTAAGAGATACTACATAAGCTCGCCATTCCACATCGAGGCATTTCTCAATCCACTTACAATACTAGTTGACCATCGAGTTGATGACGTGGATGAACGGCTTGTAAATGTTCAGCAATCCGTACCGTCCAGAGAGAATATAGCCTTCAAGTCACCCCTTATAAGTATGTTCACCGAGAATTTCTATTACACAGCTATTAGGGGCCAAATTCCCCCCATCTTTATCTTCTTCGAAATAATCTGCCATCCAGACCTTCTTGCCCGCCTTATATACCTCAGAAAGCTTGTTGGACTCGGTCTCGTCAGGACCGAAGAGCCGGAAGTTACTCATATTCAGGGCAACAAGATCACAAAGGAATTTCACCATATTAACCATTCCTCCTTTGATGGTTGAGCCAAGGGTAATATTTTTAAATCAATACTCTCGGAAGTCTGGTATATTAAGCAGTCGGCGTAAAAGACCTCCATTGCCAACTAGATTGGCACTTATTCGTGAGTTACCTGTGGGGGCTAGTTCCTTAAGTTCCGGTATCAACTTACCATTTTCGTCAAAGACCTCCTCTGGTTTATAGCCATTCATCCAATTCTCCAATAATTTCATATAAGGAGGATTAGTGCGGACGTCAGTAATTAGAATCTGATGCACATACCAGAATCCTTTAAGCAGGTAGCCATCTACCTCATATAGAGCTGACCATCCCTTGGGAGTCCGAAGAATGATCATCAGCCATTGTAGTCTAAAGGGGGTTTTTATCTCTCTGGCTTACTTCTGGTACTTCTTAATCTCCAAGACACATTACTTGAGTGTTATAGCCATAGCTTAATACATACTATCATAATCACTTCCCTCAACGAAGTACAGCTTCCACCCATATCCATCGAACAAGGATGACAGCTCTTTGTGACTGACTCATGCCAAAACGGTCGGGTTGTTGATCTTATATCCATTGAGATGGAGGATAGGGAGAACCGCACCGTCGGTTATTGGGTTCAGGAACTTGGTACTGTGCCAGCTAGTCACCAGTGGGCCTGTCTCCGACTCACCATCTCCAACCATAATCAAAGTGATGAGATTGGGATTGTCAAAGACGGATCCAAAGTCATGAGAGATCGAATATCCCAGTTCACCACCTTCGTGGATACTGCCGGGAGTTTCAGGAGTAGCGTGGCTACCAATGCCACCAGGGAACGAGAACTGCTTAAAGAATTTCTTCATCCCTTCAGTATCCTTAGCTTTATCAGGGTAGACTTCTGAGTAAACGCCCTCAAGGTAGGACTGCGATATAATTCCAGGGGCACCATGCCCAGGACCAGAAACAAAAAGCACATCAAGATCGTACTTCTTGATAAGGCGGTTCATGTGAATCCAGGTGAAGGATTGGCCAGCGTCAGATCCCCAATGGCCCAACAGTCGAGCCTTGATATGTTCCGGTTTGAGAGGCTCTCTAAGAAGTGGATTTTCGCGGAGGTAGAGCATGCCCAAGCAAAGGTACATGCTAGCCCGAAAGTAGGCGTTCATCTTGCGGACTTCCTCGGCGTCCAGAGGCTTGCCCTCCAACGTCGCGCGAGCCTCTCCATAAGCGGAGATGCTCTTCCCCCCAGTCTTTAAATCCATGCTCTGTGCCCTTGCTATATAGTGTTTGTTCTACAATATGAATAGGGATTTCGACTCCCTGTGTATGAACGGTCCGATGGTCCGGCAGAGGGATAGAAGAGTACAATTCAGGAGTATAGGATTATAGTAGTTTTCAAAGATCTGCAAAATCAGGGTGGGATAAAGTGAGCGAACCTGCATTAAATGAAAAGAAAAGAAAGTTATTTTCACCTTGATAATACACCGTACCTGCATCTGACAACACCGAAGTCAATGACGATTTGCTAGTTGACCAACATCCCACCGAATATAGGGGTGGTGCAACGCCAACATGATTCAGGACTCGTGGCTGACCTCGTAATGGAACCGCAAAGAGGTGCGGTTTGAACGGGAGGTGCCACAAGTAACTATTGCAAAATGGAATCATGAAAAGATACAGTCGTATTACAGTAGTATCGGACAGTTTTATATCGTGTAAATTATGTATATTGTGTATTAGTCTAGAGAAGTACGACCAGATATGCTTATTGTCCATAACTTTAGTTAGTCCGACCAAGATCTACTAATTTTCTTTTATAGTAAGTTTTTGCTGGCGATGGGAGGAAATTGGTAGCGTACCCCATATGATAAATTGAGTTTAGGATTGGATCCCACAAAACTGGCTGTCGTGCGCCCATTTCTCCCGTAGTATTGTACGGTGTCGTAACACATCAGAGCATTACCCCAGAGGGTCTCACACCGACCCTCACACTCACGATCAACACAGATTCAATTGCACATGTCGAGCACTAGTCAATACGTTGAATAGTCAGGTCGACATAAACTTCCATGCAACCACCCCGATGGTGATTTTTTTTTTTTTTTTTTCAAGAACCAAAACATCACTCCACTAACGTAATCCACATGCGAGCGGCCACCCCCAAAACACCAATAGTAAATGCAATATATTACAACTTACTATCTCGACAATAATAGCTTCGCCTAAAGTCTACCTATGGCCAGATATTCTTTATACTCTCTGTAGTACACCTCTAAGACTTAATTAATTTCTACAGGCTATTGAGTCTACGATTTATATTTAGAGCTGTGATGGCTAAATTACACCAAATTTCCAGATTGGACAAAGTTTATCCTTGGGGGAGTAGCAAAGAAAAAGTGTATATATCTATCTCCGGTCATTTATACCGATGCTATTCAACTAGTTTGGATTGTTTGCACTGGTCGGGAACCATAGGGAAGGCAAAATGTAATTTCAATATTTCGAAATTTCTGTAATTTGGCCTCTTGAAATGAAATTTGAAATGGGCCTTGAAATCTTGAAATCGAGCTATTCCGTAAACGGTAGGGTTTATTTTATTTGCTACCAATCATAACCCTAAATGCGGAGGGCGTGAAATCGACATTAGCCTTTATTTACACCCCGCCGTTGAGCTGGCTGCTCGCAATGCTCTGTAACTCCTTGAGGCCATTCAGATAAACGCTTCTTCCCTTTAGTGTTGCTAACCTCAAACGTTTTATCGGTACTGGTTTTGACTGAGCTCGGGCGTATGGGATGAGCTGAATTTGGCGTAGATGTCGTTGGACTCGGGAGAGGCTCCGAATTTGGCTTAAGCAAACAGTTAAGCCTCGAATTCAACGCGGAAACTAGCGCAGAAGTCGGTGCAGAATTCGGTGCAGAAATTGGTTCTGGACCTTGTTCCAAATTTGATTCAGGTTCTGGCTCGGGATTCAAATCGGGATTTATGTCTAAAGTTGACACGAGGCTCGACCCTACACCAGGCGTAGGACTTGGCGTAGGACTAGATACGGGATTCGATGAAGTATCCGAAGTCACGGAACCCTCTGATAGATGGTCCCGCACCTGCTTACGCTGCAAAACCCTCTCTATTTCGTTGTCATCTTCCTCAAGAAGGAACTCTTGGGTGATTTCAGGGGGCTGTTCTGTCCGGAATTGTTGTTTATTGATCTGGATATAGAGCAACTTCTCAACGCGGTGAGGCTCGAGCCGGTTCCGGACTTTTGTGTGCTGAAGGTTCATCTGTGAAAAGGCTCTCTCCGCTGCTGCGGAATTCGCGACAGTATTGCAAAGACGACGGGCAAAAGTAGCAAGAATAGGAGCAAAGTCCGCCTATAAACAGATCTAATGATACGTAGTTTTTCTCTATAATTGAAAGCTTCGACTTACGGCTTCAAGCCAAAAGAGAGATGGACAGTTAGCCCTCCAGCAAGAAGCATTATAAAATGCATCTGTCTTCTGCCGAAACGACAGAAATTCGTGCCAAGCAGACGAGCTTTGATCTTCGCTTTGAAGAGGCCGTAGAACACCTTCAATGTAATATCGAGAGGTCTCGTCAACTTTTCCAGGGACTCTAGCAGGGTCAAGATGATAAGGTACCCAGTGAATAGGCTCTAGCTGACGCGTTATACGACTTTGCCAGCAGATGCCATCTAGATATGATAAAAAGTCATCCTTGAGGGATGTTTGGGAAGCCAGCGCTCGCAGACTTTCATGGAGATATAATCACCATTTTGTTGCCTCCATGATTGACGAGTTCTGAGCTTCCGATTCCTTCTGAGCTATATGCAGAGGCTTAAGTATCTTGATCAACTCCCTTAGTTGCCACCGGAAAGAATGGGAGTTATCAGTCCGAACGATCTCCCTCCCCCTCGTAGTCAGAGCAGCAGGAGTTGCGAGAGTCCACTCGCAGATGGGTTCTTGGTAATCATGAAGTGATGACAGCATATTATATTGCGTTCCCCATTGTGTAATGACCAACGCAATAAGTGCCTTTCTATGGCCCCACTTCTCAATCTGCTTTGCTTGCATCCTTGCGTACTCAAGTGGTGAGTGGTGGAAGAAGACAACAACTTCAAGGGCAGACCTAAAAACCTCTTTCGCCTGTGGAACCTTTGAGGACTTAGGATCAACGATATCCTTCATAATTAGCTGTAGGCTGTGAGAGTCACAGGGAATCATAAAGTAGTGTCTGAGTTCTGGGGTTGCCTCTAGTTTCTCCCAGACTGATTTCATGACATGATATGTGTCTGTCGAAATAGAATTGATCCTCTTCCAGTCAACGACTTTGTCTAGCGGTAGTAGGATGCCTTGGAGCCTGTTTAAGATCCAACTACTAATAGCAGGAGCATTAAGAGTCTTGTCTTCCATGTCATTAAGATGAATAAACCACGACTTCGTTGGTGTTGTTATAGTTATCACAATCACCCGCTGAGATCGGATGTTAGTGGTCTCATCCACCGTCATATTCAGAAACTGGGTTCTTCGCAGCTCCTTAAGCACCTCCTGCTGTAGTCCATAGTATGCTTCATCCAGCAGATCATCGGCGATTCGGTGTCGAGAAGGGATTTGATACGTTGGACTTAACGCATAGATGAGGTCACACATCTCTTGCTGATCAAAGAGATTAAATGGCCTAGCTCCAGTAAAGCAGACCTGGGCTATCGGCTGATCAATACCCCGGGATGGCTGAGAAGTAGAAAAACTTAGCAGTTTCTGTTTCTTCCCCGTGGCGGTCTCAGGATCCATCAGAGCCTGTGCTTTGATGCATTTATTGACGTGCTCACTCTGACGAGTCGTGTTTTTGGCACGAATTTTAAAGCGTCCAAGGCATTTTGCTTGGGGTACCTAGCCATAGTTAGAGGAGTACAGATTGGATTTAACGAGTCAGTCCCTACCTTTTTATTCCCCTGTATGATTTCAAAGCACCTTTGAAGTTCTAACTCGGTGTAAGAGACCTTGTCAGAAGAGTTGCCGGCCATTTCCGAGAACATGTAATTACGAAAGGGTGAGAGCATCCCGCAGATATTATGGATATATACTTGTGCAGCTGTTGCTAGGAGTTACAGCAAATATTCTAGACATAGAGATGAGACGGCAGAGCCGTCTATCGCGGGCTCCTATTGGCCGAAAGGTTTCACCGCTAGTGGTGACTCATCAAACAGCAGCCCCTTGAAATATAATTGAAAGGAGGAAAAAGATTGAAATTTCAAGATTTCGTAATGAGTTGGCCAGTTTCGTTATTACAACATCACTACTTCTTATGTACTGTAAATCCAACCATTTTATCCATAATATTCATAACTATAGCATGATTTTTTTCCCACATAGCTCCATTAGGTATCATTCGTCGTAACGTAGGAAGCCTTGCATTCATAAAAATGAAAGAGACAGCTGGTTTCATTTCTCCAGTTGGGCTCTCGAGTCAAGGGAAGTAGGGTCCCTCCGTCCAGCTAGGTGCCATCCCGATACAAGGCCCGTTTCATAAGTCGTACTTGGTCAAAGCTTCCTTCGTAGCTTTTCAAGGCAGTGCACATATCGCTCCGGTACTTCTTCTCAGATGAATGAAAGATAGAACCATCGAATTCTTTGGAAGCGGGTTGTTTTACAGTGCATGAGGAGTATTTAATGGTTTCAGAGGGATCAAGTTCATCTCCACTGTATAGAGAGGGAGTTGGGGATGCGTCTGAGAAGTCATCCCAATAGGAGAATTCGTTTGGTGTATTCATCGATAAGAAATCACCCCAGGATGCTGATATTTCGGACCAAGTGGGAATGCGAAAAATTTGTATATCGAGTCAAATACAAAGGAGTGAGTAATGATGAGTTTCCTGCAAATTGATTCCTTCTTTTCCCCCTTTAGTTTACGGTGCTTGAAGGCGTGCTTGAGGATAAACTCTTAGTTTAATGATGGAATGAAATTTGATATAGTTTTCCAATAATTAGGTTACGGAGAGAAATCCTGCAATTAGGAGTGAAGAATTATTGATAAGCTAGGGATGTGGCTTCCTTTTCTATGGGATATGCCGTTAATTCAACGACTAAAATAGTTGCGAGAACAGTGGATGACTTCACGAGGTACTAAGACTATAATTGCGTCCTAGCTTTCAGACTTCTCGTTCCTTGGTCATGGTCTCGGTCGTACCTTTTTAGTGGAATCATTCGGCGGAGCTGTGTAGAACGTACTTGCGCATATCTCGTAAATCTTGACACAAAACACGGTCACTCAGCTCTGGGTCCGGTGATGGTTTCAAATGTGCCACATGAGTTTCGATTGTGGCGTATTAGTTAGTTCCAAGCATAAAAAGTGGGATTAAACTGCTCACATGATCGCAAGTACTAAAATTATAGGTGAATAGGTCGGTAGGAAAGCTCGAGATGAAAGATGCAACAGCGTACTTTTGTTATTGACGGCATCGATACTGCATTGCTCTTTGACCCTGTATCATGGCCGTTGATCCACAACAGGTTAGTTGTGCCTTGTCCAAAGGAATTGCTAACAGATCCGACGGGGTGGGACAGGCAGGGGTCCATGCTGGCCTTATCAACCTCTGGGATAGTAATAGGTCCAGATGATTCGATGGCTCGAGTCAGGGTTTTTTTACCTGGAACTTCTGTCATGAGCTGTCAGTAACAGATAATATCACCTAACTTTCGTGCTTTTGTCTTCGTATTCCCCCGGCGGAAACGGAGGCTAATTCTTCGTATAGTTGTTTTAGTTTTTCTAATCGCTACGCACTATGCTCTTACGGAACCTCTTCAAAGTTACAACTTATATAACTTGGCACCTTTTTTCTGCTCCTTCATGTATTCTCTGGATTCCATCTTGATGAGACTTGCCGACTCAAAGACTTCAAAATCAGGAAAATGGTCAATGTGACCTCAATGTAGTTGCCCAGCAAGAGCAGCGTCACCAGTTCGTTAATAGTGGGGCCAGATACTAGATACGGAAGACTTCCGATTGATGTATGGATTTTCTAACCAATCACATCTGACCTGTAACCCATGCTACACCTTCGTCATTCCAAATCCTCCGCCGAACTATCTTGTTCCGTTAATTTAGGTACGCAGTAAGTTATGTCTCTTCCTGTCACAGACAAACTGGGCCAGTCCAATCATCAAGCAGTCGTGTAGCTTTGTAATACCTAATCAATCTGAGGGATTATAGATCCACAATTATCCTTGGCCAAATTCAACCAGACAATGTGTACGGAGCCTAAGCATGGATTGTGGCACTGGAGCAATCGGCTCTTGCATCCGAAATCTTCCGCCTTCGACAAAAGGTAAAGAAAGCGCAGAGAGAAGAAAAACCATACAATAATTATCGTACGTTGGTGCTTACATGGCGCTGCCCGGCATCCTCAGGCCGCCCAATCCAGGCAGCCTACGGGCACATCGCTCTTTTGAAAAAGCAATTCTGGATAGTTCTGTCTGATCCTTCATATCTCCATACTGAAGTAATCCAATGAAGTGTATATCCAAGGCTCATCTTCTCACATGGATCGAGCCCACGATCAAGGATCGTAATCTCCAGCGTATCCATTTCTTCCGGTAATGGTGTTTAAGATTCTGGATGATTCCTTGGTCCAAGGGCTGATAAACCGAAGTTGCGTTCGCTGGGAATAATAGAACCCGAATATGGGGCGGTGTTGGTGCATTTGCCAAAGCCGACCGTATGCGCTGAACAATTGTCCAGTAACAGTAACACTCGTCTATCCTTTAGAAATGTGCCGTAAAGGGATCGTAACCATTCTTCCATAATGCCGTGACGCATCCAGGCCTTCTTATTCGAGCGCCAAACACAGCCTAAAGCTGGGAAAATAACACCCCGGAGAGCGCGAGGGAATTGTGCATTCCCAATTAACCATAAAGGTAAACGGTCTGTACCGGTCGCATTTATCGCAACAACAATGGAAATCCGGGTTTTATCTCGCTTTTGCTCGGCTATCTTTCTATTTGTCTTTCTATTTGAGAGACCTCTATTTGGCATCCGTCGCCAATATAGTCCAGATTCTTCCATATTATAGATATCCTCATGTTTATATTGGTCGCAGAGAATTCGGAGAGGTATAATATCATCGTGTATCGAGGAGGGGACTGAAGCACCTTCGCCGTGGAAGGTAAAATATCGGAGGGAGTGGCGTTGTTTGAACCGAGTAACCCAGCCACCAGAGAAAAGGGGTGTTGGAAGATCGCGATATTCGGGTATTGTCTTCCAATATTCAGCAGCTTTGTATTGAATTAAAGGGCCAGTGATCGGATATCCAACACCGATATGCCTTCCTACCCACTCAGCAAGTCTCTGATCTAATATAGGCCACTGAGGAGATAAGACACGCTTATTAGACCCTGCAGGACCCATATCAAGGTGTGCATATGTTGATGAAAGGATCTTCGATTCTGTTGTACGATCAATTTGGCGATGAAATTGGGATTGAAACCACTCAACACACGCTCTCTGGGTACCCCCCCATCAAATAAATTCAATATTATTTAAATCAACCAAAACACCATACAGTGGTAGTAGTAGTAGTAGTAGTAGTAGTAGTAGTAGTAGCAGACTTCATTTACCCTGTCCCCTCGCGAACGATATGCAGGATACAACAACTATATATCTTTAATTATATACATGTAGAGTGATCCACTTCCTGACAGGAACTTAGAGCCTCGTCACGGCCTATCGTGGCCCATTGCCGCTTTCATTGTTAGGCTGCCCTCATGGCGCACAGCTGCGAAACCGCTGAGACACCTCGGCAAAGTCCAATACGGCCTGGACCGTCTTCGCCCTTGAGACGGTGTCTGGTTTACCTTTCTCACCTTCGTTGGAGCTTCCCAGCAGACTCGACACGCTGTTCAGCGCGTTTCCAACCTTCCCTCTCAATTCCGCCCTCAGCTCTCGGGGTTTCGGGCACTCCAATAATACGTGGGTAACTGTCTCCTGCGCCCCGCACTCGCACCGATCATCATCGCTTTATCCAATCTTCTTCCGGTAGCTAGATAGCCAGGTGTGGCCCGTGCGTAGCTGTGCCAGCAGATACGCGCGGTTCCTGGGTAAATTCCCGTAGAGCTTTCTCGTGTACCGCGCCGGTAGATCGCCGTCAATTTTCCGCAGGTGGGCGCCTTTGGTACTTGTCTTCCACTCTTGTCCCCATTGGTCGTATATTCTGCTGCGGACGAATGCGTTCTCCCTCGATAGAAGCGGTCGGAAGGAATGAGTTTTGCCCGGCTGCGCGGCTTCCTTCGCGCGACGATCCGCAGCATCATTCCCGACATTCTCATAATGTCCTGGGATCCACTGGAGGCGAAGTGTGATATTCTTTGCTTGAACCTCGGTGGCTGTTCGAAGAATTGCATGAACAATTCGTGCCCCGATCTATTTCTAGTTTTCTGGATTGCTTGTAAAGCTGATCTGCTATCACACAAGATTCTTGCCGTTATGTGCGCTCCATCTACGACGTTGGTGCGTTGGTGGGCCAGCTTAAACACCATATTGACCGCATAGAAGATGCCAATGAGCTCTGCTACGTGGACCGATCAACATTCCATCGGCCCCACCTGGACCTTTTGAGATTCTATCACCTCTTCATGGCCGTTGAGTGCGACGATGGCAGCCCCTAGATGATCCTTGCGCCCGGAGGCGTCCGAGTAGACGACAATTTCTGACGTATCCCTTACACAATCCGCCCTTTCTCTCGCTGATTTTTCTCGGTCGCGTTCAAGCTCGATCTCCGTGAAGGCGTCCGTTCGCCACGGCGGCAGTGGGCGTGAGTCGATCGTTTCCAGTTCGTTGAGCCTGTCAACGTCTATGTTTTTTACCCTTCCGACAGAGGGAAGCGTGGGTACGATCCTACATTGTTCCTACGATTCTGAGCCCGTGATAATGCGCTCCAAATGGGGTGATCACGTGGTAGAGTGTTTAACCTCGCGATGGTGCGCTGCGCTCGGTGGCGAAGACGGAGATGTGCAGGAAAAGTTATGAATTCTATTCTGGCATTATAATCACATCAAAAATATCACAAATCAATATGGGAATCCAACACCCCAAATGTGCAAATAAGTTATTTTCATTTAGGTGGCAGATATACGGAGGACTTGAATCGATTGCCGCTCCTTCCTAGGCAGCTTGACGTCATCACTTTCATCGCTGATGCCCCGAAAGAACCAGTCGGCCATATGGTTTGAGCTTGGAGTAAGTGGATTTAAGATTAATAAGTCAGTCTGATCTGAGCATCCGAGGATATAATAAGTAATAGATGAAGCTAAACTTATTTCATGATCATGCCAAGAGAGAACCGGAATTTGAAATTGAAATATTTGGTAGATCGAAGAGACAGTATGGAAAATGGCGCACAATAGGTGGGCTATGATGCTGTCATCCTGGATTTAGTACAATCGATTTCACCACACTGAATCACTGTTGTCAATACATGATAGGAGGAAGGTAAATAAGAAGCGTGTGCTATGGTGTCACCAGAAAAAATAGATGGGTACTTAGAATGAGGATTTGTCTTAATTTCAACGCCCTACATATGTGGTTATCATTCGTAAACCAGACGAAACAGGCGAAAGAGGGGCCACGACAATGTGTGGGCTTTCAATAAAATTTCGATCGCCTTGATAAGTTTCATCTCCTTCGTCCGGTGGGAGTTCCATTTCAGTGACCGAGATATCATATAACAATGGAGAGAGATCTTCAGTGTGTTCTGGACAGGCGATAATATCCGACTCGGCTTCACAATCTGGGAAAAGGACCTGAGGAGTTTCCCTTTCGAGGACAAAGTCTGGTATCAGTCTCTGTAGCATGGTGGAATGGCCAACTAAGATGCGAAGGTCGCAGTCTCGATTAGAAGAAATCATCTCGAGCTTCTTCTCGCATTTGTTGTACAGTTCGGCTTGACCAGTGTTCATACCCTTGATTGGAGTGGTTTGGGTCTTGAGAATTTGATTCTTGAAATTATAGCTGTAGAATTCTTTCGAGCTGCTTGTCGGGTTATTTTAATAAGTTTTGCAATCAGGTGATAAGTGGTAAACTTGCCTAGGAAACATGTGAATGGACAAACAATACATAGTCTAGACTGGGCTGTTACCCTTTTAGCATTTGGCAGGAATAACAAAAGTATACCAAATGTTGGCCATGGAATTGCGCTCAAATATTCATGATCCTTCGGTAATATAAGGGCGGTTCACCCGGGGAAGTCGAACTGGTACTTCGTGAAACCTGCTGGCCGAGTTTCGACCCCCATGCAAAACCCACCAAGGAAGTTAAATATTAGTGATATATGCAGTACTAAGTATCAGACCATATGAATCATGCTGTAGTACTTGTGTTATTCAGTAATCTATTTGCCCATGGGTTCTCGCCGATCGTCGGTAACCCACAGGATACCCAAACAGCAATATAGCGGGGTTTGAAATCGAATCTAGCTCACATCAGGTGACGTACACGTACACTCTTTCTCTTTATGGAGAAGGTACGATGTATTCTATTTGCAGAAGACCGAGAAGTGGATCTGGGGACCAAGAACCAATATAATTTAGTCCCAAGAACTGAATGCACGGCTCGTTTAGCCAACCACTCACATGACTTTTGATAACTCTCTGCAGTATTCGTTGCCACGTTCTACCAACCCGCCACTAGTATTTCCACGCCAATAAGGCATTTTCAACCACCTTCTGTAGATAGCTCATGTGGACTTCTCATATTGTCAGTCTGGTAGTAGTTTCATGGCATTGATATCCGGCCAATGGGATTTTCTGCGCCATCCGTAGTACTTGGAGAGCAAGCATCGTCCGTCTAGACCACATCCATAGATTTATAGTCTTTCTGAACCATAAGAGACATAAAATTGTAATCATTATTTGAATCCCTCCAGGTACTATGCATGATGCAATATTATCAAGGCAGGTGATAAAATCTCGTGTTCAGCAGGTCCTCTGGTGAAAAATCTTCAATTGTGCTGAATTCCGTCATTTAGTTCCGTTTATATCTTCTCCCGGATATAGAAATGCCCCGGGAGCATGAGATATGCTTGAACTGCGACCGGCAGCTCTGATGTATGCCGTTATCTCTCGATGCACCATCTCTATCTACGTCGGTGCCCGAAGCTTCTTATAAATAAAACATCTCTTGCTGTCAAGGCTCATCCGATACTTTGATCGAATGGATCTTCCCAAAAGAATGCTCTTTAAATACAACGGATTGGTACCAAACAGATCGAGAGACCTCATTCCCCACCGATATTTCAAGAGAGCACCGAAGTATCCTTAAGACTTATGAGCATTCTTTTGACCAACTACGAATTATGAAAAGAAAACTGCTTCTTTGATTTCCCTCGATGGACTATTTCATTCTTGATGGGAGTGGTAAGCAAGGTTCAAACCGACAAGTGTTAATCAGCCAGGAACACAGGGACTTATATTGACTATACATCCGACTCAATAACATTATGCAACTTCGTGAATTAAGCCCTTGCTGAATATTTTACTATTTTTTGGGAGATATTAAACCAAGGAAGAAAAGAAGTATACAGACCACAAGACGCACCCCACCCGGTAAGGTGGGGTGGGTGCGGGGGGGCGTCACGCACAGATATCTCGAAAATTTTATGCCACCAATTTTATGCCGTATGGGTTAATACTTCTCGTGGATTCTCAGGAATACCGAACTGCAACTTAAAAGCTTATCGAATCCATTGGCGGGTGAAGAGGTCATCACAGATGGTGCTCGGTGAAAAGGACAGAGCTTTCTCAAAGCACTTAGCAAACATGCGTGTTGCTCTGGAGGACTTTTGGAATAATGGGATATATCTTGCGAGCCTTCGTGTGGCGTTTCCTGGTCTTGGTCGATCATGTCGCAGAGGACTTTGACTTGAGCTGGGGCGACCGTCGCTTCCTTCACGTGTAACGGGACAGCAGGAAGCTGACTCTGTCGCTTCTTCCGCGTGAGGTGGATGAACAATATTTCCTGCCTCGACAGCCGTACCAGACTGCGACGCCCACATAATGCTCATGGTATGATCCTCTGTTACAAGACAGCCGCATAATTCTCAGCGAATAAGTCCACCGTTCATTGTGTGTAATCGTCGACGGAAGCGATGGCTCCCTTTCTTCTGGTGATAGAGACATTCATCAGATTCGCGTTCAGAAAGAGGAAGAGAATAGGAGATCCGCGAGCGTTGTGGCAGGCCTGCGTGCTCAATAGCCGTCTCCTCAACCTGGTACATGTTCACAATGATGAACGCCCGTTGCGAGGAGCAGAAACGGTCCACCCATGGGGATTAGGACCTTCGGGATTCTTCGATCTTCCAACCTCCACAAAAGGATGGTCCGATCCCACCGTTATAGGGGCCCTTGACATCAAAGCTTACCAGACTGAGGGTGCCCTCGCGCCACTTATCGTGTATCTATTCAATCAGGATGTTGAACGCATGACCGCCTCCGACGACCTCCAAATGATTCGGTAGTAGCTGGTGTTTCTCGACTAGGGCTGAGATTCGGTTGGCGACGACTGCTTCTAGCGAGAGAGGGCGGTATGATTTCGGCAACCATGGGTCACGCCGAATTCCACTAATGACATCGGAATGGTGCCCAAGGCAAGAGATCCATCGCTTCGCGGCAAAGGCTGGGAGGCTGCGAGACGCGTGCAAGATACGTTCAAGGCTTTACGCCACGTCTCGCAGAGTTGCTACGCCCTGTACCACTTAGCAAACGGCCCTTCAATATAGGTCAGCATGCACTTGGTTGTATGAGAGTCCACTCATGGTCTTCCCATTCTCTACCTTGTCCACTCTTCGCCTCGCACTAACGACGCACGGTATACTGCTGAGATAATACAAAGGTATCGTCTTGGCGAGGGTTGGCCCGACCTCCAACTTTTGACCCAACGCACCCTCCTTCTTGCAATATCATGAATATTGCTTCGGGTTCGTCTGCCCTTCAGCTTAGATCATGGTTGACGATCGATGAAAATGGTCTTGGGGCAAAATCACCGAGCAGACGTACCTCATTCCCAACGAATATCCAGCCACACGAACTTGCCAGCTGTAGTCGCGGCGGCGTCCACATGTAGCCTTGCTCTGGGACTCTCCTCGAATTCTTGAATGATTCGAGACAATGGCGACGGGTGCGTAGATTTGAAAGCGGAATCCAGAATATGGCGGAGTAAATGGAACCGGATTGGGATGCTTGAGGACTCGCTGATGGTCTCGCTGGAGGCACTATCTGTCGGGCATAATTCAGCAAGTGGATCAGACAAGAGGCTCCCGACTCACATAAACAGCCGGCTCACGCGTTCTGGGGCTAACAGGTGATTTGGCTGTCGGTTGTGGCTGGCAGCTGAATGTAAATCCTTCTTAGCGCCAACCTGATCGGCTCAATCTTAATAGACCGGGCTGGTCGTAAAATTCGGTGTTTTAGCACAGTCTCCGATTGTATTGGGCTGAAAAGGGACTTACCTACACAGGAAGCCTCGCTTGTGTTTTCATGGTCAAAGAGCTAGTAAGAAGTGACATTATCAGCTCAGCTCGGTGAGGCTCACGGGTACTTGCATACGTACGAGATATTTTGGTGTAGTCTGGACTTGTGACCTGGATGGCGGGCACAAACACGAGTTGAGAATGAAGCGAACCATTAACTGCGTAAGCGAGCTGGCTGACTTGGATGACCGGGGTGTGCACTGTTCTTGTTAGTAACAGAAAGAGATAGGAGAAAGCAAAGGTGAGGAACTTATCATCAGACTGCTGCAGACCAGAATCTAATGCATTGGCTCAAGAAAAATCCATCCAATGCGGCAAGGTAGATGTTACGGAGGACTGGGGGAGGCCGTATTCATAGGGTTTCGGCTCGTCTTCGTGCCGCCTGCCTCATATTGCCGCGGCGTGGCCTTGTCTGTCTGTCGCCAACTTTGAGGAGTGTTGATGATGCCTGTGCAAAGTGAGGTCTATTGAACCTTCCTTTACCGAGGTGGTGGTCTGGGCAATAATCAACTGCAGGCCGGTGATTTGGTGACAAGTACTTTCAGGAGCCATGCCGTGGCATCAGTTCTTTGTGCTAAAATTTGTTGAAGCAGCGTTGATCAAGCTTCAACCTTGTATCAACGACCACGATTTCAACACTTGAAAAACGATTTGCAGCGGATCACCGGTTCACTGCGACGACGTGTTCCGTTATCACCATCGTTTCATTCTCAGCACTGGCTGTAGCTTTGAAACTGAGCGTGTTGTGTTCGGAGTAAATCTGCGTCAACGCGCCTCACTTGTTGAGTACGGTCGCGCAGGGTCCTAGCACAGCCCACTGAAAAAATTTTCATTGAGTGCAGCCATGCCACATTTGCTGTAGAATTGTGGAAATTGAAAGTTGCGTCCTTGATTTGCTCATTCGCCAGAAACCGTCGTCTATCGAACACGATGGGGTTGTATGGCCAGAAACGAGACTCGATGCGACGATGCCGTAGATATATATTTGGTGTATGTAGATAAGTCGGAGACCTCACAAACACTAGCAGAGAGAGACATGGCGGCGAAACTAGATCTGTTCTTTACCACTACTGTAGAGATCACTTAATTCACCTTGGAAAAACTCATATACCCTTGACTGAGATTTCGAAATAATCGTTGATTGTGTGATCCTTTCTTTCTGGATAACAACGCTAGGACTATTTGCAAGACTTGCCCACCACTCTCCCTCCGCAAGGCGTAGAACAGAAAATTACAGTACTGCAAATTCAGAACCAATGCAACTGCCAGTCTCGTTGATCAAAGCCGAAAAGAAAGCACCTTCATCTAATGGTCTGCAGAGGGACCACCCAAATCACGTCCATCGTGGCTGAGTGCGTAGCCGAAGCGACACGCATATACGTGCGGACGTTCGTGAGCATCTATGCGCGACACTCGCAACACATACGAGCACGATATCGCACCGCATCCTTGTTGGCTTGGATACAAAAATCTCCCAGGGTCTCCGATCAAATTGACTGTGTTGCCTCCATGGGCCACTGCGCTCGACCCGCCCGAACTGTTGTTGCTCAGAGGTATTGGTTGTCTTGTTATTCAGAGGGAAAGGTGAGGCTGTATATACAAGGAGAAGATCAAGTTGATTTCCAATCAACTTGGTTCTTCGTATACATACATCGGAGTTAATTCCGATGGTTCGGCTTGGTTCCTGATCTGCACCAGCCCCATATCACAACAAAGATGACGCATCCAGCAATACGCTACAAGCACAGGGCCAAGCCCAGGACGAATAAGACAGCCCGAATCGATACTTCCAGTTCTGTTTCATGAATGGTATCCTACAGTCCTATGTCGGAGAAGAAGGATCGGTGTACTGTGTACTTCACACCGATCATAATATTCGTCTCGGTTTATGCACCATGGGTAAGGCTGGTTCATTTGCAGCACCATTCTATCCTGAGTGGCAGATCATTCCTTGATCAACAGGAGGAAATCAGTTAGCTAACAATAGATGTGCGCCTGGCCCTTAAAAGCCTCAAAATGGACTAGGGGGAGTATTATTTGCTCTACATATTGTTAAAGATATTCTTTAAAGTTAGCAAGCGCATCACAACTCCCAGGAGCGACAATCAACCCCACAGATAGTGTCGTCAAAACAAAGAGATGTTTTTCAACAGACCTCAATCAGGATAAACACCAGTGTTCTTCATTTTCGGCTACTAGCCCAGTACACAAGTGGTATGACGAGCCAAGAGGTCTATAAAACCTCTATCCCCAGGCCTCTGCTCTATACTATAGTTATATGACTACTCAATAATGAGAAAACCTCGCGTTTGAGGCGTCCGAATATTTGTTCCTGTTTGTTTAAGCTCACCACTTTGAGCCTCTTTGCGGGATTTTTATTGATTTTCGACCAAGCTCCGTTTGAACTGTCTTTAGATCTTCTTGATTTAGATTCTTTCAAGACCAATTGCCTAAAATGACTACGGCAAATTTCCCTAGCTGTTCAGATGTTGGCGCTGGGTTTGAATGTCTGAAAAACACCAGGGAGATATCTCTTAATGCCAACCTTGTCGCATTTGTCGCAAAAACCAATTTGTCGCTTCAATCACAGGGAAGCTTCAAACAACTGGATCCCTTCAAGAGGTCTCTCCTTCATTACGCTGCCATGTGAGACTGTACAAACCTCCTTCTCTATCTCCTAGAACGTCGGCCAGAGCTTGATTCTCGTGATATGTACGGAGGGACACCCCTCTCCTGGGCTGCTGAGTACGGCTCATTACCCGCTGTGAAAATGTCACTGAAACGAGGAGCAAACGTCAAAGCAATAAAGGTCAGATTCCACCCGACTGTTACTGTACGCAAGTTGAAGTTGGAGGTCTCTTTCACCCACAGAGCACACGTTCCAGGTCGAAGCACTCCAATGATCATTTCATAGACGATAGAAAACCCCTTCATTGTTTAAAGCCATGAAGATTAGGTCCCCCTTTGTTCAGCTTCAAGGTGAGCCATTTCCATTGCACGACGCTATATGACAGATCGAACCTGCTTAGCCCTTGACCTGAATTGATGCTGCTTACTCGATTGCCGACCACCTCTGATTCCCACGGCTATCTTTTTTCTTTCATTTTCGTCCAGTATGTCCCTTGGATTTAAGCCTGAAACATCACCAGCAACTTCAAGCCGGACACTTGTTCTAAGCCAAGACTGAAAAATCATTGAGGAACTGGAGTCACGAAAATAGCAAATGCGAATGAAAGTTCTTTTCTCTGATTTCAACAGTAAATATCCATCTGCAAGATACCATTCTCATCGCCTGGCTTCAACTCTCCTCTGTTTTCGAAGATTCAATAAATGCAGTACGAAGTGAGAGATCACAGCCAGATTGTGAACTTGCTAGGCGGGAAATCCGATTGCCCATCTCCTTTTTCTCTACACTCATCAGCATTGATATTGTGGAGCTCATTCTTTCCATGGCGTATGGAGCGTAGTATCCTGCAGAAAGACTGGGCATTGAAGAATGAGCACAGCAAGGTCGCAGTTTTCAAAATCCACAATATCTGTAGCCAACAGGGTATGGCCACCTTCAATGAAGATGTCTACAGTGGATCGTAGTTAGGCCCGGGCGCGACCGTGACTCGCGCACGTGAAGGCACGTTGACGTAGACCGACTGCTCAATTCAACAAATGCCGAACCTGATTCGCAGGATCGACGGGGAGAAACGCCGCTATTGCTAGCAGCCCAGAACAAACACGAGGCGGTCGTCCAAATTGCTGCTTGCCACTGGAGCTGTCAACCCTGATACTTGCGATACGACTAGACGGACGGCTTTGTCATGGGCCGCGGAATATGGACAAGAAGAAGTGGTAAGACTAATACTGGGGATGGACAGCGTTGTTGATGACAGCGGCAGAGGGTGACAAAGGGGTGTTCAATGTGTTACTTAAAAGATGCGAGTGTCAATCCTGACTGTCGCTGTGAGCATTGATTGACGCCCCTATGGTGCGTGCGCAGCATCAAGCGGATACACGGAAATCGTCCAGAGACTCCTTGGTACGAACAAGGTCAGTCTCCGTGGACTCTACTGGACGGACACCTCTCTCAATGGCAGCATATTGTGCGACACGCGCCGATAGTCGAACTGCTTTTCGCCACTGTAGGAGTAAAGCGGGAGTTGAAGGATTTTAAAGGACGAAAATGGGCGGGTGATTCCGGGGATGCTATGGCCTTTTTTTTTCATGACTGGGTATGAAAGCTCCCGCAGAGGCGGTTGTTATCTGTGGGGATTCTGATTGACAGGCTACAACCATGCTTCCTTAGATATCTGGGGCATGAGAGCAAATGAATCGATTCAGGCAAAATCCGGGTAAAAAATCCGATTTTCGAACACAAATGGTCTGGCCCAGTCGTACCGCTCCGGCATAAATGACCGACCAATCACATCTTCGGAACTGAAGGGTCCCACTTACTGTTTCCATCGTGCAGTTCATCACGTCTTTAACGCCCCAGATTGTTAAGGGCCCCGCTCTCGCAAGAATTAAAATAATAAATTACGATATCGTGCCACTGACTCGCGGTGGCACTGGTTATTGGTTGATTAGCTCTCCATGTAATAGTTCAATGATCCTTACATGGAATTTATCGGAGGTACCACGGCAGTTGAATAAAGTTTACTGTCTTAAATATCCGCGTTCAATGCCTTTTATAATATCTTTTGAGGAAATATTCATACATTTGTTAGACGCGACAGCCGACCCGGAGTCCGAATCATAGGTAACAGGTCGTATTTATATTTTGTCCTTGAATACCTCGCATTCTTCACCTACATCTGAATTACCATAATGCTTGACAGCAGGTATGTGTCATCCTATACCGAATAGATATACTAAGGAATCAAATGGATCTCCTCTTACCTTTTCTCCTTTTTTCTGAACCCAGACGGACATCCAAGGACCCCACTCGACAATCTACGACCAGGATAATTCAACTGCTACCAAGAATTTTAAAATACCCCATGCGGCCGGGACCCCAATGTCAACATCTGCACGATTTACTTGGTTAAACCCAGGCCTTTCTGCTGGTCCGTCAGATGGCAAGGAAAGTCCACAACACCAGGAAGATATCAAACTTTCACCAAAGCAACCTGCCGAGGCAGAAGGCGGATATTCCTTATCAGACTTTCTTTACAACTTTCAGCAAAACGATCTTTGTTGCCAAGCACCCTACATACCGCAACATCATTACCAGCCACGCTCAAATACGAAAATCATCCCCGATACAGGGACAGGCGCCTCTAGCTCGCTATACCACCCTGGCTTGACCTACGAGACGAAGTATGAGCCATCCGACGATTATTGGTCTGGTGTTACCTTTGCAGATACCAATACAGAGGGAAAGGATGATACCTCTGTCGAAACCGAGAGGTGAGTCGGTATATTTACCTGAGTTCACTTTATACCAAACTGAACTTTCGTCAGGTTTCGTTTCCGTACCATCCTCCAAGCTCCAACTGCAATGATCGATGAAAGCGGAGATCCACTGTTGAGTTACCTCAACAAGGCCCAAATCTATTACCTCACGGTAATGGATACGGCCCCACCCGCAACAACTGAAAAGGTGACCACATACCGGACATTCATTCGAGCCACATTCGACCAAGAGCAGGCAAGGTCAAACCCAGCAGCCTGTTGGCAGCTATGGAAAGAAGGACGAGGTGTATATCCAGAACAGCAACAAGAAGAAACACTATTTGCTGTCGAGTACGCCGGAGGAGACAGTTCCCAGTTTCAAATTGAGCTTAGAGGATTCGATGGCTTCTCTATGACCTGGTCAATAGATTCCACCGCCCGCTTCAGCTCATGCCATATACCTATCTGTTTCAATTTTCTATCTACGGACTTTATACGCTCAAGGGGTGTTCGAGGAGTCCCCGTTCGGCTTTGTGCTAAGACAGAACAAGTGACAGTTGACCATATGACACCATCGCTCACAACCCTGGAGTCAGAAGTGTGTTTCTGCAAAATCCAAGTCTTTCGAGATCACGGCGCGGAACGGAAACTGTCTAATGATCACACCAACTTGGAAAAGGCGATTGAGAAACTGAGACAACGAATTTCTCACGCAGAACTGGGATGGGGGTCCAGGAAACGCAAGCGTGGTAAGAGCATATCTTCCGCGAAGGGTTTGAAGAAGTCTCCACCGGACGATAAATCCCACCATTTGAGCCAAACTGGTCTACGGTCGAAACTAGTCGGGTTTGAGAAAATGGCGCTGTCTGGTCGATCGACGACTTTGCTATCTCTCCGGGGTGATAAGGAGGACGATCCTGATCTATATCCGGTTCGGTTGGATGATGGGTATATCAAGGCACCTGTCGAGATTGCTGCGGGTGCATCTACCTGGAGCGAATATTCGGAAAGAGTGTCACCGAGAAGATTTAGTCTTTCAAATAAGGATACTACGGCTACTCCGCCGGCAGCTGGTAGGCTACCTGTGGAACCTATCAAGGTAAATCGCGTTGATTTGACTGATCAAGTACCCGCAAGTCGGCATCTTAATTCAGGTATGCATTCCAATATTTGATATTGTTTCGAGCGCATGCTAATAAGCTTAGTTGCATGCTTTCATGTTCGCCGTTTGGAGAATGAACTCCATGAATATTATCGTGCGATTTATCTGTCGGAGCGCAAAATCCAAGAGCTTGCGAGGAAGATCTTTGATAAATATCAGATCAAAGCGATGGATAGTGTGAATTTATTTCATATTGATCAGAAAGGACTCAAGATCATGGTCGACGATGAGTTTGTGCAGCAAATGACAGAGGGACAGCAGATGACAATTGACGTCCATCAAAGCACAGACCAAGGTGACTGCGCAGGTGTTTGTGAGATGTGGTTATTTTATTGAACCCCCAATCTAATGAATACTTAACCTCAAGTTCAAAATTGTAGAAATTTAAAGTGGTGAAAATGACACTAAAAACTTTTCGCGGACTTTCATACATATTCCTTAGTATAAAAGCAAAAATTGATTCTTATGACAGTATTCGGTCGCCTAGCGGTTACTGTGGGTTTTGCCGCATCGCGGGTTCAAATCCGAGTACAGCTGTGTGTGGGTGGGTGCGTGAAATCATTAACCCCGACCCATCTCTGTGTTGAACCACAAGACTAAAAATACGCATTCGTACCCAGACAAGCGGTTGGTGGTTTAGAACCCAACTCGGCGAGAGGTCGGTGTAAATGAAATCTACTACTACTACGACTGTAAACGAGAAATTCATCTCCATATAGTTGCATAGGGGATGCGTTTTAAATACATTGCCACCAAGGCAGTAGTAAAATTGTGATGGAACCAGGTTGACAGATCTTGACAAGGTTACTATGCGGTCGAGCTAGCGCGGGAACCCGTTGAAGTTATTCCACCTGATTGTCCATATCAATGCTTCACGTTCGAAAAGTTTGGACCCAGTGTGTGTTTGCGGACTAAGGGGATGAGGGTATTACAAACAAAGAAGCCTGTTCCATTGCTGAATGAACTCGAACCGATCAGTGGCAATGAAGAGGGTTGCGAAGCTGAGGATACACTTGAGGATGATACGGACGAATCTAACAATGATACAGAAGAAAGGTTCTAACAATGAGACAGAAGAAAGGTCATCTGTCACGCTGCCTGTAGCTCAAGATGGGCAGGCAGAACAGAAGCGGCGGCGAAAGAAGACATCCGAGGCTCTAGATGATGCTGATAATGGTCTCCCACTTCCGGAGATGCCAATTGAGGAGAAGACACAGACGCGGTCAGGAAGGCTGCGAAAAAAGCCCCGGCTACTCAAGGGATTTGAGATTGATAAGCTTTAATGCTAGAGATTTAGAAAATAAATCGAAAGTAAGTCTAAAAATGCATTCTGAAGGCTTCCGTTTGAGAGAAATGGGCAATTCATTAGATACTAGACAGTCCAAAGATACCATGAAAATGCACTATTTATGCAGGAAAGGAAAGGCACGAGCATAAGCATGTTTACAATTTTTACATATCCATGGATAACCGCAAAAGCCGCGGTGTCCCAAAGTGAAAACCACGACCACCTGCATTGCGGTTTGCGGTTTTGGTTTTCCGCGCTACCCATGGGTTTGCCGCAGCCTAGATAAGATGCGAAGGGCAACGGCTAAGACTAGGCGCTGAGAACGCGCAGTTCGTAATTAAATAGGGTGACCATGGCTTAGGAGATAAAATGTTTGCTTTTTGCATTCATGATCGCACTCCGGCCCCCGCAGTCGCAGCCTAGGAACGGAGCCACTCTACAAAAGCCACGAAGCCACTGTTAAGAACTCACTCGCAATTATCAACGGACTGTTGATAACCAACCATTCCGCAGGGATGTGACACTACCGGCAACTGAAGACGTCACAGGAATAAAGGTTTTTTCAAGCCAGCTTAACTTCAAAACGCCAGTCTCTTAGTAGACTACTAGCCCATCCGTTTATAAAGACCTTGCCTTTCAAAAATAATCACTGGAGGAAGGGGCCACCCCGACGCGCCTGTACACTCAATAGCAGTTACCCTCTCGCGATTTCCAGGTTGTAAAAGTGATCTCCGACCGTAGTATTCTGATCTGGTAACAACTTTTGCGGTTGCAATTAAACCCATCGCAAAACCAGTCTCGTCAAAGTTATAGCTATCCTCTGGATCGATACCATTTTCAAAAATCGTTTTTTGAACAAGATTACACCACTCTTGAATAATTTTCGGATCTTCATTTTCGCGTGTTCATAACTATAACGTCTTGAGAAGCGAGTAGATAGTTCAGCGTTTCACCGACTGTTTAAATCAGGGTTGATCCGCGGGTTGCGAGAAGAATATTCGCCATTTCTCGGACAGTAAAAGGTCTAGAGGCTGCTCCACGAGCATCCATAGGAAGAATAAATTTTTAAGCCAATATATTCTTCAATTTGGGTCAATTTATGCGAATTTGCGCGGGTTTCACTTCGAGATATATCTCCATTGATCCGGCGACGGAGGGTAGTATCGGGGACTTCGTATTCGCGTGCTGCCTTGCGAATAGGGATGATCTCTTTATTTTTGATAGCCCGGATTGCTAGTAGTATTCTATCCTCTTGCTCAGTTGAATTGCGAGAGGATTGAGTGCGAATTGGTGGCATGGTGATTGAAGGTAGTAGGGTCGCGCGTGGGACGCGCTTTTTGATGGGGTGCGCCACTCGCTTGTGGATTACGTTATCTTATGCGTGCTCTTACTAACGTGATCTGACTAAGCGTAACATGCAGACCCGTGTTCCGACAATCGTCGATAAAGAAGGCGTCTTGGCACGTCGGCAACTGACGCGAGCCCGAGCCTTGGATCTCAATTACAACTTGAGTGACCCTTCCGCAATTTTGTTCGACGGAAACAAAATCCAGAGTAATCAGCATTCCACATGACGATGCCATTCCAAGAAAACGTCTCTTTGCCCAGACTAAGACTTTCTTAGTCCCATTCCAGGAGAATCCTCCATCTTGGAGTAGCAATGATCGCCCCAGCTGGGGAGGCTATAGAGGCGATACCCGTTTGTTGACGGCCATCTTTTTGTCTACTATAGTGAGTGCTAGGCGAAAGATAGGATCTTCGAGACTGTATCAGGGAAAATTACTATGGGTCCTGGGGCAGGGGATGGTTGTGGGAACAATCGGTCCTTGCAGGAAGAATCAGGAAGAATTGAGCAACAGGTGGACTTCCCTTGCTGAAGAAATAACCAAGCGGCTGGCGGATTCGTCTGTCAATTAGGAGATATGGCCATGAGTTCCAGACCAGCCAAAGCCAACCCATGTGCCAATCCTCTTTCATCCTCGGAGATACGGTGATTATCTGCAAATAAGAGTTGTTCTAGGCGCAGGACAGCCAGTTTGCTTCGCGCGCATGCATGCACTGGTAAGCATCAGACTGGAGGGGAGGCCTAGCTAAAACACTCTTGAGATATCAGTTGTCGTCTCTTAGCTTGGCAAGGTGGCGATGAATACCTTGGTTATGTCGTCATTGTGATCGATGACTGTGATTTCGCCCACCAAAAACCACACTATGCCAAATTGGACGATCGTTCCGCCCACCTTGCAACTACCGATTTATCTTCGATGAGTCATGACACCAGCCGCTGCAAGCCCCATGTTTTCCTCTTCCAACAACTCGATGGTCAAAAATTGTCCCTCAGACTACAAGTGGCTATTCCTGCAGGAAAAGGAGAGTCAGAGGCAGGCAGAAGCGAGTCAGATGCAGGCAGAAGCGAGTCAGAGGCAGGCAGAAGCGAGTCAGAGGCAGGCAGAAGCGAGTCAGATGCAGGCAGAAGACCGAGAGAGAGAGGCGCAAGACGAAGAGAGACAGGATAGGCAACGTAACCGACTTACGAACTTCAAAGAATTTTTGCGTTACACCCATACCTACCCTCGCGACCGCTGAAAGTTGAAATACTCTCTCGCTCCACCACAGTCAGAGGAAAAGAATGTCTGACGCGGCTGAAACAATGGGCGGATTGTCAAGCTCGACAGTTTATAGTCCCATCTAGGCTACCGCCAATCTTGCAGAGGACGTAAACTGTAGAATAGCGGCATCAGCAACATGAGCCCGGGAACTTGAGTGACCACACTCTCACCAGACTACCATGGAGTGCAAGCATGAAGGACAAATAAAATCAGCCATCCGTATGCAGTCTGATTAACCATCTAAAAGGCCCCACAGCCCAAGCACTTTGGGCCTTTGAAAGTTAACAGCGGCTGGTTTCGCTGTTCCTTCAACTCTTTTTTATCGTCGAACATGACGATCGATCTTCTCTTTGCCTGGAGCCATTACATCTGGGCGCCCAGGAACACTGTTTCTTTTTCACAGGGCGTCTTTATGGTGTTGGTATTATTATTGGCTTATCAACGGAGCTCGAAGAGAGTTGTGAGGGTCTACAAGATATCCCAAATGCATCCTCTCCAACAATCTCAAAATCTATGGGTTTTGGGAGATCTGGCTCTTCACGGAAGGTTTAGACCTTCCTGTGTGAAGGCCATTATGTATTTAATAGCCTTCTATAGGGGGTGTTGGGAGGAGAGGTGAAATGGTGTGGATTCTTCCTGCAAGCTGTTGGAGTGGGGGCGCTCGATAGGGAATCATTTGACTATGGATTGCTCAAGTGATGGTGTCGGGATATATGCTTCAGTAAGAATAAGCTAGCGGTAACTTACCGCTGGCGACTGATAGATCCCATCTGTGTGATTGGTGTACGTACCCTTGCGCTAAACTGCCGCTCCGGTGTATGGGACTCAGTGGTAATTCTGAATCTAGAGAAAGACATGAATCAACCAACTTTTGCTTTCGGGGCATGAACACTGTTCACTTAACTGTGTAAACGGTACCTAGCTGGTGATACCGACAGATGGTATCTCAACGGATTTATGCTGGTTAGTTTAGTCACTATCGATATTACCGGTTATTTCCATCAGACGCATTTCTCATTTACAGCAACGATTTGTCTTCTTACTAATGGCCGTTCCTAGTCCTTACTAAAATTGCGGGCTGTTGGATCGAAGAGTACTTTCCACCCGACCTCATATTTCTGCGGTCAGGCCCACAAGTCGTCCGCCAGAATCAACCCCAGCCAAACGGTCATTCACAGCAATCACAGCCAACGCCGATAAATATCAAATGATGTCGTGCAGGAAACAGACGAGCTCTTTTTGCCATCCACGTATACTAAAGATCATCGCCTGCCCACCAAAGATACAGTCTCCCCCACTTGTGTGAGCTCAAAGATATCGCTTCAACGCTGGTCCTGATACAGGGGCCTCCGTGGGACACATGTCGGTAAGCCACCACCCCTGGATGGCATTGTGGCTGCAGTCAATTAAGTCGGAACATATCATTCCAGCTCCGTAGGCTATCCCTAACTGACTTTTAAGATCCTCGTCTCCTACTTAAGGACTTGGTTAAGCCAGACAATGTCATCTTTCAAGATCATAGAATTATACAGAAAAGTGACTCATACTCCTCCAGCTTCTCATATTCATTTTCAATAGCAGCCTCATTCTCAGTTTCCATCCTCTGAACCCTCATCAGCACTGCTCATCGCTATTAACCACATCATCCATCAACTGGACCCCACCACCGTTCTTTATCTCGGCCATCCTCCTTCATTCTCCCCGTCACCTCTTCAAAGGAGCAGCACCCTCGGGCTGCGCGGCCCGATAATAGTCACCCGCGACCAGTCAGTACCACAGTTGACACCCGCAACAGCGAACAAGGGTATGGCCGAGGCTATTCGTGGGATCTTTAATGGACATTCAGGTGCGATGCGAAGCTCAAGGCAGCAATGAAACTCCCGGCGGGAAATTAAACGCGTTCAACGCTTATCGTAACGGTTGGCCATTTCTTTGTTATGGTCCTTCACTTCTTTCGATTCAGATTTAGAATCCAATTCACCACTTTCAGTATTAGGTCCTTCACGGTGCGTTTTGAGACTGTGGTTTTCGTAATGTCCTTCTGTTCTGGATGCAGAAGTTGATTTTAAAGGTTCTGAATAATTTATAGATCTTTGTTAATAATCAGTTATGCAGTAGAACTAAATGATTCGCAGGGCGGTAAGGAAAGAGTGTTTAAATAATTACCGTTTGTAATATTTGAATCTTCCTTTTTTGTATCGACTTTCGGTGGGTTTGTAACATTATTTTCATAGCTTTTTGTCCTTGTCGCTAGACCCCTGTGTTTGTCTTGAAATGAAATTCCCCTTGTTCCAGGAAATAAAATATCGTATTGGCGGTAGAGATTAATCGAAAGGCCTCTTCGAACGCCTCGTTGCTTAAGACTGACTTGGTGTAGGCTCTGCATTGTGATAGATGGGGAAATGGTACCCAAAATTGCATGTATCATGAAGATTTGTTTGCTATTAAAAGTACCAGCTTGAGGGTGGCAAAACTGTGGTCCAGTAACTTTAGGTAAGCTAACCAGTTTTTTTGAGTTGTTGATGTCCGTCCGTAACAATCAGGATTTCAAAACTAGTTTGCGAGCCAAGGAACGCCCTTTCCTTAACCTCACATTCCCACGAACAACCCTCCTCATTTTGACTCATTCTTCTCCGACGTACGTCATGCTGGGCACAAGGGGATATTTCAAGAGTAATTTAAATTGAATGACGTAATGCTGTTATAACCTATACGAGGTGAATATGAATTTACACTACGGTTTCTTTATAGCCTAACCCGCTATCCAAACTTCTGCTTATCGCACCATGGCCCCCTAGAAGCTTCCATTTTTCTATCCAAATTGGACACACATCGTGTGATCCTGCGAACCGCAGTCCCACTGCTCCACGAGACTTCCGTTCAGCAGTGGTTCCGGCCCTAACCGACTTCCATACCAGTCAGCGACACAAGCAAGAAGGGGATCAGCAGCACTACGAGCCGACAGGCTATCAAGCGAAGCCTGCCTCCCCCATGATGACCTAAGGACCGTTTGTCCAGCCATCACACTGAAGTTGAATTGACCAAAAGGGACGACACGAACCGTCGTGGGCAGACGGACTCTCCGTCAGAGCGGTTGCAGCCACAGGACCCTAAAAGGGAAGCTGCAGATACATCTTTGTCAGGACCATTCCATGATCCGACTGTCATTGACTAAGAAGGAAGCCAACTCGTTAGTAGACTCCGGGCCACAAGAGGCACATTCGATGGAAAGGGATGGTGCCGAAGATACCTCTACAGTCCAGTTGCTAACTGCAGATTTATCAGATTAGACACCCGAGTGATCTGTGGAATGCCTCCTTTACCTTCTCTAATGTTGACTCTTTCTGGCCACCCTCCGGGTCGTCTGTTGACGTAGCTTCCAAGGAGTCGGGGTTTTCTATATTGCTCTCGACTTTGTCGTCGGGCTCGTGATACTGTATCGGGGGTTTAAATGTCAGTCAGGCTGGTGTAAGTAGCTCTTCGAACCTTTCGGAGGAGGGGAGGAAAAGGGGTGGAAGCCTTCTTCATCTACCTTAGCATTGTTATTGGGATCATGGCCCTCTCTGGCTATTTCATCAGTGATATCACTCATGATAGCGGTTGATCTCAGACTTGAGAATATAGAGTGATTAAGTAAGCAGATTTTGGCCTGTAACCCGCTGCTTTATATTTCAACTGCTTTAGTCCTCGTGACTGTTTTGTAGTCATTTAAGGTCAGGTTTACGCTGGAATTACATCGTATTACAGCGAATGAGCGAGGGACTATGACAGCCGACAGAGAGATTGAACTCAAAACTCGATCTCAGCGGCAGAACGAAGGTGGCATGCCTGACATCGTAATATCGACACCTCAGTCATGCAGGACTCTGCTGGTTGGAATACTGGACAGAGCTTAAGAGCCAAAGTAGTTAGTTTGCACGCATGTTTTTCCAAAATATGAAAGCGGTCGGTGACAATATCACAATCTTGCTCTGATAAACGCGCGCCTATGACGCAAGAAATCAAGAGTGTCTAGAACTTGCGTCTTGGTATATCTTAGAGGAATATAACGTCAACGTCGGTTATGTAAGCTAACTAAACTGTCATCAGGCCGTCATCGTGAACCGTGATGTGGAGTAGTTTTTTACACGCCTATATCTACCCCAGCAGTTATCCAGTTGGCTCCGAAAATGTAATGCAAGATGGCTACCGTTATGTACCAGCTGAGCCCAAGAACGTTGCAATACCCCATGCATCCTGGAAAATAGAGAACGATTAGTAAAAGAACGTGTCGGGAAACTTTCAAGAGATTACATGATGGCCCAAATTTACATTCTTCAACTTCTTCGTTCAAAAAACAGGCTCGTAACAACATTTTGGGACCACCCGACCAAAACACATACATAAGATGTGACAACTCTCTAAGTGCCTTTCATGTCAATATCGAAAAACAACCTGATGTCTGGGAGAAAGATGAGGTTGAAACGTGTTCTCTGGTCATTTTCAAAAACGGGAAGGAACTTGTCAGTGTTGTGATATAAGGCTGGTGGAGATCAGGAACCAAGCCGAACCGTCGGAATTAATCCTGAAGTATGTATACCAAGATCCAAGTTGATTTCCAATCAACTTGATCTTCTCGTTGTATATATAGTCTCATGCTTTCCTCTGAATAAAATACAATCAATCTTCCTTGAATTACAGCAGTAAGGTATATGACTCCAGAGTCAGAGCAAGGGGCTCATTTCTTCGTATACGGTATAGTGGCTGTGAGTGACTGAGGGTTCCAGTTCATGGTAGTCTCCTTGAACTCTTGTCCATTTTCGCCGGGTTTCTGCAACCTCGACCCTGAGCCTTTTGTTTGACTCCGTGGTTTGTTGATCAGATGGTCGCAAAAGTGATGGGTCTCTTTCCTCCAATCAACGCTTTTCGGACAATAATTTCCATTGAAAGGCCTGCCCCCATTGTCATTTCTTTTTAAGGACAGATTGTCAGACAAAGAAATACTTGGTGGCAGGAATACACCTTTTCAAGTCATTCCACGAAGGCGGTAGGGTAGGGTGGGTAAGTATTTCCCTTCCTTCGTGGCACGATCTTGCGCTCGGCTGGGAACATAGACTTGAAGAGACTCACTTGGTGTCGAGACCTTACTTGACCTACTGGGTGGTCTTGCAAACCAATGCTTGCATTTCATTACACGTGAGTTCCTCTAGTTTCCGCTGTCTCCTCCCTTGTTCCTCCCACCAGCATCGCTAACTCTCTTGGCTCTCGTTTCCTTGATATGATCGAGTCCAGAATAGTGTCAAATGTGGAGGATCCATGGAGAACTAGCAGAAAATCGAGAAAGTTGGCGAAGGTAAGGGCTTTTGATGCGGTTTTTGAAATTGTTGATACGCTCCTCCCGGAACTCAGCTCACGCGTCTTTTTGTCTCTAGGCACGTACGGTGTCGTTTACAAGGCCCGCGAGTTGAACCATCCATGCCGTGTCGTCGCAATGAAAAAGATCAGACTGAATGATGGAGATGAGGGCTTTCCTAGCACCACTATCCGCGAGATTCGCTGCTCAAGGAAATGAAGGACCCCAACATTGTCCAATTGCTCAATATCGTCCAAGCCGATGACCGAAGTCTCTACCTCGTCATGGAGTTCCTCGATCTCGATCTGAAGAAATATATGGAATCTCTACCAGTCAGCGACGGTGGTTGTGGTAGGCCTCTTCCCGGTGAGTCTACGTCGATGGCAATCTTGGGACTGGGCGATGCCATGATTAAGAAGTTTATGGCCCAGCTAGTTGAAGGTCTCCGCTATTGCCATAATCGTCGCATTTTGCATCGTGATCTGAAGCCCCAGAACTTGCTCATTGACCGTGATGGTAACCTTAAGCTCGCCGATTTTGGCCTAGCAAGAGCCTTCGGTGTCCCCCTACCCAATTACAGTCATGAGGTAAGTACACGTGTTCCTTGGCGTACTTTGCGCGATCCGCCTCTGCCTATGATACCCCGGCGTGCCGTCAGCGTATGATAGTAGCGCTGCAACCTCTTGCAATGGAGGGACCCTGATGGAAGCCACGGCAAATGGCAATCAAAACCAATAACTCCTCGTCGCGTTACCCTGGCGATTCGCTGACGCTTGCCGATCCTGTTCTTGGGCGATGGAAAGATTAAAATCCAAGCCATTCACTGTACCAAGGAGAGTGGCAATGGCAAACAGAACATAGATTCCAATTTTAGCCACGCCGGTGCATTTTCTTGATTGAGTCGCACTCAAAGAAGGAAGGGGTACACTAAATGGCCACCTGGTCATCAAGAGTTTCGGCATCTACACCGCAGGAAATAATCGTTTCATATTTGATGTCAGAAATTATGGCGCATTTAACTACCTCATGGTCGCATCGTCGTTTTCGCACTAGAGCCGTAGCATGACCACGTTGAAATTGGAAAATGAATTTATTGCCTGCCTTGAAAGAAGTACACCTTCCCAAAATTAAGATGAATGAATCAATTCAAGGCAGTATTGTTCACCGCCAAGCGAAGCAGTGATCTAGCTCCATTGCTGCTGGCTTCCCGGTGGGTCATCATTACCGCCCCCCACATGGAAGACATATATTCCACGCTACTCGGGTGCTTCATCCAATCATGGCAAGCCTTGGCTACTGAGATGCCAGATGGTCTACCACTCACAATTTGAGTAACGTCAATCTTTAAGGGTTGCCACGGTTCATACGACTTGGAATAATCTGCCAAGAGCCCTGAATACAACGCCGAAAATTTTTGTCAACATTGAAATCCTCTGCGTGGTCGATCGCTCAGAATACCAAATCCTGCTTTCGATTCTTTCATTCTTTAGTCTAGTAGGTGGGTCAAAACGCAATGTCCCGTCACGATAAAGCTTAAATGGCACGTGGTAGTTTGTCCGTGCGCGCCTTCTGGCCAGCCAAGAAACCGTAACATCGAATTAATCCCGAAGTGTCTATACCTTGGACCAACTTGATATTCAATCAACTTGATCTTCTCGTTGTACATGTAGCCCCAGTTATTCATCTAGTACAAAGACAAATATCAATTATCCTTTGTATTGCAACAAAGATTCACTGGTGTGTAGACGACGGATTGTATGGTGTGAAGGTAGCTTAATCCTCATCGCCATCATAAAATATGAGATATACATGGCGAGTGAAGTGGTAAACAGAGCGGCGAAAAGCGAGAACGTGTTCGTGATGGAGAGTAGGTCCAACGTACCTGAAAAAAATATAGGCGGTCTTCTCAAATTTCAAAACATCGGAGGGGACACGGCAACCTGTACAATCGGCAAAGAGTTCGAGGTGGGGTCTTTCTGCGCTGCACTCAGTGGTAGTTCGATTGGAACCGCCACAGAAAAGCCTACGTTGATCTCATCTACCAAGGCCATGGAAGCTAGCACTGTTGTCTCCTCGAGCATGAACCCCACGCTACCCCAGCCCGACTCGATGGACTGCTAAACGACTGGAGCGAGAGCCAGTGATATTTATCTTCAATCAATACCACATTCCCAACAGTACTCAACGCCTTCAGCTCAGCCTAGGCTCTTTCTTCCGCTTATGCCGTTTGATTTCTGGCTTTTGGTTAATTCATTCATGACTACTCACCTCAGTTTGCTCTCAATGTGCTTCTGTGGTGCCGGCTGAGGAAGGGCAATTTGGAGGTCGTTAGTCATCCTTTCTAAGTCGCTCTCTGCGCTACCAATTGAATACTAGTCCCTAGCACCACGAAAAACCGCCTGTACGGGCTATAGAATTAAGACAGGACTCTGGTAGCCAAACAGTTTGTCCAATAGAGCACATATCGATAACGCAGGGCTCATGGCTGCATGGAAGCACGGAAATTATACACTTTGCAGGGCTCAGGTCTGCAAGGGAGCGCGAACTTGTAGGCTCGCTGGGCTCATGGCAGGGAGGGGTGAGTTTGTGTACGCAGCACTCCACTGCGGGGTGACTTGCTCTCGGCAGTGCCCTCCTTCGAAGATCTTTGGTAACGCAGGTGCTATGCTGCGGAGAACTTGGTGATGCAGCAGTCTACTGCAGAGAACTTTTAACGCAGTGGTCTCCTGCGCATCTCAATTGTCATCACGGCGTCCAACTGCGCAGTTCACTTGGTAACGCAGCGACCCCCTGCGAAGCATATTTGATAACGCAGAGCTTGTACTGCGGAGCGGTGGCCATACAGACCCTCAACCCTGCAGGCAAGAGAGGTGCACCATGACACATGGGAGTGTGAGGAGGGAAGTCCAGATTTTTTCTGGGTGATAAATCTGGAGCCTTTTATGTCAATTCGGCTACGTCTCTTCGTAGAGACCGTCTGCGCAGATTAACAGGGACGGCCACCGTTCTTCGAGGGAGTTGAAGCGTTTCAACAGATGTTGGAATAATTTTCCAGCAATTCCTGGCTACAGGTTCGCTAAATTGGAATAGAAGGTGGGCCCGCTGCCTGGTGGATCAGAATTGACTTGTTTGGCCGAGCCAGCCCAGTCAGCCAAAGTCTCGCAAGGGTACTCGCGGATCCTCGGTTTTGCCCTGCCACGAGCGTTAGGCACAGGGACAGTCTAGAAGACATTCTTCCTGTGGTCAGTTGGCCGTTGCCCTCCTGGTCAGGAGCTTTAGCGATGCCCAAGACAAGGCAATCGACCTGAGTAAGATCGGTATTTACGAAAATTACCGAAAAAGTTGCTATTCCACGTTTGCAGCCTGAAAGACCGCCAAATGCCTCACGCCGTACCAAGCGGGCTTGCACATATTGCCGCACACGCAGAATCAAATGCGACGGAGGGACGCCTGTTTGTTTTGAATGTCGTGGGCATGGCCCGTCCAATTGTTCTTATCCGGAAGGACTAACGATTCGATTGCAAAAAGAAAATCGACTGATGCGAGAGCAAGTCACAGGCAGCAAGTCACAGGCTATCGGAAACTGCTTTAAGATATCTCCCAAGAATGCGCAAGTCCTCTCAGGGATCGGGTTACAAAGGTGTTGATGGTATGCTCCGACGTTCACAATGAATTCTTTCAGAGCTAACGCATCTCATCGCAGAGCGAAATATTCCCAAACGATAACAAACATCGAAGCAGACATTCCAGTCCCTTGTCGTCGCACGCCCCTGGACCACATCGAAGTCGTGAACGAAGATTTCAATCGAAATGAGAAAAGCCGGGCGACCGGGTACATGGGAAAATATACTTCTGTCCATGGTGGATCCTTTTCCATAAATGCTATTTCTTCCTCTTGGGGCAATCAGCTGTTTAGAAATATTGGGCGATTGCAATGTGCAATCACTTGTTTGGTAACGTGTCTTGAGGTTTCGAAGAGCGTTCAGTTTGCCGTTCCTCGACTTAGACAGTGGTCGTTTACAATAGTAGATTCTATGACGGGAAATCTTTCAGCACTGCTCCTTTCTATGATCTAATCTTCAACCGTAAAGCATAAATACGTGGCAGGGGACGACGCTAAAGCCCTGTTTCCTGGCTGGATGGTCAATCATAGACCGTCTGGAGTTCGTTTGGAGTTACTCTGGAGCGTTCAAGAACGCATACTGCGAGAATCGAATCTGCGCTCTCTGAGATCGCGCATTAAGGATCAGATTACTCATCCGAAAATTGCCTAGTGATTGTGGTCTGTGCCGGAACGTCGTCGTTACAATACAGCCTAGTACAGGCATAGCCAATGGAGTACCGGGCGCCCTGAGAAAACATTACTTGGGTAAGACCCATAAGATATTGAAGGCTTCGATATACGTGACTATTGAATCGAACATTTCAGCGTTCTCTTTGATCCATTTGAAGCTAGTCAGCATCGTGATATGCAGGGTATTCATTTCCTAGTCATTCAGATCGTTGACTTACGACGAAATGTGTCACTTGAAATGGTATGGCTAAACCTGGGCATACGGAACTACTACCTCTCTTGAGATTCTAGCGCTCTGAGAGACTGCAAAGTGGTAGCCCAACCAGGAAAAGCCATCTTGAGAATACGCTATACAGCTTTCCAGGCTTCCACCATGAGTAGCTTACAGAGTCATCTGTTTGATCAAAGGAAAGCAGTGAGGATCTCTGAGAGTCAGCACCAGTCAAGGGAGAAGCTACAGAGATGATGACAGCAAAGATGTCGCTATTGACTTGCTTATCAACCACTCCAACACTCGAAAAAACAGCATAATATCAAGATATAAGGACTGAAATTATATCATAGTAGTGAGGCCAACTTCACCAGAGGACCGCCACTACCAGCCCCCCTCGTAATTTCTGATTGAATGAGGGGCATTAGAATTTAAGAAGTTGAGAACAAGAAACTTTCAATCCGTGGCGCAATCAGCGCTCGCTCTACGCTTGGAGTTTCTGCTTCAGCAAATCCTTCAAAGCGTCGGCATCTACTGCAAATTTGGAAATACTCTCGTGCAACTTTTCGACAGCCATCACATCCTCGTTCAGATCAAAACGAAAGAGGGCCTCATGATTGAGGTAGCTGCGCTTTGTAATATCGAGGCCGGTCGCGGAAGTTTGGTCTAGCCTTTTCGGTACAGAGTCGAAGGAGTTATAAAGCTCTTCTAAGAGGCTAGGCGAAATGGTCAGATAGTCTCAGCCGGCTAGCTCGATGATTTCGCCAGTATTTCGAAAGGAGGCCCCCATGACAATCGTCCTGTAGCCGTGCCTTTTGTAGTAATTGTAGATGCTCTGCACAGACTTCACACCGGGGTCATCTTCCGCGGTGTAGTCATGCTTTTGGGTGGCCTTGAACCAGTCCAGAATTCGGCCGACAAAGGGAGAAACTAGGAAGGCACCCGCCTCGGCAGCGGCCATAGCCTGCACGAGCGAAAACATGAGAGTTAAATTACAATTGATTCCATGCTTGGATTGTAGAATGCGAACGGCTTGAATGCCTTCCCAGGTGGAGGCTACTTTGACCAGGACGCGTTCTTTGGGAATACCAATCTCTTGAAAAAGCTATAGGAAGTGTTAGATGAATTCTCTACTGTCAGATTTAGTAATGTCTTCATTGAGAGCGACATACCTTGATAATATGCAGCGCTTTATTGACGAAAGCTTCAGTGTCAAAGGAGAAGCGCGCGTCAACCTCAGTGGAGATTTTACCGGGTATGATATTGAGAATCTCCTTCCCAAACTCAACAAGGAGACGATCTAGAGTTGAGTCGACTTGCACGTCGATAGAGTTCCCCTGCTTCTTACCATACTCGATGGCAGCGTTAACAAGTTTAGCATATTCGGCTTTTTTCGATGCAGCAAGGATGAGGGAGGGATTTGTTGTATTGTCCTGTGGTTCATATTTGTCGATAGCTAAAATGAAGTATGAGTTAGATTGAATGAACTGGAGATGGAAAGACTCATCCATCGGCAAGTGCACATACTAGCAAAGTCACCTTATATATTTTTGTCATTGAACTGTCCTCGGAAATGACATTCTTGGATCAAACACTTACTAGAGTCGCAGACTACGATGGAGCCAGTAGCCTTGAGCTGCTCAAGGGAAGAAGCCTATTTTTGAGGCGAGATTCGGATGGGATAATAGTCAGAAATTGGAGCTTCGGCTTTCGGTTTTTTCAGGTTCAATAGGCGCAGAGATTGCAGAAAGAATGCAGCAAAAGTAATTTGCAAGCAGGTAACAAAGATAGTCATTGATACAGTCAGCAAAGAAGTTGGACGGGAATCAAGTATTATCAGAAGACAGAGGTCACGGTACCATCATTCTGCATTGCAACCGTGTATTTGACTTGCGGTAAATGAGGCGAATGACGTAATCGCCACAAGATCATCTGCAGACCCCTTGTAAAGTTATATCACAAAATAAGAATGGAGAAATCAAAAACATTTGCTGCTTGTTAAACAATGAAGCATGTTATACTACTGTAAATGTGCAATCTTTGTACCAATCACGGGGAGCTGGCCAAGAGTCTGAATTCAGAGTATTTGCAAGCTGAGCCGCCTAGTCGCACCTTTCCCATTCAAAATTTGCGGTCGCTAAGATACATCAAAATGTTCAAGAATACCACCTATGTCAACTACCCGGGGAACATCTTTCCAGCGAGCAAGCACACTGAAAGAGCCCTCAAAGAACACAACCTTGGCTCAGACCAGCAAACACACACCCAGGTCAAACCAGACACGGATCTTCAAAATCAACGAGACCCGAGCGGGGATGAACAGGCGTCATCACATTCTTATAGGACACACACTCAGATTGATAATATCATTACCCACGACTCAAAACCCATGTCTCGAAACGCAACACACGATCACGACCACGATTACATACCTTTAGGGGATGAAGTTGATGACAGCACTCTTCCAACTGTGAAACAAACCCTAAACGGGGAATACCATGCGCTAGGTGGAGTTGCAAACGGCCAAGATGACCTGCTTGCAATGAATGGGAGGCGCAATAACTTTGAAGCCATATCGGAAGATCTGGTCCATGACGAGGCTGCACTGACTATCATACATCCATTACATGTTAATGAACATGCCCGTGGTGGTTGCAGTGCCCACCAAGTGGCCCAGTCTGATGAAACGCAGAGCCTCATTGAGACATTGACAGGTAATAACGATCATACTCATGCGTCTTTGACGATGCTGGCCACCTTGCAAGACCAGGCCAATGTACCGATCGAAGGCCCGATGGAGTTCTTGAGGAAGCATCTCAATCCAGACAGCCACAAGCTCGCGTATGAAGTACAAAAGGCTCAAGGCGCTATACAGACAGAGTATTCTAATGGCAGCAACGGTGAAGTCACGAGAGACATTGGCTGGCATAAAGCGAAAATAGAGATACCTGATCCATTGATTGGTGGTTACACGAACGGAGAGCTTTTTGCCTTCATCAGACGCTTCAACAAGGTGGGGCTTCTTTGTCACGATAAAACTCTAAATGGCTAATTTGCGATTGATTAGGACGTTTTCGATGTCAAAGCAGTGCCTATAGACACTGCAAGTGGTCTTGACCTCAACGATGCATGGTCCCAAGATCACGCCGGGGATAAAGTGGCTTTACAACTACAACGAGTTTATCTGTCCGTGGTTCTCGGCATTGCAAGCCTTGCCAAACAAATCTCGCGACTCCGATCCTGGAAGGAGACTTGCCGTACATCGATATTCTGTGGGGTACGTTGATCACGAGCCCACCGTTGAGTTATTCGTTCGACGCAAAAATTGTACTGACCTATGATAAGATATACTTCGCTGCGTGGCTTTTTGATCTGTTGATGCCGCTTGTATTTGGAACTTTGATTCTCATCGTGTCGTCGGTCCAAGCTCGCCAAGTACTCTTTCCGCCCGCACCGCGTGCTCTGGTGAACATCAGGACGGGCGGGATTCAGAAGCCGCAAGCGGGTATGCTAGGGACCATAGATACACTTACTGGTGCTCCGGAAAAGCAACCACATGAAGCTACTGAAGAAGAAGCATCAAATTTCGTCGAGAACGTCCGACATAACATTCAAAGAGCTGTTGGTATGCACAACAATCCACAACAGGACGGCGATGGGGATCCACTAGAAGGAAAGATCCCCAAGCCTATGAGCAAAGCCCTTGGAGCCGTGCAATCTGTCGGTTCCGCACCAGGGCATATTACTGAGTGTACAGATCAAACTCAACAGCCAATGGAAGAGATCATATGGGCGGGACTCAATCCAGAAAGCATTGCCAAAGTTCTTGACATTGCACCCCACGTGATAGGAGAGCTAGCTGATGATTGGGAGAGATTTGCGAAGTAAGTCACCTTTACTTGCCTTAAAGCATTATTGCTGACCAAAGTCCAGCGCAATCTCGCCAAGACCGCCATTTTCTCGTTTTGCTTTCCTCAGAATTGTGGTCGTTCTTGCCTCTTTGTTTCTCGTCTCGCTTTCCGTCGAATACTATATTATTTACAAGGGTGTTGGGTTTATCGCTGGGATCGCCATATTTGGCGATCCAATGCTTGCGCGTGCAACAGCATGGCTCAAACGACATGTGCCGGACTATATGGAGCTTGCACAGCCGAAGAAGTTAGTATACTAATTTATTCTAGTTCTCCAATGCTGACTACGTTTAGCAATATACTTCGAGGTGTCCCTACAAACACCCAGATAGCAATAACTCTTCTCCGCATCGGCGAAGCACACAAAACTCCTCTTCCTCCTGTACTCACCTCCAATCCCGACGACCCGGATCATCAAAACCTGATTGACGCTGAGAACATACCTGTCGGTGCTACCCGCCCCGATGTCCTTGATGCGACCATGCCCTCGGTTGGGAAAGCCCACGGCGAAGGGAATAAGGAAAAGCCAAAACACAGACATCTTTCCAACTTCGTTCGTTTTTTCAAAGGCAATGCCAAGTTCTTCGTCGAGGCGAAACTTGCTATTGATCACGTTCGGGCCGCAACTGGTTCGCAGAAAGCCAAAGACCACTTAGGTGTGTTACATCAGACGAACAGCATCATCTATACCGGGCCGAGCGAATATCAGTGTCGGTTCGAGGGCAAACATGGCTGGGCAGTCATCACAGAGTCTCCTAAACCGAGCGTGTTGTTTACGCGGGATGACCCAAGATTGATGAGCTCTACAAATCTGAAACCAGTATTTGAAATTGCCGTGGAGGATATAAAGCGAATGAAGAGGGCAACAGCTTTTGCCAGCTCGGCAGTTGAGGCAGTGGTGGCGCTATCGTCGGACCAGAAGTTGCTAGCAAGCTTAGAGATTGAGGATAAGGAAGAAAGATCCTGGAGAATGACAGTGATGCCGGAGCGAGATGAGTTGTTCAATCGCTTAGTTGCGGCTGGTAGTCAAAGATGGGAGAATATGTGATTCACCTGTGGTACAAAGGAGAAATGGCGGCATATCCCTGACTGGCCTCGAATCCACTCCTCACTCGCTTGACAGGCGCCAACTGGCCGCCCAAGTGGCCAATGAGCGTCAATAAACGCGCACACCATGCTGTCAGATTGGCTCTGTGCTTTCGCTCTTACCAAATTCGATGGACTTTGCAGAGCGAGATATTGGTTTCCTATTGCTTTCCTACCTTGCTTTTTACTTTGTAGGTTTAATGGTATCCAGCTCGAGAATCGATATGCCGCCACTTCTGGTTGTAGGAGAGACTAGGAGTATATGATGATACAGTGGACGTGCCACGCACCAAGGCACGTGTAGGTAGGACTGGGTCTGGAACCTCTTACCTAATGAGCTCGTATAATTGCCCGAAAGGTGACAATTTATGACATGCACGTTTTCGTTCATCAGCGAACTACTTGAAATTTGAGTTTTCTTTGTTTTACAGGTACTTGAAGCCACATGCCATCATGGAAACCGTTCTTTGCTCCCTGTTTGACAATGTCCTTGCCATACCTATCAGTCATGTGTTTATGGTAGTCACCTGTTTCGTGATAGCAATAGGCCTTGGAAGGCCCGAGTGGATCTCCTTCCTTGGAAGAGGAATATCTGCAGTGTACCGAATATACGATAATGAATCATTGTCCCTATGCATATAGTCGTTCTCTTGTGGGAGTCGTGTATCTGGCTACTGATTACATGTACCTTGTAAGGTATCTCATGCTTTGTTACCAAGCTATCATTTCTTTCAACCTGTTATATTCTTGTTGACTACAGTAGCTGGAGCTGCTGGTCGTTTTTTTCTGTTTTAATTACATCATTAACCACATATCTCGCAGATGACTGAAGTTGATATTCGGTCAGATTGTCGAACTTCATCGTTGTGTCATCGTTGTGTAGGAACCCCGTCAGCAAGGGCCACCCGACACGTTTTTAAGTGGGGTTTCATCTCATGTTTGTCGTGCAAGGGGCGCTCAGAATGGAGATTCACATCCTGCAGTGGAGACCTGGGTCGTGAGCGGCTTACCGGAGAACGAGTTGGATCAACATGATTCATCGTTAAACGAACACTCAAGATCAGCGGCCCTCCAAGTAAACGAGGCAACCTAATTCTGTCCTGTTCATTGGTCGGATTTTTGGGGGACTCACTTCCTGACACCAGATCTGCGAGCACTCTGCTGATCACTGTCGTCAGCCAAACCAGCTGATCCAAACTATGGATGAGGGAGTTTCCATCACATCATGCATAAAATTTCGTAAAATTTCCTGCTTGTGGAAGTCTAGACCGAAGCACTTAGTGTCGTCACTATATCTGAACAGCCAACCAGCCGTCGGGCCGCTAACCACCCCAGTTCGCCTGTTTACTGTCGGCTCCTACAACTATTGCAGCTTCAACAACAACTCCCAGACTCTTCCATATGCAGTAATCTCAACTGCTCCTGATGGAACAAACCTACTACCCTGTCCGATAAGATATCGAAGGGTATCTTGTTAACGCGAGCAACACCCTCACCCTATTATCAATTTTCTCTGCAGGATGTATAGCAGTTGCTATGTCTGCATATATTTCGATGATTAAACTTTGTCCTAAGACATCATTCGGTGATTTATGGACCATCGTTAGGTTTGCTTTATGTGAAATACCATAATAATCCCTGGCGATTGAAACCGATGCTAATACGTTACAAGCGGCTGCGTTCACCTTTTCTTCGAGGGTTATTTTGCATACAACTTCAGGCGCATGCCTTCTATGACGGATATTTTCGGACAACTGTGGAAAGAGTACTCACTGTCGGACTCTCCTTATCAAACGCAAAGTGCCTTCGTGCTGTGCATGGAAACCGTTACGGCCTTTATCTGGGGACCTTTGTCGTTTGTTATGGTCTTTCTGATAATTCGAGATCACCCCTTGCGACATGCAGTGCAACTAATTGTTTCGCTTGGTCAACTTTATGGTGTTATCCTATATTATGCAACCAGTCTTTTCGATCATTATGTACTTGATATTGCAAACCCCAGACCGGAATCTCTGAGATTCTGGGGATATTTTTTCCTCTGCAACGCTTTATGGGTCATATTCCCTTCAAGTGAGTATTGATCACTCGTCTTTATTTCGCGGGCTGATGACAGTCGCACTAGTTCTTCTTTATACTAGCTTACTCGCTAGCAAGAGGGCTTTTATATCGAAGGCCAGTGCAGAAAGACCAACAGAACGATTAACGCAAAGACCGATAGAAAGACCACCAAAAGGATCGATGAAGGGATCCATGGAAAGTACTGCTGTTAACTTGACAAAGGACATGACAACATGCGAGTGAAACTCAGGCTTTACCATGCGATCTTTACATACTCACCTTGCTATAGACTCTGTAGCTTGTTACCCAACAGGGCTGGTCTTTCAAAAAGCAAATGTTCTTCCTATGAATTGTTTCTAGCACGGCCGAGGACCGGCAAGTCAAATCATGGTTTGTTGTTATGACGCTTCTGTTGCTTATCACGAGCTCATAATTGATTTCATGTTACTCGCTCGCACCATCGGCTTAATAGATCGCTTTAGTTAGTGACGGCATTCAGCTGGGGGAAAAGCCTGATCCACCTCACGCTCGCCAGATTGGGGTCAGCCTGTTTCTGTTGGGGGGACTAGATACCAGGGTTACTCTGGCTGATTCCTAAGTGCTTCAGCAATAGCTACTACTCGTTTAGTCCGTCATATTTAGTTGTTTGAGAGTTTGACTAGGAACACTTCAATTTTTGTGACTTGCCACCATCACGCTTACATGTATGCTGTCTTTGATTGGTGGATTCGTGATGAGGGCTACAGTGCATTTCCTGACTTGACGCCTCTAGATCTTGGAAGATGGCATCTATTCCTATATTTGTGACACAAACACCATCACTGACGTAGTCTTCTGGCAAGCTTGACTAACGATTTTAGATCAGGATTCTTCATTAATAGGGTGGGGTCTTGCTGTATTATGTTGGAACAAGGTTTTCGGGTCTACTAACACGGGCTTTTCATTACGTGGGCTCAGAATAATTAATATCAACCCTCTAATAATATTGACTAGAAGACGCACATTTACGACTTCATCTATTGATATGGCACCACGTATCAGCGACTTGATCAAAAAGGATCATCGGGAAATACAGTCATCTTACGAGAATATTATCAATGCCTCAAAGGAGACGGAGAAGACGAGATGGCAGAACATCTTCACCTGGGAACTAGCTCGCCACTCCATTGCTGAGGAGCTTGTTGTTTACCCAGCATTTGACAAGTATGTATCCGGCGGCGTTGAACTTGCCAAAAAAGATCGCCAAGAGCACCAATCAGTACGTGGGCTTTCCCATGAATTTGAACAATTTCATAACATTATTGCAGGTCAAAGAGCAACTGAAGAAGTTTCAAAATTTGAACTCTTCAGATTCTCAGTTCCTGCCTACCCTCAAGGCTCTGATGCAAGATCTGTCGCGGCATATCACGGAAGAACTGGCGGACGACCTGCCTAAACCGGAAGAAGTCCTATCGCAAGAGGAAAGCGAGGAGTACTCTATTTCGTTTGGAAAAACTAAGATGATCGTTCCATCTCGCTCTCACCCCAGCGCTCCGAACAAACCGCCATACGAGACGGCTGTTGGCCTTTTGGCGGCGCCCATTGACCACCTTTCCGACCTATTCCGCAGGTGGCCTCACACCTCGGGAATGCCCAACCCTTCCAAAGATTAGGAACAGTCTAGCAAGCTCGGGGAGAAGCGGCGGGGACATATTTATTACATTTGGTTCCAATATGCAAACATTTTTATCGTCGCAAATCTTTCTTGGTTAGCAACTCGTTATGAATGGGATTGTAAGATCGAAACTCATTGTTGCTCCTAGAAAAGAAGTAGCCAGCGATCAATTCATCTTTTGTATGCACAATGACGTATACCAAGGAAGATTTCCATACTACCAAGACAAAACCTATGTGCTGAGAGCCCCATCAGGATAAGATGTGCCGCTTCTTGGAACCCATTCCCATCAGGATTCAAACGTTTCCCGAGAAGTTGAGATTTGCCTCAACTATATCCCGACAAACATTCCACACCCTTCGGTTTTGCTTGGCACCTGCCCTTAGTCTCTAACCCGTCTGTGATCTTGAAAGTCCAACTAAAACGCCAATTTTTGGCGTTTCATTCCGCCTTTTGGCAAGAGTATCAGCAAGACGCCTGCTTTTATCATCATCCCATGTGGCGTTAAAAGGGATCTGGGGGATTTGAACCGGATGAGTTGGGTCCTCATCAATCTGGAAAAATCTTCATAGTTCAAGATAGGAGGAACAGGAGAGTCTCCATGAGTGGCTCTGATGACCGACTAACATCTTTCCCTCTATATTTCGTGATATCAATTCCGTGAAAGAAGAAAAAGAAAGTATCAGACCAATCTCCCACACAAAATGCCTGGGTCTGACTCAATGATAGAAATATGGCTCTATCGATATTTCGAACGATCAGTCGTGAAAAAAGCTAATAACCGAGATATCCGCATTTAATTTACAAATGGTAGGGGTTGGCGGCATTCCTCTCCTCCAGTAGCCCAGTAAAGGTTGCGGCTCATCAAGTTGCCCCCAAGTATATTTCTACAGTACAGCGGTAACATATTCAGTCGTGGGTCTAGATCGAAAAAGACCCTGCTATCTGAAAACGGCCCATGATGAAAGAAACGAATAGAGTAAGAAGGGCAAAGACACAGCATTGAAATGGTGGTATCGTATGGCTGCCCTTCATTGAGGTCTACAGCACATCCGAGCTAGGTACGAGGCGCTCGACATTGGCTCGCGCAATTAAGGGCGCGTTGGTGCAGATCCAACATCCAACACGAGACGAGCGAGTCGGCTTGGGACTTAGATCTTTACTCAGTGCGGACCAATAAAAATCATGGTGGTGACAGCCAACGGCGGAGTGTCTCGGTGATGAAAAGTGTGGCTGTTGACACAACGCTCAACCGTCAAAAAAGTAGAAAAAGGCCCAAAATATTAGATGCTTTTGCCGTCCATGTCCTAGTTCAGAGGAATATCAACACTATCTACTAGCATGCGCTTTGTGTGGGTGCTGACTCATCTACTGTGACTAAGCTTAGCTTACATGATCCCAAGTCTGGCAGACCATCGCAATCACGTAGGCGCGTTGCTAATTCGACACGGAGATCTCAGCCCAGGACGTGCGGCGACTCGAGCCTCTACGTGAGACACTTGCAACACATACAGAGCATGAGAGCGCACCTTATCCTTGCTGGTCCACGAAAGCCCCCTGTTACATGGTTTCGATTGTTCCAACTCTATCACCTCTATGCCCACTGTGCTCGACCCACCCAAATAGCATTTTACCCCCTTCCCGGTTGCGAGCCAATGCCGGCACTCACAAGAGCCCCTAATTACGTGCCATTACCTCAAAAGCTCGACCGAAATGCTGCTCACTGCGGTATATTCCCTCATTATTGCCCGCCGCGGATGTATGAGTGCTATCCTGAACCAAGAGCCCAGTCTCTGTATAGACCATCGCTCGCGCTACAAATGACTTTCCATACAAGGCGTAAGCTAAGAGATGGGGGCGCACGTCCATGCCGGTGATTATTGCGGCCATGTGGCATGTCCGTTGGAAGACTCACAAATCTAGCCCCAGACCTCTGAAGAGCTATCCAATTTACGTCACGGTCGGTTTTAGGATCTTGACCCGTCCTGGGATCTGTAGCGCTCCTGGAAAGCTCGCTCAGGATCCCAGGATTAGCACTGTGCTATCCGGGAACTAGGTGAGGTTTCTTGCGATCATGAAACTTTGAACCCGTGAAAGCTCTTGGCCCGAACGGGTTACGGGACACTGGTCCTGGGATCTCACTCAGTGATTCCGTGAATAACTGAACCGAAACTAGGAATGCAACCAGCGAACCTGGGAGCCATATGCTCCTGGGGCTCTTGAGTCGTATCCTGGAACCCTTGTTCTTGATCCTGGCCCTATAAGGTTCATCCCGGGGCCATTTCATATGAAGCCGGCCGGCTACTCAGCGAGGACGCCATATAAATACTCTCCCATCCTGGCCTCACGATGACCTTATGAATTTTATCACAAGTCTGTTTTAGAACTTCATGATATTCTACTTCGGCGAAGACAGACATACCAATGGATACTTTCTTGGTCAAACTCTCTTCGGAGGTAGGAGTCGCCCTCAAACAAAATATCTCAACCATCTTGGTAATATCCATATTTTCAACAGCCGCATACAATGCCTTGGAAACAGTATTTATCACCTTCGACATCATCAAAAACCATCGCGCTCTTTACTTCTGGAGCATGCAGGTCGCGTCGTCGGGCACCCTTGTGCATACTCTTTCTGCCATCATTTGCTGCGCATTTCAAACATCCACACTGCCGACGTCCGTTTTTCTCATCGTTGGGTGGTACGCTATGGTGACTGGCCAGGCTGTCGTACTCTACTCGCGCCTGCGCCTCGTTATTCTTGATACCTGCAAGGTGCGATGGGTGCTCTGGATGATCGTCGTGAATGCTTTCATCCTATATGTCCCAATGACTGTTCTCTTCTTCGGTCGTCTTGGCGGTGACGCACTCTTTACTCGACCTGCTGCAATTTACAACAGAATTCAATTGGTCGGCTTTTGTGCACAAGAAAGCGTCATTTGTGGCATCTACCTCTATGAGGTGATGCAAAATCTCACGTTTATCGCCAGGATTCGCGGTCGTGGAAGCCGCTATGTCACCACCCATCTGCTTTGCGTCAGCGGTCTCGTCTTTGTCCTAAATATTCTGCTTCTCCTTACTGAGTACAAGCTGCAGTTCTTTCAAGTCGGGTTACAAACCATGATATATAGTATTAAGTTGAAAGCGGAATTCGCGCTGCTCTATAATCTTCGCGCAACAATGCATTCCGATCCTTTGATGCTTCCACTGGGCCGTTTGCAAGGTCACTGGTTACTAAATAACACGAAGTTCTTGAACATGGAAACCTCGTCCACATTGGCTGCGCTGGAGGTGGTGAGACCATCTAGCGCTGATCCAGCGGGAGGAGGGGGTCGTTGCCACTCGTTGTCTAGCGGTACCCTTGAATATCACGCAACATTACGCGAGATTTCACATCGTCCGGAGGGGACTTGGGGTACCAGAGTGCTGAAAATAAGCTTTAGCTTAGCTTACCTGAGCGGGTTGCCGTGACTATCCACCATCGTCAGTAATTAGGCCAAATTGTCTCCAATCAAACCTATGAATGTTCCATCACTTTCTATCTTCGCAACGTCTTTCAGCGAAGATAAGTACTGCATATCGCTTTGCGAGGGGTCAGCGTGAATGAATACTACTACTACTCGTACTGTACTCTGTACTGCATGTCATTTATGACGATGGGCTTTTTAGCCTGGCTAAAGAAACATCGTCCCTGAGCGCACGGTCTAACTAACACCCAGGTGCCTAGTCCATGCCAAGATCCGATGGTCATAGAAAATGTCAGAGTTTGTTTCAAAGACCGAAGTGGTTACAGATCCCGACGCATCTAGTATACCTTATTGTGTACGTGTAGGGAATCATTCAGTGAACAAGACATTCTGATTGACCAATCCAAGACGGCAGCATAGGAGGTAAAATAACAAGCAATTATAATAACCGGATACAGTACTTCGTGGATACCCCATTCAAGTCGGTCGAAAGAACAAAGTGTGATCATGATTGTGAACTTCACATAACCACACGTCCCATAAGAAAAAGCTGTACGTTCCTATAGAGCATGGCAAACACAACACACGTCTCATTCGGCATAATCCAGGGTTACCTCGAGTCTGACTGGACCGGGGGCAAGATTGCCACCAATTCCACCGATATCGGCGACATCCCTCGTGTAGGCGTTCTGAACATGCCTCGCATCCCGAGCGATGGCTGAACAGAAATGGTGGAGGACACCAGGCCAGCGGTCTGTGCTTGTGTTTCAGATACATCAAATCCGGACCACCCATGATTCGCAGATGACCAAAGTCAAACTCTTCCCACGTCACGCATATCCACCTTTAGTATCCAAAGGAATAGCAGTTGCAGGTGCAGCAGTACATCCGCCCTGGGGATCTTCGTCAAAGGCTACACTATGGATCGAAAACAGTTTCACCACTTACACACAGAGAATCTATCTCGAAGCCCTTTTGACAACATACTAAACCTATTACGGTTACTCTATCCCTGACCCCATGTGTTGGCAGTATTTCTGTCACGAGGTGACAGGGGACGACAGCGTAGAGAACGGTCGGACAAGGGATCGAACCCAGGTCGCTATCTGTGGGAGCAGCCCACAGATACCTGGGGGCTGGGCACTAGGCCTAATCGGGACTAGAGGGGAAATGGGAACCACAACAAGTTCCCTCTCACTTTCCCTTCTTCATTTCTTTCTCTTTCCTTCCCTAGTACAATTCTCCTCGTTGAATGGACAGCTACAGCTTTGTTTCTTTTGCCTCGTCGCAATTTCAATACAAATGTAAAAAACAGCCTGAAAATAGATTCTGTAATAAGCTTGTATGGCTTTAGCAGTTTCTAGAATGTCGATCTTACAAACAAGGCAAACAAAGGAGGAAACCCGTCTGGCCTGAATATTTCTCTACCAAGCATTCCACAAATCTCCACGAGTTGGAAGAAATAGGTTGTATCGGTACAGGACAGTAAGAGTGAGGTATGTTCTTCACTGCCTGTTGCACACTAGATAAACGACTTTTATTTGAGGCTCTGACAAAATAGGATTGTGCTGACGTTGGTGTTGAATCTGCTCGGGTACTAATTATCCCTGCATGCCTGCGTGATATTATAAAATATTTGACAATACTAATATCCCATAACCTTTGTAATCATATTTTGTAGTAATCCCGGACTGCTCATACCCCAAGAAAGAGCTCTCCCAATACTATAGTCGTGTTCAGGAGCCTCGAAATAGCCTTAGGCCTCATACGAGCTTTAGGATATACTCCTAGAACAGCAACCCCATTTTTTGGGAGTCTAAAGAGGCTTAGCAACTGGAATATTGTTCGTTTCTGCAAAGCAATATCAAAACGAGATATTTACACAAAAAAACTAAGAGTTGAGCTTTTTCGTAGGACCAGATTAATGTACATAGTAAAAGACTCAAAACCACACACACACACATAGATATTCCGTTTGACTATGTTGAATTTAATTCCGATTCCGTGTTGGCGGATCATAATTCAGGAATATCGCATCGTCGAAACTCTCTCCAAGACATGGAATTAAGATCAACGGTCGTGCGCCTCTGACGGGAGGTCGATTCACCCATCCACCTTGCTCTCGGTACTTTTCGTCTAGGCTGTCAATAAGAATCACTTCGAGATCCTTATACTCCCACCGCAAATCATGTGGAAGCTGTTCCACTTCAAGCTCAATCTTGTAATAGTGGTTCTTCTCGGCCACTATGAAAATTTCGGAGTCTTCATCCAGGGCAGCCCAAATCTAGATTGTAGATTCTTATCCAGCGCTATTTCCATCAAAAGCTCTTGGGCCTGATTTTGTTCAAGACAAACATCGGAGATGATCCGACTAGGTATTCAACCGAGACAGTCCGGTGTACATGTATCGAGGAAATTGTAAATCTTGAAAATTTGACCGGGCTGAGAGAGGTACAAAAGATGATCGTGGATGTGTGTGTCTCCTGATAGCGGCATTTCCGAAGTTCTTGAATTTACAGCAGTCAAAATAGATTCCACTCGATTTCTGATAGTTTTGGCAGGAGGCTCAACCAGCTATGGGAAGGTTGTGTGATGTTGACGGGCAGCAAAATGGGTTCGTTTTCTTTGCAGACAGCATGAGGCGGGGTGAACCATATTTGAGAGGGATTACACGTGACCTTAAGTAGCCGGTACGCGGTAGGCCCACATTATCTTGCCATGGCCCCGTGAATCAAATGCGTACCGGCGGGGCGTTTGGACTTGTCACGTAAATTACGTTTTCATTCGAATGCGAGAACGTTCAGCTCCTGGGATCGACAAAGAGACACTACGGGAATTGCCTCTTTTGGATGAGCTGCACTCTGCACTCTGGAGGCCATGCAGAATTGATTTTTACAAATATAAAGGTATTTCTCATCGCCGGCGTTTCACCCAGCTCGTCATGTTAAAGTTCTCTGGCCTTGGAATGTCATTCCGGAATAGTGCTGATCGCACAGAGCAGTGGCTAGACTCCCCGGTCCCGCCAGAATAGTCTTGACAGTTTAAGCGGGATCGCTGCGATGATATTGTATAGCAACTTACTTTGGCCCCAAAATGAATGCTCGTACAGCCTGGAGGATGAGAATTTCAAGTCTAGACGGCCGAAATTTGGTATCAAACCCACGCTGCTTGTTGCCAAGCCACATGTGAGGGTAGTCCGATGATTGAGGTCCATAGCGGCCTGGACTCTAGTGGCATGGGTCTAATGAATGAAAGCTGTGGTGGGATGGCTGAAGCGTTAGGCACCAAGCCTTAGGGCAGGTGCCTTGGCCAATGTGGACCTTGGTCCACAGCCAGAGGTCTACCGAGGTTTTCAGTCCACTACCTGGCGTCCAAGCTAGCTTTGCAGCCATGATTGCCTGAGTTCTTTTCGGCATACGCTTTACAGGCGAGCTCGAAATCAGTTTCACTTTTTAACTCTCTTCTCTTCTCTTCTTTCTAGAACTCTATTCTGAAAATATGCTAGTCTTCATTTGATCTAGTCTATCGCAGGTTCTTGAAATGTATTGTAATAATGAGGCTGCAACTTTCCAGAACCAAGATACAATCGTTAAAATATAGTGAACAGTCAACCCCAAGGTTCATCACTCGGATCAGAGCGATCCTTAATACGGGAGCTCAGTAAATATAGGATAGAGCTTCTTTGCCCATTCACTCATAGTGAGGGCAAGCGAAAAGAAATCCTACCTCTCTGAGAATATGGGTTACGTAATCAAGACTTTCGGTTCTTTATGGATCACTTGATAGCGGGGTATATGGGACATCTGATCATGAACTTCCCGCCCTGCTCAAACCACCTGCCCAGAATCATGGCGGCTTCCACATCCTACAATGGGATAAACTCTGAAATTCAAGTTGCACAAAACTATGCTCCTATCGCTGCAAACTTCGGTGAGTAAGGAACCAAATGACGACTCCAACGGGACGTGGCTAATACTTAACTGCTTCCAGTTCAACTAGAATCGTCTTTGAATCAAGCATGCCTTAGGGATTTGCGTACGACCAATCCATACGACGATAAAAGCCGCATCAAGAATACGAACGGAGGGCTGCTCAAAGACTCATATCGCTGGATCTTAGACAATGCGGAATTCAGACAATGGCAAAACAACCAAAACAATCGTCTCCTCTGGATCAGAGACGATCCCGGCACCGGCAACACAATGCTCCTGTGTGGTATCATCGAAGAAATGACACAATTACATGGAAACACTGCGAATGTCTCATTCTTTTTTTGCCAAGCCACCGACGTGCGATTTAACAGCGCTACTTCCGTCTTACGTGGTTTGATATATTTACTTGTCCAAAAGAATCCATCCCTTCTCTTCTATGTGCGGGCTCGGTATGACTAGGCCGGGAAAGCCCTCTTTGAAGATATAAATGCGTGGGATGCACTCTCGACTATCTTTAAGGATATCCTAAAGGACTCGTCTTTAAATGGAGCCTATATCATCTTTGATGTATTGGATGAGTGTATAAACGGTCTTCGCCCCCTTCTGGACTTGGTTGTGTAGGAGTCATCGGTTCACCTCCAGATGAAATGGGATCGTCTCTAGCCGTCACTGGCTTGAAATTATTGAGCGTCTTGATATTGCGGCCCATGTAACTCCTATCTCGTAAGAGCTGAATAAGGCATCTGTGTCCGGAGCTGTGAACAAGTTCATTCAACACAAGGTCAACGAATTGGCGAAAGTCAAAAAATATACAGACAGCACCCGTGATAGGATTCGCCGTCACTTATTGCTAAACTCGCAAGGCACGCTTCTGTGGGTAGCCTTGGTCTGCCAAAACCTTGATAGAACGTCACCAAGGCACGCTATCAATAAGTCAGAAGCATTCCCTCCTGGGCTGAATGCTTTGTAAGGCCGAATGATTGATCAGATTCGCCGGTCGGAAGATGCCGAGGTTTTTAAGCAGATTCTAGCTATTATATCAACAGTCTTTCGACCTATCACGCTTAGCGAACTAACATCATTCGTTGAAGTGCCGGATAACGAATATGGTGACCAGGATTCCCTCTCGGAGATTATCGCAGTTTGTGGCTCATTTTTGACATTACGAGAAGATACTATTACATTCGTCCATCAATCCGCAAAGGAGTTCCTACTCCGGGAAGCTCTAAATGAGATACTTCCTAGAGGTATAGGAGCTAAACACCACATGATTTTCTCGCGATCTCTCAATGTGATGGCCAAAACACTTCGGCATGATATACAGTACAACGGCACACTTCACTCGCATTTTGAGTTCAGCCCTTCACCGGTTTGCTACCCCCAGGGCGGCCCAGTAACCTCAACCTGCATCCCCCCAAGAAACACCAAATCTTGATCAACTCGGTGAGTGGGAAGTAAGTAGACCAGATGATGAGTTTCCACCGATCTTTATCCGTTATAAAATCGAGTGGAAAGTAAAGGGTAAAGGTTAAAAACCGGTTCAAGTGGGCAGACACAATAAAGAACGTGACCCTGACTCCAAGTGCCTGTTTGCCTTCAGTCCTGAGGGTTTGGTTGGAGAAGGTGCTTCAAGAGCAGATCCCACGTAGCCGAAGGGTCAGATCGGATGGCATGCTCGTAGCCATGTCGGTAGAAGTGCTTTATAATCGTTCGAATAAGCTATGAATCAAAACGGAAGTGAGTAAAGGGGGTGTCATCAGTTCTAATTGGCTGCAGATCTGAGTTATAGGTCATCTTATAGTTGGTGACTTATAGGCATTTGTGACACTGCGGTAGTATTTCGTCGCACTATAGTGAATGTTACTAATTAAGCCTGAGCGTGTCGGGTGAGGGGAGACTCATATTAATCCTCCGGAGCTTACAGTTTCTGCAAGCCCGACGCGATTTTTTGTGCGACTAACGCCGTCAGGACTGGTTTACGAAATCCGATTGATTTTTATGGCATCTTTCAATCTGTAGAGATATTTAGTGTGCAAAGGAGAATGAAGAAGGGATCCAGGTTCGGCTCCATCTGAGTGGGACCGCGATTGTGGGTTTTATTCGCCAAGTAAAGTGTAGCATTGCATAATTGGTGGAGAATAGAAACGCGCTAACCCGCAGTCGTATTCCCCAGTAGCTCCAGCGTTTTTCCCGGCTTATAAACTTAGCAATATGGAAATAAATTCCATATCTCCGTCCAAAATACAGTCTGTAATCACTCCAGCAGAACTATAAGTACTTCAAGTTCCCCATTTCCCAGCTGAGAAACAAATCAACCCACTATTGACAGCTGACCACTTTGACGAACTTTTCAATTGGTAGCCATTACCAATTAATACCAATATCAACAACCTCAATATGCACGTTTTCGTTACTGGTGCCACCGGCTTTGTCGGCCAAGCTGTTGTTCAAGAGCTCCTCGATGCCGGCCACACCGTCACCGGACTTGCTCGCTCAGAGGCGTCGGCTTCATCTTTACAAAAGAAAGGTGTCGAGGTAGTTCGTGGCTCTCTTGGAGACATAGATTCGATGAAGAGAGCAGCGTCGAAGGCCGATGGTGTCATTCATCTTGCTTTTGATCCTGATTTCACCAAATTTGCCGAGAACGCCCAGGCTGAGCGTACGGCTCTTTTCGCTATGATAGACGCTCTTACAGGATCCAATAAGCCTTTGATTTTCACCTCAGGGACCATGGCCTTGGTAAAAGGAGAGGTGGGAACAGAGGATAGCCCCGCGGAGACAAACACAATATTCAGCGCCCGCACTGCCACAGAGCAACAGGCACTCGATCTTTCGTCCAAAGGTGTGCGTGTATCTTGCGTTCGTCTGTCGGTCACTACTCACGGCGATGGAGACAAAGGATTTATCTGGCAAATGGCTGAGTTAGCGCGTGCCAACGGTCAATCGGTTTATGTCGGCAACGGCCTTAACCGATGGCCTGCTGTTCATCGCCGCGATGCGGCCCGCCTGTTCCGTTTAGCTCTCGAGAAGGGTGCTGCAGCGACTAGTTATCATGCTGTTTCTGAAGAATGTATCCCGATGAAGGATATTGCGGAGGCTATCGGAAAATCCATGCGTCTTCCGACTGTTTCTCAGGATTTTGAGACCGCTTCGAAGCATTTTGCTGGTTTTCTGGTTTATCCTGTCAGTGCCGACAATCCAGCTTCCAGCAAGAAGACCAGAGAGCAGTTGGGATGGTCACCCTCTGAGCCAACTCTTCTTGCAGATATCGAGGCCGGCATCTACAATTGAGATCTGCAGTATGATTTGGCGTTTGTCCCACTTGTACCCAGTGTGGAATTCTACCCTTCCCTGTGTCAAAATCGGAATAAAAATGTCTCGTATTCAAATTGAATTAGAACCTGTTTTTAGGTGGCCTGAAAAAATCAAGTAAAAAAATAAAGGTCCATTTTTATATGCAGTGTATCCTTTCCAATGAGAAAATTACGTGTACATTGCTTACATCCCAGGGAGATCGTTTCAAATTTGCGGTCGGTCAACCATGAGCCATTATCTCGGGGTCCGTCTCTTATGGGGTACCTCTAATCGGTCCTCCCCGACCCGTCTATTGCTGCAGTGACGTTAAGTAACATCTCAGCTTAGGAGTCTCCTTACTTTACTAGGAACAAAGTAGGGGCCAAGAACTATCAACAACGCGTGTTGTTGCGATAGAGAAACCAATCTTATAGGCCCAGTGAGGCCTGATGTACTAAACAGCTCAAGCTATTTATGGGTTTAAACCGGAGACGAGGTGATACACGCGATCTGCGTATGCATAAGAACAAATCTGGGCTGGGCTTGCCCATAAATTTCAGAAAGTGGAGAGAGGATTTTGTGAGTAGCCAAGCATGGAGAGTTTACGAAGCGAAATGTCGAGTCAAAAAACTGTACCTGAACTTGATTTGAGGCGTTCCACCCCTCCGGAGTGTTCCGTCGGGGTTCAGAGTTCCAGCACTGGTGCCCCAGACTGAACCCAGGAAGGCTAAGCTGAAAAGGGCAAATTTGGCTTGGCTGATAGACCGCGAGGCTCAAACAGCGCCACCAAATTACTCTACCCTATAACCAATGAAAGGCTCTAAATACTCGGCGCTATTTCCCACTTTCACCATATTGTTTTAAGCGACCTTTGAGGCGCTCCCAGAGGGTTTTAGTCGCTTTAGTGGGGACCCATAACTTCCAGCGGCCTCCCTGCTAGCTGTTTTTTGTTCCCTCTCCCCCATATCATCTCGACGCAAAATGCGTCTTCTTCGAACAACCTGTGTCATTTTTCTGACTCTATCATCGGCTGTTTTGGTTGCTGCAACAGAAGATTCAAATTATGATCCTTCATACAACTTCAGACCGTACAATGTGACGATGAGTGCTCTTTATAATTGGGTTGGGTCGTAAGTAATTGGTGTCTTCCTAGGAATCAATGCTAACAGATTGATCAGGTACTACAATGGCACAACGCGCGTTGAGTTCTTGCCATACACTGGACTCGCAGCTTCCAACAGCTCTTTGTGTCCGGTCTTTCGCAACGAGATCATCATAAAAGAGTATCCAACTGTTCTCGGCCTTACAGAGCCAAGCAAATACAACACGGCGAATGACCCCGTGAATGCTATGATTACACTCTGGCCTCCTGGATTTAACTTCTCTAACGTGCCTCCAATCGGGTGGATTCAGGATATAAGCGAATTCAAGTCCTTACAGTGGTACCTATGGTCTTCAACGTGAGTTAAGCCAACGTATCATAGGCTCACATACTAATATTACCTAGTCCTCTCTACAAAAGCACCTTCACCATGTCCGAATCACCTAAGCTGCTAAATGACTTTGACTGGTCACTTGAAAAAACCCAAGAGCCACCATTCAATCTATCAGGTACAGTGATCGACGATGAGTTCATTGGGGAATTTCCTCTCAATATGACATCGTGCAATAGGACTGGGGAAGTCCCATGGCGTCTCCAGCCGATTGCTTGGAACTCGCCTTTTAACGGCGTTAGGTACCCATATCCGACTATCAGTTTACAGTTCGACCATCAGAGCGCAAATATTTCTTTCGAGGGCTATTTTTCAGGCGAACGATATTATGAGCAAGAGGGGCTACGGAATTCAGGAGATTCAATTTTAGTGGGTAAATTTGAGTTGACATTTTTGGGTGCCATCGATAGCTACCACTCCGATGTTCTTGAGAACGACACTGCTACCCCGATCTGGCTACGTACTGTTGGCTTTCAGAATAACTCGTTGAACGTTGGTTATGCATTAGTGTCAACAGGTAGCCAGCTAATAGGGTCGCTCTCGTTGGCTACTCTTACTTTTATCGTATTAGAGGTAGCCTTATTCTTGTCTTGAAAAAGACTGCCTGAAGTATATTAGGGGCCCCCATCACTTCTTATTATGTGACGAGACCGGAATTCAGCTGAAAGTTCTATATCGTGACGCCAGTTTTCAGTATACTAGTTAGACTTCCGCAGGACTAGACCTGGCGTTCACCCATAAGTCAACTCCACCCGACCAGCCCCACGGGTGGGTAAGCGGCCAACTTATCGATCCAGAGGGAAGACCTTGGCACAGCCCGCCCATGTGCCTAAGGAGTCCGCCTGTAGCCCACCCGTCTCAGTTCGTTGGGCGGGCAGGTAAGCACTAGCACACCCATGTGCCCGCGTAGGGCGGCCCGGGCGGCCCGTTTTCGCCCACCTCGTGCATTATTATTAGGCCTCGGCAGGACCCGCAGGTTACCCAACACCCATTACCCATTATGCGCCAAGAGCGAATAATAGGTAGCATAGTTCTACCTGTGGGTTGGGACTAGGTTTTAAAATCAAAATCAGGGTACCCATTTGGGTGTTTGGGTATAGTGACATGCGAATAGAGAAAGTCGAACGACTGCTCTAAAGTAACGCTACGGTCATTAGCGAAATCTGCTTCCTCGCCTACATTAAGGTTGCTCTTTTCGATTGTCCTGGCTGCTGTCCTCTCCACTGGCTCACCATTCTAGCGTCATGTGTTCGATTGGGGCCGCCTCGGATTTGTCGTTAGTCTTACCATCACATTGTACGGGATGTCGTCACTAGAGCTTGTTATTATTCTAAATTCTGACGACTGAAAGCCTCTCATTGGCTCCTTAGGGATTGAAAATTTGCAACGCCTTATCTGGACAATGAAGGCTTTTCCCAATGTCCCATATACTAAAAAAGAAATAACTCATCCCAGGCAGATGAAGTCAAAGGTTTTTTCTCTGTTGAATCTTACAAGGAAATTAAATCTTTGGGAATTGTCCATGAAGTTCTTAGGCGTGATAATATCCTTTGAAGTAAGGAGCTAAGATGAGCCTTAATCATCGATGTACAGTTCTTTAAAAATGCCGACCGAATCGGCAGCCACTCCAAGACAGTAGCCTAATTCGCCCAGTATATAATTTAAGCCTAGTAGAGATACAAAGACACAAAGCTCCGCTTGATGTTTGGATTGGCATGGATGGCTACGAGGATGGTGCATACAGCATAAGGTCGATAGGGACGAACCAAGAAACATACCTACAGGATAACCCTCTATTTATTTGCATCTCTTCGGCCTACCAGACCGAAGACTGGGCTTGTAACGTAATTGGTTGAATAGTGGACTTGAAGAGATGATATATTTCGGCCTGGGAAGTGACTCGCAATCTGGGACCATGGCATTGCCTCTCTTTCCTTCAGCCGCACGAGTAGCGCATTCTCGTCTGATGTGTACGGTACTTGTTTCCCTGGGGTAGCCGCCGTGTGGGCCAGAGAGATCATCGGGCTAGGTTCGGGGACGAAAGTAAAGAAATACGCCGGGTTCGGGCCAGAATTTGATTCGATAGTGAGGAGAGCACTTCCGCGTACGCCCTGAAAATCATTGGAACATTGAGATGAAGCGGATGTGGATGGGTTCGAAGGATCGCGAAATGGTCTGATTGAAGTTCTTCGTTTCTTTCTTCTTTGAGACGGCTGTAAAGTGGTGACATCATCTTGGTGATGGCCGGTGCCTCGACCTGAGCGGAGTCGCCTTTTGCATACTGCCGCAGCGGCTCTGGTGCTTGTTCTGGAAGCAAGGGGTTCCAGGACGGTGGTGGTACAACCACAGCTATGGATGGGTGGCGCACCGGGATCTCGGATCTCAAACTCGTTCGAACATGAGCAAATTTTGACGCAGAGCGAATATTCGGGGAAACGAAGGGCCCGGATGGGGTTGGATGGTCTTCAGCAATGCTTGAATCTCTACTATGTCCCGGGGCATTGTCTGCACTAGAACATCGATCTTCGCTCGGGTCAGATGTCTGAGTTGGCTCTGTTTTATCTTCTGGGTCGCCAGGATGCGGACTGTGGAAGGGACCCGTGATGGATAATTTCCGCTTGGCTGATTCTTGTTGGGAATTACTCGCCACGGATAGGTCGCTCAAGGCACCGGTTGCTTCTTCGGGCGCAAACACGGGCGCGGTCCCACAGGGCACGCACGAGAGTGGAGATGTCTCCACTTCTTTGTTATCTGGAGGAGCGTCTGGAAAGAGATGAGTCAGACAGTGCGGGTATGATGGCCGACTTTCACCCCTATAAGCTGTAAGTTGCGCCAACTTACCCGATAAATCGTTTCCCTGCATATCAAGAAGAGTGTGGTTGGTCTGGCCCTGAAGGGCATGGAATTAATTTGGGGGAACCTGTCGAGAACACTGACTCTGAAAGAGCCCGTGTGGAAGTTCCCCGTTCCAGCAGAATATTACAAGCACCCGGCATGATTGTTGTCGCTGGGGGTTCAATCTCTTTCGTCATTTCAGGCCAAGTAGGACTGTTGATCTCAAGGTCAAATATGTTCCACTCATGAGTTGCACCACTGAGCGGGGGTGGCTGTCCCAGCGGTACCGCACACGACCCCGGACATAAGCCGAATCCAGCCTGAAAAGCCTTCGTCTATTATACAATACCTTGAAATTCGCGAAACGGGACATGCGGCAGCTGATAGGGGAGGTGTACGTTTGTCAAGGTCTTTTCGATATATTCAACGACGTCACACGACCTCTGGGCAGCGGAGTTATGTTGTTGGCTCGTGAGAAAAATCTTGATGGCGCATTACAGACCCAGGCAACTTCGGCTCTTGAGCAAATCAACCGCATTGTGACCAAGTTCAAGCCGCTCATGACAGGTAGGACAGTGGCCGCCGTGCTGACAAAACCTCTTAGAGTCTTTTCTCCCAGAAATGCGTTTGCTGCACATAACTTCAACGTCACCCAAGAAGCTCCAGTGAAGGAGGCGATCCACCACTCCGATTGTCTGCAATCCGAGAAAGAAGACGTCGTTGACTGGGATTTCTGGCTCACCCCTAAAGTTCTCAGTGGAGAAGGCCCGCCACCTTTTGGATGAACGATTCACGACAACGTCGCAGACAAAATGGCTCTTGTCGCAAAACCTATATCTTGCTATTTTATAGCCAATACCAGGGCTATCACGCTTTCAGCAGAATACTCCAGGAGTCTTACCCTAATATATAGCTGAGTGGACAGGGCTTTAAGGATTGCATTAACCAGTTATACTACCCGGACGCATCACAGACTGTATATAGAATCTAGAGACTCTTAATATTATACTTAAGTAAAAATATCTTAGTCTTTAATTATATACTAACCTTATATACATAGAGTCAGTCTTTATACTTAGGGCTATTAATACTATTATATAGAGTAATAGATATAGACTAATATATTATATATCATATTTATTAATACTTATTTCCTTTAGCTTTACTAAGATTTATAGCTAAGTATATAGATTATTTTCTAATCTCTTCTAATACTCTATAGTATAGTATATTAATCACCTAAGGGATTATAAGATAGCAAGAAGTTAGGCATTTCGTGGATCTCTTAATATAACTATAAAATTAACTATTACTTTAGTAAAAAATCAGCTTAAATTTTCTACCTTAATACTACTTTCTATTAACTAAAATTATAGGAAAATATCAAATTAAAGTAAGAGGAGTATACTTAAATTAATTCTTCTAGGCTATAATATAAGCCTAGCCTAGGAGCTAGAAGGAAATATTAGAATAACCTAAATATAATAGATATAGTAGAGATTAAACTAAATTAGTTAAAGGTAAATATCACTAACTCCTGTCCTATTTGATTAGTAGTTTATTAGGATAGGCTTAGGTAATATTAGTTTTATACTTAAGAATATAATAGTATTAGATTCTATAATCTTAGTAGATAAGATTAATATAGGTATTTTTATAATTAATTTTATTAAACTATTACTAAGGATAGAGTAGGAAGTTCTTACTATAAACTCTTTACTAATAATATAGTTTATTATATCTTCTCCTATATTTTAAAACTTAAGAAGACTACTCTTATTTACTATAATCTAAATAAGCTCTTAACTAGCTTATTAATAGGGGCTATAGATAGTTATATTAACTAAATCTATCTTAGTATACTTATTATATCTTATTATACTAAGATCTGGTAAGTATTAGTAGAATTATATTATAGATAATCTATATATAGTTATATTTATTAGAGTAAGAAGTACTATTTAATTCTATAATAGCCTCTAAGGATCTTATATAATCTTATATACTATTTAAGTAGATATAGTATAGATTATCTATATCTATGATCTCTAAGATATTACTAAAGATAAATAGGTAAAGTATAAAGAGGAGTATAGAAAGATATATAATAGAGACTATGAATTTTATATATATAATCTATAGAGGAGATTAATAATTTAGTAGTAGTAAGATATTTTAGCTATTTATATATTTATTAGGAAGTCTTATACTAGGTAAGATTCTTAAGGTTATTAGAGATTTAATTAGATATTTTATAGTAAAAGACCTAGGTTATTTAGAGGAGATACTTCTAAGATCTATAAAGCTATAATATTATTTTATAGAGAGAAATAGAATATTTTAATAGAATAAAGTTTTTATTTAGATTTTTAACCTAAGTATAATTATTATATATACTATCTAAGGTACTATCTGGAAAATAGTCTTAACTTAATATAAAATTAAGGTTAGAGTATATAATTATCTTAAAATTAAGGTAATACTAACTTAAAGACTATCTTAATTATTTATAGGTATAGAATGATAATACTATCTTTTTTAAGTATAGCTTAACTAAGTAAGTAGGGAAATTATTTAGACCTATCTTTTACTAAGAAGTAAAGATAGTCTTAGTTTTAAATAAGATAAACTAAAAATAATAGTATATTTAAAATTATTTTATTATATCTAATTTCTTATATACTATTTAAGATCTTAAAAGATAAGAGTAATTAGTATTCCTCTTAAGATTATATATCTTATCTAATTATATCTAGGAATTAAATATTTATTTATATTAGCTCTATATCTATTTATATATTAGGATCCTCTCCTATAATATTTTATATTATATTTATATATTATATCTTAGAGATCTATTCTCTTAGTAATATATATATGATATATATACTCCTAGATCTATAATAATAATTATGATTTTTTAGGATAGTATTTTTTAAGTATTAGTATTAAGTAATCTAAAAGAAGACTTAGTATATATATAGATCTAGCTTAAGAGGATCTATACCTAAAATTAAGACTCTTATTAGTATTAATTTATTACTATTAGTAGGATTAGACTTAGATATAAGAATTATCTAGAACTATAGATTAATATTACTCTAGGTTGTTGTGTTAGTTAGGGTATCTAAGTATATAATTATTTATTTAACTAAGTAGTAGGTAGGCTCTTATTATTTATAGTGATCTTGACTTTTTAGAGATTAGGTAGTTATATAATTATTCTTTTGTAGAATATGGTATTTTTTACCTTATAAGGATTTAATACTATGGTCTATACTGAATTTTTCTCTGTATATGTCTGGAAGGTCTTTTTATGGTAATGTATGATTTTTATCTAACTATTATAGAAGATACTCTTCTTCTTATCCTAATTAGCTTAAAATACTATATGAGGATATTATGATTTTTAAATTAATGCTAATAGGATTGTTATAAATGGTTATTAAAGGGACTTAGCTAACTTTTAAATGCTCTCTAGGGTTAGTAGTAAGTAATTTTTACTAGGGAAGTTAGTCAAACTTTTTTGAGCTAGAATCTATTCTATGGATTAGTCCAATAAGCTATTCTAAGTATTTTATAGCTAAGAAGCACTCTATATTATATACTTTTACTAATTCCTGATCTGTAGAAATCAGGTAACTAATTATGCAGAAGTGGCCTAATTAGGGGGTTAAACCCTATTAATCCCTTCTTAAATATTGCTGAATTAGGCTAGAGTCCTTTTATATTATTATCTAATAAGGTTAGATCCTGTCCTAAGTAGGAAATATCTGGTGTATATCACTAAAGTTGGTGCTTGTTAAAAATATATATTTTCTACCATAATACTATATTACTACTCTTACTAACCTAATATATATATATATCTTTGTAATCCTATAAAATTAACTAATTTAAATATACTAATTCTTTTAATACTATAATTAATAAAAAATATTAATATTCTTGAGTCACATATATATATTTATATAGTTTAGACCCATATATTAGGCCCATAGGTCCCCCCATAGACTAGGGTTTACACATATCTATATAGGCTCAATTTTGAAAACATTAGATATTAGGAGCTCAGCTATATAATAAGTAAGACCACTTCTTATTAAGATACATATCTATTTAAACTAGAGATTAACCATATAATAATTATATTTATAAAAATTATTTATAATTTAGAAGAACACAATCTATAAAACCCTTTACTTCTCTACAAAGTAAATAATATTAACCAAGAGATAAGTAGAAAAGGATCCTTATTAGTTACTCAAACAACATTTTATAGTAAGTAAGAGATCTTAGTATTAGAATACATAATCAGGATAGTAGTCTATTAATTAATAAGCTCCTTATCTAATATCTATTTATCTATCCATTCTCTAATATCTTTTCTAACACACAGATAAAGACTATACTAACTAATTCAGTAACTAAGCTTAACATATAATCCATAATTATAATACTTAGGAGGGATCATATATACTACTCTAATTAGGATTAGCATAGGTAACAAAAAAGCCAACTTCTAGAGGAGCAACACTTTCTCTATTATATATCTTACTAATTACTAAGAGCCCTCTTAGATTAAGTAAAATAAGTTCTTTATATTTTATAGGTTAAGGGCTAGCTTTTATATTATAGCTTCTATATTCTAGTCTATGATTATTATATAATACTAAAAATCCCTTCTTTATAATCTCTATTATAGTTTAGAGGTATTAAAAGAGGAGATTTACTATTATTTATTCAGAGAGAGATATAAGGCTAGGTATATAAGGAGAAGATTATATTAATTTCCGATCAACCTAACTCTTCATAAAGATACTTTAGATCTAATTATATTAACTTAGCTTAGTTCCTAATCTATACTAGCCTTATATTATAATAAGTATTAAGATTATTATAAAATTTTATTTAATATTATATGATTTCTCTAAGATGATATCTATAGTAGTAATATATATAGTAAGGAATAGATCTAGTATAGCTAGTATATCTTTTTATCTTTAATATTATAAGATCTTAGCTTATCTACATATACCAAATATATCTTATAGTAGAAACTAGGATAGGCAGAAAAGATATATATAATATATGGTAGTAGTCTAATAAATTATTTAAAAGGTACTTGGTTATAGGGGCTATACCTAATCTACCATCAATATACTACTTACTCAAGTTATTGATTTACTACTCTTATATTAACTAAAATCTAGATAATACAACAGTGATCTAGTTAATAAGTAACCCCTAGTATACTTTTATTCTTCTTATTTCTTAAATTAAGCCATACACCCTTAATACTAAGCAGCTTCTTTACTAAGGAAGTATTACTATTATAAGCTATAGCAATAAGATATATATCCCCTAGTTGGTTATTCTAATAATTAATATCTAGCTAGTTATTATCTAGAAATAGATCTACTACTAACTATCTATATATCCGGAGTATAAGCTATAGGAGATTATCTTCTTTCTTCTTATTTATATTAATCTAAATCCTATTAGTACTAAGTAGCATTTTCACTAACTTATAGATACTATAATATATAGTAGTTCTAAGAGGACTATATCACTTATCTCCTTAGATATTTAGATCTATACTTAGTATATATATTATTATAAGTATATAAGAAATAATTTAGATATTTCTGTAAAAATAAGTATTATAAAGAGCTATAGTCTACTATTCTAGTCTAGAATAACCACCCTTAATATTTATATCTAATCTATTATTATAGAGAAAATATTTACTAATATTATTATACCCAAGCTCTATAAATAGCCAGAAGGTAGAGTTACTATAGTAGTCTGGGTAATTTATATTAAGCTATTTACTATTTAGAAGTAGATTAAGGGCTCTAAGCTAGCTATTAATAGTAGTAATATATAATACTATATATCTATACTGATATCTTATATAGAGATTAATATATTTCTACTTAAGTAAGATTTTAATAACTTTAAGATAACTAAACTATACTACCCTTATTAATAGTGTTTTATATTCCAAATTAAGTATATTAACATCTATACCTAGCTCTAAAAGGAACCTCATCATATTAGCATTATTAAGACTATTAGAGTAGTCTAGAAATAATTAATCTATACTCTAGCCATCCTAAAGGATTTTGGATATTAATAGTATTAGCTAGGTATATAGTAGTATTCTTACTATAATTTTATTAATAGATTTACCTTATATTAAAGCAAAATGAAGAGGTATTATATTATCTAAGTCTATAATAGAAGGGTCTACACCATAATTAATAAAAAACTCTACTTTCTTATAATCATATATCTTAATAGTATATTATAGTATTATTTAGCCTAGGCTATCTAATTAATCTATCTATATATTTATATACTCTAATATATTAAGAAATCCTTATATATTTCTTTATAAAAACATTCTTAAGAAATGAGTGTGGAGAGCTATTTCTATAGATTAGGTTAGATATTAGTGACTAAAGGTAAATAATTAAATAGAGTATGATCTATTATATTAAAACTTCTTAATAGTCCTTAAAGGATAGGATCTATATAAGTAAAAGTTCCTAGATAAAGGATAATAAATGGTAGATAGTAAATTACCTAAAATAAGACTATTATAAGACCTTTATATCTTTATACTATTCTTAGCTTATAATATTTATCCTAGAAAAGGGTAAAGCTATAAGAAAATATCTAATTTCTATTATCTTATAATTTATCTCTTTTAAGGGTTTCAGAATCAGCCTCTATAATCAGGAGTTATATAGACTAGAAGCCTATATATAAAAACATAGTACTTAGCCTAAGGATACTATATATAGATCCCTAAAAATATATTTATAATCCTAGGATCTTAAATAAGTATTCTAAGATTATTAGAGCTCCTAGGATTATTTAAGATAATCCTTATACCTAATAAACTATAGATAGGATAAGTCTTTAGGATTTTAGGACTAATTTTATATTTACTAATTCTCTATCTTATTTTATATACTAGGCCTTATTATTTCTTATTACTTCTATTTTATTACTTAAAACTATAAATTTATTATCTTTTTCCCTACTTACCTATTATAATTCACTACTATATTAAGTATTAAAGCTAAGATAACTATAAAAACTTATGATTATATAGAACTACCATTATTAGATCTTTCTATTAAGTAATCTTTATATTTTAGTTATATAAGTTATCTTAGCTAATCTCTATAAATATTATCTAATCTATATATCTAGGTATTTTTTTCTTTATATGAATCTAAGCTTAATGAAACTTTATATAGGTATTAATAGGTTAGTTTAGAGATAAGTGATTTATAATGACTCTCTATAGTATTTGCTAATCTACCTAACTAATCCTTTTAATAGCTACTAGAGATAGGGGTAACCATATACTATTAAACTTTCTTTATCTAGTATTAAGTGGTTATAAGCCTCTGTGGACTACCCTCCTTAATTTATCCTATTTTTAAAATTACTTATATTAGTGAGGTTCTATTATAATCTCTAATATACCTCTAGTTACCTCTTTATGCTAATATAGATATAAAATATAAGAATTTGTAGTAGCTTAGGTTTATTAGGGATTTGAATAGCTTAATTCTTTATATTAGAGAGACTAAGTATTTTAGAAAGCTCCTAAATATACTTATGAAATATTTATATCCCTAGGGCTTTTTATATTTAGGTTAGCTCTATCTATTCTATCTTGTATTAATATTTATAAATAAATAAATAAATAATTTATTAATACTTAGTAGCTAAGCTAAAAGGATAACTATTACTAATCTATTATATATATTTATCTATATATATTATATCTCCTAAAAGCCTATATATAAGATCTTTTAATATATAATATTTCTAGAAAGTAGTATTATGGTAAGTTTCTTATAGATTAGTAGAATGGTTAGTAGACTAGCTTAAAGGTACTTCTTTAAGTATTTAATATCCTATTTTTAGTAATTAAAGTATATCTATTATTTATAGTATAAGGTAGTGGGTGAGTAGGGTTAGAAGAAAGAGATAGGAGTTTTGTTGGTTAATATATTTAAGTAGTCTTAAGTTGGCTTATTGCTATAGTGAAATATATAGAGGCCTATATTACCTCTAGGTTTAGTATCTATTTCTGATTATTAGAAGGCTACTTTCTACCTAGGAAGAAGGATATATTTCCTTAGTAAGTCTATATATATTATAACATTTCTATCTAATATATAGTCTATTTCTGATAATGGAAGAGGAAGTACTCTATAATCTCTTTTACTTATCTGTAATTATATTAATCTATCTCTACTATATTAATTTAATTAAGATACTTATTAAGCCTAGCTATACTAGTTTAGAGCTAGGTTAGTATACTTACTTCTTTCTATATTAGGTAATTATATAACTACTAGGTATATTTATCTAGTAGTGTGGTATTTATTTATTTTATATATCTTTTCTTATTCTTTAGTAGCTTACTACTAGGGATTACTTAGGACTATATAATATTTAGTATTATTAACTTTATCCTTAGGGTGTGTTTTTGTATGAGAGTATCTTCTTTTATTATAGTTCTGGCTTGTTCTTTAGCCTAACCTAATAGTTTATTATCTTGAGTAGTAAGGATCTAGAGGAATTGTAATATCCTTAAAATTAGTTTTACCTCTTTACTCTCTTCTTTATTTATTAAACTTTATTTTATATTATACTATACCTATTATAGTTACTCTACCCCTTACTATATTCTTGGTGGTATCTTAATATAATAATAAAGAATAGTATAAAATAGCTATTATATTATTATTATATGGTAATATCCCTCTAGAACTACTTACTTGTAAAAAAGCTAAATAGATTATTTTAGAAGAGATTTAATTAGCTTTCTGATTATAAACCTTTTATATTCCCTTTCTTTAACTAAATTTATTTTAATAAAATAGTAGAGTAGTAAAGAGTTATATAGATATAATATTATTAGGATAAAAGAATTTTTAGTACTAACTTATCTGCTATAAAAATTGTTAGATTCCTCCTTAGGTCTAATCCTATATTAAATCCTTAATGATTATAATATACTAAACTGAAATTTAACTAGGAAATTAAGGGTAATGACTAACCACTTTTACCCTATTGGTGATAAATTCTAAGCTTAAGATCCCTATTAATTAGACTAGGATTTATAATATACCCCTACCCTAGGATATTATAAACTGATACTATTATTAGAATATTAATTTAGCCCTTCACAGGACTATTACTACTATAATAGCCCTAAGCTCTTATTCTTTACTAAACTAGAAATTAATAAGCTACTCTAATTTTCTAAGTAGGAAGTATTTAGGCTAAATAATAAGATTCCTATAAGTTTTACTCTATATACTATAGTTACCCTAGTATTTTATTATATTAGTATATACTATTAGATAATACTGGTAGGATAGGTTTAGGATTCTATAATCCTATAACTTCTTTCTATTAAAGGTAATACTAGATATAGGTATATAGGCTATTTAATATAAAATATATTTAGGAAAGTTATAGGGATCTAAAGTAATATTAAAATCAAAGACTAGGAATAGGACTCTATTCTGTGATTATATAAAATTTAATAAGACCTAATAAATAAGTAATTACTAAATTTATTATAGATATGGTAAAAAGATAGGATCTAGATGATTAGTATTTATTAGGTAACTAAAGAAGGTTGATACTATTATAGGTTATCCAAGAATAGTTATTATTTAAACTATTATTCTAGTAAGGTTAAATAGTAAGGAATGGATATGATGGGACTAATAGATCCTAGATTAATTATACCATATAATATATATAGATGATTAAAATTAACTTTATTAAATTAAAGGAAGTAGAGAGGGCTAGTATATAGTATTAATTTACTATAGTTAGTAGCCAGATCCCAGATCCTAATAGTACTATCCTTAGATACTAATATAAGTCAGTTTCTATCTTATAACTAAGTAATTAAGATAACTAAATTACTATACCTCTTAAGGGTTAACACACACTAGCTAATAACTAGATCCTAGATCCTAATAGTTATATCCTTAGATACTAATATAAATCAGCTTCTATCTTATAACTAAGTAATTAAGGTAACCTAGCTAATATACTCCTTAAGGGTTAAAGCACACTAGCTAATAGCTAAATCCTAGATCTTAACAATCTCATCCCTAAACACTAATACTAATTAGCTTCTATCTTATAACTAGGTAATTAAGGTAATCTAATTAGTATACCCCTTAAGGGTTTAAAGATATATACTCCAATCTTAGTCTACCACCAGCTCCTTCAAAAACCAATCCAGTTTCTCCTACTAATAACCTAATCTCATAAGGCTTAACATAAGACTAAATATTAAAGATAAACTATATACTTAGAGGGGGCTATTTTTAATTATAAGCCTATAGTACCAAATAAAATAGGATATATCTTAAACTAGATATAAAATATCTACTAATTACCCTTTCTCCTATTATAATAATTATTATCTTAGGGGTAAGAAAGTCTTTAGTATATAAATAACCACTTACCTAAAATAAGATATTAAGCTTTAGCATAACTACTATACCTTATAATAGATCTCCTAGAATACTTAGAGCTTTAAGCTAATAAAGATATTTCTTTTATAAGAATTTAAATATATACCCTTACTCATCAATATTAAGTTCTTATATTTTATAGCATCTACTATAAAGAAGATAATCAACCCAATAGATATACCCATATTTTATAGTTACTAATAGATTTAGACTAGGTAGTATAACTTTCTTAATTAAGAATCTAAGAAATTTTATATAAAAGATATTATACCAAAATATCTTAAATATAACTTAAAAAGAATAAGAAAAGATTCCACAATATTCAGCTTCTATACCTCTAAGAAAAATACCATTTTATATCTCTTAGTATAGTAATTCCTTTATAGATTAATAGATAAAAATAATAGTATCATCACATATAATTAAAAATAAACCATAGATTATAATAATCTCTAATAGGCCTTCAAAGTTATTAGAGAGACTATCAGATAGTTTAACAAGAGAGGCTAGTTTATAAAATAAGATTAGCTAATACACTATAGATATAATAGCTAATATTTATTTATAGAGCTTAGTATCTTCTAACTTTCTAATCTAATTAATTATATAAGCATATAGAGTATTTAGTCTAGAAGAAAATACCTCTAACTTCTTAAGAGCATACCTCTATAATATTCTATCTAAATTTTAGTAGACTAAGGCTACCCACAGAAAAATACCTTATGAATTTAATAATAAATAATAGTAGATCATATCACAAGTTTTATTACTATATTTATTAATTCTTATTAGATAATTAACCTTATATTAAATAAATTTACTCACAGCTTTAGATACATATACCTCATTCCACTCTAATAAGATCAGAGCAATCTAGGTAGTATCAAGATACTCCTTAATATTAAGCCAGTTATAGCTTAAGACAATCTATTTTATCTAAGGATAAGTAGATAATATCTAAGTAATCAAGTTAAGAAAGAAAAGTAGGCCTATTATATATTCATCTAAGACATTAATAATCAAATAGATACTCTATAAGATCAGGTCCTTTATAATATTAATAAAGATCCCTAAGAGGGTATTCTATATATTTATATTATCAAATAATAACTTTCCCACTTTATTATACTATCTCTATATATAAGAGAGAAGAGATAGCTACTTCTTAATAAGTAAATATATTAAGCTATAGAGAATAGTTATAGCATTATTAATTCACACATTAGTAGCTTAGTAAAAAAAGAATAAGATATTCATAGTATCCCCAAATAATTAGCTTAATTTATTAATAATACCACATAGTAGTATTATCTTACCTTTACCAAGATCACCTCTAATCTAGAGGAGATAGTTATTCTAGTTATCTCACCATCATTAAAACTCCTCATTATTAAGAACCTAATAGTATAAATCTTTAAGTAGCCCTCTATTAGTTTTCTAAATATAATCTTTATTATAGTAAGGATCAGTCATCCACAGATCCCATAAATAGACTTAAGTTAATATTTCTAATTATACTTAAGCAACCATACTAGTTAGATACACTCTTTTAGACTCATACACTACCCCACTCATAGAACTAATTAGTAATATAACCAAGGTTCTATCCAACTTATAAGCTAGAATTTAAACTATTATATAATATTATATATACTATTATTATAACCAAGTAATTCTTAAAGGTTAGTTATAAATATATAACCAAGTTATTAAAGTACCCCACTATTAGGTAATCTATCAAGTAATACTAGTAAGTAAAGATTAATCATTTTAGTTTAGGCTCCTCAATTTATAAAAAATATAATAGATATAATCTTCTCTATTAGGGAATTTTATTTACATTAACTAATATTACATATTTATCTACCTTACATAAGAATAAATCCTATTAATATTAAAATAGTAACTTATAAGGGGTATTAAGATAGAGGTATTAATTATATTATTATTTCTAATATATTATATAGTACCTAATCATATAATATTAAATAATAATACATTTTAATACTCTAAAATAGCCTAAGCCTAATATAGACTAGTATATTTCAGGATAAAGTTTAAGAAAGAATTACTAAGAATAAAATAATAAAACTAATTTTAATCTACCCTATATTACCCCATTCAGGAGATATAGCATATATAAATAGATATATATAGTAGATTAGTAATAGTTACCCTTTTAGCTTAGCCACTAGGTATTAATAAATTATTTATTTATTTATATTACCCTATAGGAAAAGTTAGTAATAATAATATAGCAATATAAACTTTAACATTATATAATAAATAAGAACTATTCCTAAAGCAATATCAGACCTACTAACAAGAGGGCCTAAGCCCTTTCCCATAAATACCTAAGAAACTATTACTAGTATATTAGGGAAAGAACTATAGACTATAATAGCTACTAATAGCTCTAGCTTACTCTCTAAGAATCAGAAGTAAACCTAAAATAGTAATATCTTCATACCTACAAACCCTACTACTTAAATCACTACTAAGAAGGTATAGAAAGATCTAGTTAGCCAACTCCTAGATCTTTATCTTTTCAGTTTACCTACCTCTAGCACTACTTTTTATAGGTAATAATAAATTAGCATTACTAACCCTTATAATAATATAGAATACTATTATAGTTATATTATAAAATAAGTAGTAGCTAATAAGTATTATTCTATCCAAATTTCTAGGTTATAATAAATAATATATACTTAGCTAATATCCCTAAATTCTTTTACTAGGTATTTATTATCTTTATAATTCTACTTACTTAACTAGATTTTTTAGTATTAAGCTATAGATTACTTAATAATTTAGTCCAACTTTAATAATAATCTTATAGTCCTTATAAAATTCAATTCCTAGTACCCTAGGAGATAATATATTATTACTCTAGGTTTTGGATACTATAGCCTTAACTTAACCTATTCTCTAAGATTAAATAATATAAATAAGTAGTAAGGGGCTTACTAGTAGATAGCTTATTATTAGATATCTAGTTATAGGTTCTATATATCAGCCCTATTATCTATACTAGACTTTAGTTTATTCTTATATTTTAACTAACCTATAGCTATTATCTAGCCTATTAATATAAATTATAGAATATTCCTATCCTCAGATAAGCCATATGTTTCAAGGAATTTATTTATAAAACTATTTATGATTAAAGTATATATAGCTCCTAGAAACTCTCCTACCCATATAGCCTAGAAGTAGCTATATATCTCTAAGGGTTAAGTTAAGTATTTCTAGAGGTAAAAGTATCTTAATAACCTAGTTACCACAATCACCATTATTATATTTATAAACTTATATTACTTAAGAAAGAAATTTATTATAGCAGCTAGAAACCATAGTATAAGCAAAATAAGTAACCTAAGATTATTAATCCTTACCTCTATTAGACTAAAACCTATTAATACTTAAATTCTAGGGCTAAATCCCTATTATACTATATATATATACTAAGTATTACTCTCTTATTTATATAGTAGCTTCTTTACTAGCCTAAACTCTTACTAATTAGGCCATCATAAAGTTATTTTATAGTAGCTATAGTACTTCTGGAAGCTATATATTTTTAGCTAGATTTTATTAATACTATACTTTCTATTATTAATTAGTTCTTATAGCCTTTTAGGATACTAATACCTTAGTAAGACATTCAAGTAAAGATAGTATAGTAATAAATTAGCCAAAAGAAGTTATATATTTTATAATATACCTTTATATACTAAAATTCTATATATTAGATACTTATAAGAGGGTAGTAAATATCCTTTAACCATTTTCTACTAAGGATTAAGGTATTTCTAGGGGTTTTTACTACCAGATTACTACTCTTATTAAGGATATAAAATATCTAGCTAAGATATTTAATCTTATTAAATAATTCTATAACTACTTATTTACTTTTATACTACTTTAATCACCTTATCTATTTTATAGTATATAGTAATAAATAGGCTTAAGAATAATAGCTTAATTATATTTAGTAAAACTAACAGAATATACTATAAATCTTAAAGAAGGCCCTAAGTAGTAATAATAAGCTATATAGTAAGTAATTATGATTAACTTATATCCCTATTATATAAATCAAAAATGATCCTTACTAGGCTAGAAGATAGGTATTTATAATTTATTTCTTAAATATTTCTAGTTATATTCTTACTAAGCTATCTTAATTATTTAAGTTAGTATCCTAATAAAAAAAATACTAAATACTCTTATTAAATATATTACTAAGTACTTAGTTAGAGTTATTCCTAATTTTAACCTACTTAGTAGATATAAGATTATTAAGGGTTATGATAATAGTTTGGTAGCTATTATTACCTATAATAATATTCTTAAAAAGATATATCTATAAATGATTTACCTCTTTCTTAGTTTACTTATAAAACTCTAAAAGTACTTCTATACTACTTAATTTCTTCCTAATATTTTACTTATCTAATACTTACTTATTATTTAAATATATAAGAAAATAATATTATACTAGAATATTCTAATTAAGCCTATATAGATACTAAAGTAGCTATAATTTCTAGCTTATGACTTCCTTATATATAGAACTGAGTCCCTCTATATTTATTAACCATAATAGATCAAGGGCTATAAATAGAGATAAGGATTCTATAGGTCTTAAAATAGGCCTTAAGATATCTCTTATATTACTAAGTAGACTAGGTTATAACTAATCTATAAATAATAGAAATTACTTATAAATATCTAAGCTCTTTTTTATACTTTTCTTTTTATCCTCTATTATTTAAAGCTCTAATACTTTAACCCTAGTAACCATATAGCCTTATATATATACTATCTATAGCTACTTTTAAATACCATCTAGGTAACTTTCTAGATTATATTTAGTATTCTCTATAAGATCTTTAAATTCCTTAATAACTACCTTTATAGTCTTTATTATATATCTTAGAATAAAATATTAAACTAGTTAGGAAATAAAGAATAGGAACTTATAAGTTTATATAAGTAAGTATAATAGAAATTATTAACTTATACCCTACTAATATATTCTTAAACCCTAAAATATCCTTACCCATATACCTTAGTTTAAGCCAATCCCTTTTACTACCCTACTCATCTATTAAACAAGATATATATCTCTTAATTAAAGTATTAAAATCCTTATAAGTATTTTTATACCTTATTAATA